CATGGTGCCAAGTACTGGCCCTGTTGCCACTTTCTCTCCTACCCCTTTCTCCATCCATTTTGCCCCTTCTCTGTATCTTGTGGGGCTTTGGCATAAAAGTCAGTGAATGTGTTTCACAATTCTAGTAAGGTTTACATGTCTGAGCACGGTACATGTATTTCTATGTGGATATCTATTTGTGGATGTAAGTATAGGTGTGGGTATTTATGTGTGTGTGGATGTAAGTATAGGTGTGGGTATTTATGTAAGTGTGGATGTAAATATTGGTGTGGGTATTTATGCAAGTGTGGATGTAATTCACACTGGTGTGCAGTTAGGTCAGGATATATTAGCTAACAAAAAGAAATAGCATTTAGGGGTGTTTTCTTGCGAACCAAATTTTTTTTTTCTAAAAGCCAAGTTGAGGTCATATATCACCCTAAGCCTCAGTGAAAGAGGTCATGGTGTCACAGCCGGAGTCACCCACTATATATTTTTGTTTGTTTTAGGCCATTAGGAATGTTTTCACTTGAATGCTTCACTGTTCTGTTTAATGATAATCAACTTTTATATAGTTCTAATTATTATTTTTTGTTTAAAGTAGATAACATTTTTCAACACAGTGACCTGTGTGAAACTGTTTGACAGCATTTATTTAGGGAATTTGCAAAGTGTCAGGGCCTATTTGTTTTTCACATATCAGGGTTAACTATTCACATGTTGTTTATGATGAATGCTTCCACAATTCCAGTGTTCACATTTTATTTATTATGAATGTCTGTCCTTTCATATTTCCAAATGTAAAATGTGTGCAGACTTTATAGCTTTCTCAAGTAAAGAAAATACAATTAATACATGAAGTTGTTTTTGTTGTTGTTCTTTCATAGTGTATTAAGTTGTGTGGGATTATTATTTCCTATTATCAAAAGAGCAGTGGCTGTTTCTTTCCCTGTTTCCCCTGTTCTTTCCCTGTTTCATCTGTTCTTTCCCAGTTTCATTTGTTTGTTTCTTTCCCTGTTTCATCTGTTCTTTCCCAGTTTCATTTGTTTGTTTCTTTCCCTGTTTCACCTGTTCTTTCCCAGTGTCATTTGTTTGTTTCTTTCCCTGTTTCCCCTGTTCTTTTCCAGTTTCATTTGTTTGTTTCTTTCCCTGTTTCCCCTGTTCTTTCCCAGTTTCATTTGTTTGTTTCTTTCCCTGTTTCCCCTGTTCTTTCCCAGTTTCATTTGTTTGTTTCTTTCCCTGTTTCCCCTGTTCTTTCCCAGTTTCATTTGTTTGTTTCTTTCCCTGTTTCCCCTGTTCTTTCCCAGTTTCATTTGTTTGTTTCTTTCCCTGTTTCCCCTGTTCTTTCCCAGTTTCATTTGTTTGTTTCTTTCCCTGTTTCCCCTGTTCTTTCCCAGTTTCATCTGTTTGTTTCTTTCCCTGTTTCATCTGTTCTTTCCCAGTTTCATTTGTTTGTTTCTTTCCCTGTTTCCCCTGTTCTTTCCCAGTTTCATCTGTTTGTTTCTTTCCCTGTTTCATCTGTTCTTTCCCAGTTTCATTTGTTTGTTTCTTCCCCTGTTTCCCCTGTTCTTTCCCAGTTTCATTTGTTTGTTTCTTTCCCTGTTTCCCCTGTTCTTTCCCAGTTTCATTTGTTTGTTTCTTTCCCTGTTTCCCCTGTTCTTTCCCAGTTTCATTTGTTTGTTTCTTTCCCTGTTTCCCCTGTTCTTTCCCAGTTTCATTTGTTTGTTTCTTTCCCTGTTCTTTCCCAGTTTCATCTGTTTGTTTCTTTCCCTGTTTCCCCTGTTCTTTCCTAGTTTCATTTGTTTGTTTCTTTCCCTGTTTCCCCTGTTCTTTCCCAGTTTCATCTGTTTGTTTCTTTCCCTGTTTCATCTGTTCTTTCCCAGTTTCATTTGTTTGTTTCTTTCCCTGTTTCCCCTGTTCTTTCCCAGTTTCATCTGTTTGTTTCTTTCCCTGTTTCATCTGTTCTTTCCCAGTTTCATTTGTTTGTTTCTTTCCCTGTTTCCCCTGTTCTTTCCCAGTTTCATTTGTTTGTTTCTTTCCCTGTTTCACCTGTTCTTTCCCAGTTTCATTTGTTTGTTTCTTTCCCTGTTTCCCCTGTTCTTTCCCAGTTTCATTTGTTTGTTTCTTTCCCTGTTTCATCTGTTCTTTCCCAGTTTCATTTGTTTGTTTCTTTCCCTGTTCTTTCCCAGTTTCATTTGTTTGTTTCTTTCCCTGTTTCCCCTGTTCTTTCCCAGTTTCATTTGTTTGTTTCTTTCCCTGTTTCCCCTGTTCTTTCCCAGTTTCATTTGTTTGTTTCTTTCCTTGTTTCCCCTGTTCTTTCCCAGTTTCATTTGTTTGTTTCTTTCCCTGTTTCCCCTGTTCTTTCCCAGTTTCATTTGTTTGTTTCTTTCCCTGTTTCCCTGTTCTTTCCCAGTTTCATTTGTTTGTTTCTTTCCCTGTTTCCCCTGTTCTTTCCCAGTTTCATTTGTTTGTTTCTTTCCCTGTTTCCCCTGTTCTTTCCCAGTTTCATTTGTTTGTTTCTTTCCCTGTTTCCCCTGTTCTTTCCCAGTTTCATTTGTTTGTTTCTTTCCCTGTTTCACCTGTTCTTTTCTTGTTTCATCTGTTCTTTTTCTGTTTCATCTGTTCTCTACCTGTTTTATCTGTTCTCTCCCTGTTTTATCTGTTCTTTCCCTGTTTCATCTGTTCTTTGTTTCATATGTTCTTTTTCTGTTTTATCTGTTCTTTTTATGTTTCTTCTGTTCTTTCCCTGTTTCATCTGTTCTTTTTCTGTTTTTGTTTGTTTCATCTGTTCTTTTCCTCTCTCATCTGTTCTTTTTCGGTTTCATCCGTTCTTTTTTTTCATCTGTTCTTTTTCTGTTTCATCTGTTCTTTTCTGGTTTCATTCATTGTTTCATGTGTCCTTTCCCTGTTTTATTTATTCTTTTCCTGTTTCATCTGTCCTTTCTCTGTTTCATCTGTCCTTTCTCTGTTTCATCTGTCCTTTCCCTGTTTCATCTGTTTTTTCCCTGTTTCATCTGTCCTTTCCCTGTTTCATCTATCCTTTCCCTGTTTCATCTGTCCTTTCTCTGTTTCATCATTCTTCTCCTATTGCACCTGTCACAGCAGAGAAAGCAAGGCGATCTGTTGAACATTCACTGCTGTGTTTGCAAGGGTGGTCTCTTTCGACAAAGATTGGCTGAGTTTAACCACACACAAACTGGCAGAGGTTACAGGGAAACCATCAATGTACATTCAATATAGATCAACATTCAACAAATCACATACATTCAGACAACCAACATCACAACGGACGTTATGAGTGTCTTAGAAGGGGGGAAGACAAAGATAATCCTGGATGATTCAACCATTTCCATCAGATGCAACAAAGGGAAGACAAAGAGATAAATCCATGGATGACTAGACTGCATAGATCTGTGAGACAAAGGGAAGATACAGAGATAAATTCATGGATCTACTGAGACAAAGGGAAGACAGATAAATCCATGGATCTGTGAGACAAAGGAAAGTCAAAGAGATAAATTCATGGATTTGTGAGACAAAGGGAAGACAAAAAGATAAATCCATGGATCTACTGAGACAAAGGGAAGACAAAGAGATAAATCCATGGATCTGTGAGACAAAGGAAAGACAAAGAGATAAATTCATGGATTTGTGAGACAAAGGGAAGACAAAAAGATAAATCCATGGATCTACTGAGACAAAGGGAAGACAAAGAGATAAATCCATGGATCTGTGAGACAAAGGGAATACAAAAAGATAAATCCATGGATCTACTGAGACAAATGGAAGACAAAGAGATAAATCCATGGATCTACTGAGACAAAGGGAAGACAAAAAGATAAATCCATGGATCTACTGAGACAAATGGAAGACAAAAAGATAAATCCATGGATCTGTGAGACAAAGGGAATACAAAAAGATAAATCCCTGGATCTGTGAGACAAAGGGAAGACAGATAAATCCATGGATCTGTGAGACAAAGGGAAGACAGATAAATCTATGGATCTGTGAGACAAAGGGAAGACAGATAAATCCATTGATCTGTGAGACAAAGGGAAGACAGATAAATCCATGGATCTGTGAGACAAAGGGAAGACAGATAAATCCATGGATCTGTGAGACAAAGGGAAGACAGATAAATCCATGGATCTGTGAGACAAAGGGAAGACAGATAAATCCATGGATCTGTGAGACAAAGGGAAGACAGATAAATCCATGGATCTGTGAGACAAAGGGAAGACAGATAAATCCATGGATCTGTGAGACAAAGGGAAGACAGATAAATCCATGGATCTGCTGAGGAAGAGCTGATTCATGCCTGGTGACTGTGAGAGATGGGGAACGATAATGTCAGCATGGCACATGATGACAGTGAAATGTCTGGGTGAGATATGTACTCTTTAGTGGTTCACTATTTGTGGAAAGAGCACTTTAGTGGCATCAGTTTGTCATGGCTTGCAATTAAACCGTCATCACCACGAGACCCAACGCTTTATGCTGCGAGCACACTGTCATAGGAGACAAAGCAATAACTCGGTGTGCCATCAAAACCATAATGAGACATTTTGACATTATTTGAGGTAACAAATGATTTTCAAAATAAAGCAAATTAAAAATTTTAGACATCAGTTTATCAACCTGGAGAATTTTAATCAACAAAACTTGTCTGACAGTGTTAGGTCTTTGATTTACTGTCCACATTTGGATAGCATCAGACTTATCATAAACAAACAAATGTACCACACACAAAACTAGAAAGAAAAAAATTAATAGATTTTTAACAAATTATAAAGCAGTGTATGTTACATCAACACACAAAAAAACATGATCAAATAAACAGAACATCTTCAATTTCAAAACAACAGATAACTAAGCATGTTATTTAGTGGAACATAAGGCCTCTTATAAAGATACACACAAGCCACTTTCATAGAGAAGGCTCAGTCACAACAGGTACAGAGATCCCACTGTCATAATATGTGTACACAACCCAGTCATAATATGGATAGAAAAGCAATGTTCTAAATGCCAGCATCTGGTAATGTGATCAGGAAAGACTTGCAGCCCGTCTGGCAACAGATTTGATGAACATAGACAAAACCCAAGTCTGGGTTGGCAGCCACAAAATCTCCTAGCATTTCCTGGGCAGACAAAAATTAAACATTCCGATCAGACTGCTGTCTAATACAGACTACTTTACAGAAATAAATAATTATTTTCAAGGATGAATAATTAGCAAACTCAATCATGGGCATATAACTAACAAAAACAAGATGGAGGGTAGATCTGACCAATGAGGTGGGGAGGGAGTGTGGATCTGGCAGATGAGGTGAGGGAAGAGGTGAGGGTGGATCTGGCAGATGAGGGAGTGGATCTTTTGGATGAGGTGGAGGTAGGGGGTAAATCTATTCCAAAATTTTTTGAGGACAGGGACTGGCCCAGCCTGGCAGCTGGTTCCAGGAACCACCAGGGATCAAAGATCACAGGTGACCAGAACTGTCCAGGAACCACCAGGGACCAAAGATCACAGGTGACCAGAACTGTCCAGGAACCACCAGGGATAAAAGATCACAGGTGACCAGAACTGTCCAGGAACCACCAGGGATAAAAGATCACAGGTGACCAGATCAGTCCAGGAACCACTGGGGATCAAAGATCACAGGCGACCAGAACTGTCCAGGAACCACCAGGGACCAAAGATCACAGGTGACCAGAACTGTCCAGGAAGCACCAGGGACCAAAGATCACAGGTGACCAGAACTGTCCAGGAACCACCAGGGTCCAAAGATCACAGGTGACCAGAACTGTCTAGGAACCACTGGGGACCAAAAATCACAGGTGACCAGAACTGTCCAGGAACCACTGGGGACCAAAGATCACAGGTGACCAGAACTGTCCAGGAACCACTGGGGACCAAAGATCACAGGTGACCAGAACTGTCCAGGAACCACTGGGGACCAAAGATCACAGGTGACCAGAACTGCCCAGGAACCACTGGGGACCAAAGATCACAGGTGACCAGAACTGTCCAGGGACCACTGGGGACCAAAGATCACAGGTGACCAGAACTGCCCAGGAACCACTTGGGACCAAAGATCACGGGTGGCCAGAACTGTCCAGAAAGCATATGGTAGTTTGAAAATAGAAGTAATAGGGGGGGGGGGGGGGGGGGGGGAAAGCATATGAGAGGGTGAAAATGAAAGTAATGGAAGGCACAGCTCCAGGTAGACAAGGTAGGGGTTGACAAACACAGAGCATGGAGCATGCAAATGTTAGGATCTGTCAGTTTCTGATGATCAAGTTGTTGCCTACTCTATCACACTCTCTCAAGTTAGGATCTGTCATTTCTGATGATCAAGTTGTTCCTTATTCTATCATTCTCAAGTTAGGATCTGTCAGTTTCTGATGATCAAGTTGTTCCTTATTCTATCATTCTCAAGTTAGGATCTGTCAGTTTCTGATGATCAAGTTGTTCCTTATTCCATCATTCTCAAGTTAGGATCTGTCAGTTTCTGATGATCAAGTTGTTCCTTATTCTATCATTCTCAAGTTAGGATCTGTCAGTTTCTGATGATCAAGTTGTTCCTTATTCTATCATTCTCAAGTTAGGATCTGTCAGTTTCTGATGATCAAGTTGTTCCTTATTCTATCATTCTCAAGTTAGGATCTGTCAGTTTCTGATGATCAAGTTGTTGCCTACTCTATCACACTCTCTCAAGTTAGGATCTGTCAGTTTCTGATGATCAAGTTGTTGCCTACTCTATCACACTCTCTCAAGTTAGGATCTGTCAGTTTCTGGTGATCAAGTTGTTGCATACTCTATCATACTCTCTCAAGTCAGGATCTGTCATTTCTGATGATCAAGTTGTTGCTTACTCTATCATTCTCTCTCAAGTTAGGATCTGTCATTTCTGATGATCAAGTTGTTGCCTACTCTATCACACTCTCTCAAGTTAGGATCTGTCAGTTTCTGATGATCAAGTTGTTGCCTACTCTATCACACTCTCTCAAGTCAGGATCTGTCAGTTTCTGATGATCAAGTTGTTGCCTACTCTATCATGATTAGTCGGTACATGGACTCTGAATGTTACTTGCTCACAAATAATTTCCTTGGAAAATAATATAGTGGTCCTCCCTGTATCCGACACCCTCTAGCTGACTTGTGACAAGCCTTTGACACCCTCCAGCTGGCTTGTGACAAGCCTTTGACACCCTCCAGCTGACTTGTGACAAGCCTCTGACACCCCCAAGCTGACTTGTGACAAGCCTCTGACAACCTCAAGCTGGCTTGTGACAAGCCTCTGACACCCTCCAGCTGGCTTGTGACAAGCCTCTGACACCCTCAAGCTGGCTTGTGAAAAGTCTCTGACACCCTCCAGCTGACTTGTGACAAGCCTCTGACACCCTCCAGCTAGCTTGTGACAAGCCTCTGACACCCTCAAGCTGGCTTGTAAAAAGTCTCTGACACCCTCCAGCTGACTTGTGACAAGCCTCTGACACCCTCCAGCTGGCTTGTGACAAGCCTCTGACACCCCCAAGCTGGCTTGTGAAAAGTCTCTGACACCCTCCAGCTGACTTGTGACAAGCCTCTGACACCCTCCAGCTGGCTTGTGACAAGCCTCTGACACCCTCAAGCTGGCTTGTGAAAAGTCTTTGACACCCTCAAGCTGTCTTGTGACAAGTCTCTGACACCCTCAAGCTGGCGTGTGACAAGTCTCTGACACCCTCAAGCTGGCTTGTGACTTATGTCTCTGACACCCTCAAGCTGTCTTGTGACAAGTCTCTGACACCCTCAAGCTGTCCTGTGACAAGCATCTGACACCCTCAAGCTGTCCTGTGACAAGCATCTGACACCCTCAAGCTGTCCTGTGACAAGTCTCTGACACCCTCAAGCTGTCCTGTGACAAGTCTCTGACACCCTCAAGTTGTCCCGTGACAAGTCTCTGACACCCTCAAGCTGTCCTGTGACATGTCTCTGACACCCTCAAGCTGGCATGTGACAAGTCTCTGACACCATCAAGCTGGCCTGTGACAAGTCTCTGACACCCTCAAGCTGGCTTGTGACAAGTCTCTGACACCCTCAAGCTGTCTTGTGACAAGTCTCTGACACCCTCAAGTTGTCTTGTGACTTAAGTCTCTAACACCCTCAAGCTGTCTTGTGACAAGTCTCTGACACCCTCAAGCTGTCCTGTGACAAGTCTCTGACACCCTCAAGCTGTCTTGTAACTTAGGTATCTTACACCCTCAAGCTGGCTTGTGACAAGTCTCTGACACCCTCAAGCTGGCGTGTGACAAGTCTCTGACACCCTCAAGCTGGCTTGTGACAAGTCTCTGACACCCTCAAGCTGGCTTGTGACAAGTCTCTGACACCCTCAAGCTGGCTTGTGACAAGTCTCTGACACCCTCAAGCTGGCATGTGACAAGTCTCTGACACCCCCAAGCTGACTTGTGACTTAAGCCTCTGACACCCTCAAGCTGTCTTGTGACTTAAGTCTCTGACACCCTCAAGCTGACTTGTGACAAGTCTCTGACACCCCCAAGCTGACTTGTGACTTAAGTCTCTGACACTCTCAAGCTGTCCTGTGACTTAAGCCTCTGACACCCTCAAGCTGACTTGTGACTTAAGCCTCTGACACCCTCAAGCTGTCTTGTGACTTAAGCCTCTGACATCCTCAAGCTGACTTGTGACTTAAGCCTCTGACACCCCCAAACTGTCCTGTGACAAGCATCTGACACCCTCCAGCTGACTTGTGACAAGCCTCTGACACCCTCCAGCTGACTTGTGACAAGCCTCTGACACCCTCCAGCTGGCTTGTGACAAGCCTCTGACACCCTCAAGCTGGCTTGTGAAAAGTCTCTGACACCCTCAAGCTGTCTTGTGACAAGTCTCTGACACCCTCAAGCTGGCGTGTGACAAGTCTCTGACACCCTCAAGCTGGCTTGTGACTTATGTCTCTGACACCCTCAAGCTGTCTTGTGACAAGTCTCTGACACCCTCAAGCTGTCCTGTGACAAGCATCTGACACCCTCAAGCTGTCCTGTGACAAGCATCTGACACCCTCAAGCTGTCCTGTGACAAGTCTCTGACACCCTCAAGCTGTCCTGTGACAAGTCTCTGACACCCTCAAGTTGTCCTGTGACAAGTCTCTGACACCCTCAAGCTGGCTTGTGACAAGTCTCTGACACCATCAAGCTGGCCTGTGACAAGTCTCTGACACCCTCAAGCTGGCTTGTGACAAGTCTCTGACACCCTCAAGCTGTCTTGTGACAAGTCTCTGACACCCTCAAGTTGTCTTGTGACTTAAGTCTCTAACACCCTCAAGCTGTCTTGTGACAAGTCTCTGACACCCTCAAGCTGTCCTGTGACAAGTCTCTGACACCCTCAAGCTGTCTTGTAACTTAGGTATCTTACACCCTCAAGCTGGCTTGTGACAAGTCTCTGACACCCTCAAGCTGGCGTGTGACAAGTCTCTGACACCCTCAAGCTGGCTTGTGACAAGTCTCTGACACCCTCAAGCTGGCTTGTGACAAGTCTCTGACACCCTCAAGCTGGCTTGTGACAAGTCTCTGACACCCTCAAGCTGGCATGTGACAAGTATCTGACACCCTCAAGCTGGCTTGTGACAAGTCTCTTACACCCTCAAGCTGGCTTGTGACAAGTCCCTGACACCCTCAAGCTGGCTTGTGACAAGTCTCTGACACCCCCAAGCTGTCCTGTGACAAGTCTCTGACACCCCCAAGCTGTCTTGTGACAAGTCTCTGACACCCCCAAGCTGACTTGTGACTTAAGCCTCTGACACCCCCAAGCTGACTTGTGACTAAAGCCTCTGACACCCCCAAGCTGACTTGTGACTTAAGTCTCTGACACCCTCAAGCTGACTTGTGACTTAAGCCTCTGACACCCTCAAGCTGTCTTGTGACTTAAGCCTCTGACACCCTCAAGCTGACTTGTGACTTAAGCCTCTGACACCCCCAAGCTGACTTGTGACTTAAGTCTCTGACACCCTCAAGCTGACTTGTGACTTAAGTCTCTGACACCCTCAAGCTGTCCTGTGACAAGTCTCTGACACCCTCAAGCTGTCCTGTGACAAGTCTCTGACACCCTCAAGCTGTCCTGTGACAAGTCTCTGACACCCTCAAGCTGTCCTGTGACAAGTCTCTGACACCCTCAAGCTGACTTGTGACAAGTCTCTGACACCCTCAAGCTGTCCTGTGGCAAGTCTCTGACACCCTTAAGCTGTCCTGTGACAAGTCTCTGACACCCCCAAGCTGTCCTGTGACAAGTCTCTGACACCCTCAAGCTGTCCTGTGACAAGTCTCTGACACCCCCAAGCTGTCCTGTGACAAGTCTCTGACACCCCCAAGCTGTCCTGTGACAAGTCTCTGACACCCCCAAGCTGTCCTGTGACAAGTCTCTGACACCCTCAAGCTGACTTGTGACAAGTCTCTGACACCCTCAAGCTGTCCTGTGGCAAGTCTCTGACACCCCCAAGCTGTCCTGTGACAAGTCTCTGACACCCCCAAGCTGTCCTGTGACAAGTCTCTGACACCCCCAAGCTGTCCTGTGACAAGTCTCTGACACCCCCAAGCTGTCCTGTGACAAGTCTCTGACACCCCCAAGCTGTCCTGTGACAAGTCTCTGACACCCCCAAGCTGTCCTGTGACAAGTCTCTGACACCCCCAAGCTGTCCTGTGACAAGTCTCTGACACCCCTAAGCTGTCCTGTGACAAGTCTCTGACACCCCCAAGCTGTCCTGTGACAAGTCTCTGACACCCTCAAGCTGTCCTGTGACAAGTCTCTGACACCAACTACTGTTTCTACAAGCAAGGGCCCTAATCAGCTGACTTGTCCATGTTTTCCTGGTGGAGTCTAGAGCCTGTCTTTGCTGCACTCCAGATCACTGGCCATCCTCTAGAGCTAGTGAACCTGTCTTTGCTGCACTCCAGATCACTGGCCATCCTCTAGAGCTAGTGAACCTGTCTTTGCTGCACTCCAGATCACTGGCCATCCTCTAGAGCTAGTGAACCTGTCTTTGCTGCACTCCAGAACACTGGCCATCCTCTAGAGCTAGTGAGCCTGTCTTTGCTACACTCCAGATCACTGGCCATCCTCTAGAGCTAGTAAGCCTGTCTTTGCTACACTCCAGAACACTGGCCATCCTCTAGAGCTAGTGAGCCTGTCTTTGCTACACTCCAGATCACTGGCCATCCTCTAGAGCTAGTGAGTCTGTCTTTGCTGCACTCCAGATCACTGGCCATCCTCTAGAGCTAGTGAACCTGTCTTTGCTACACTCCAGATCACTGGCCATCCTCTAGAGCTAGTGAGTCTGTCTTTGCTGCACTCCAGAACACTGGCCATCCTCTAGAGCTAGTGAACCTGTCTTTGCTACACTCCAGATCACTGGCCATCCTCTAGAGCTAGTGAGTCTGTCTTTGCTACACTCCAGATCACTGGCCATCCTCTAGAGCTAGTGAGCCTGTCTTTGCTACACTCCAGATCACTGGCCATCCTCTAGAGCTAGTGAGTCTGTCTTTGCTACACTCCAGATCACTGGCCATCCTCTAGAGCTAGTGAACCTGTCTTTGCTACACTCCAGATCACTGGCCATGCTCTAGAGCTAGTGAACCTGTCTTTGCTACACTCCAGATCACTGGCCATCCTCTAGAGCTAGTGAGTCTGTCTTTGCTACACTCCAGATCACTGGCCATCCTCTAGAGCTAGTGAGCCTGTCTTTGCTACACTCCAGATCACTGGCCATCCTCTAGAGCTAGTGAGCCTGTCTTTGCTACACTCCAGATCACTGGCCATCCTCTAGAGCTAGTGAGCCTGTCTTTGCTGCAACCCAGAACACTGGCCATCCTCTAGAGCTAGGAGATGAGCCGGACAGTTCTCTTTCTCTCATGGGGACTGTACAAGTACATCTGACACTCTCCACTACTTTACCATCTTAGAGTTGTCCCAATACCCTCTAAACTCACCTGAGCTTTTGACAGTTTTTCACCTGGTATGTCACTGATCACATCGCCCACACACCATCCCACGCTGATATGGAAGGACGGATTCTGAAATAAATTATATACTTACATTTATAAATATCATAGTGATTACACATTTCTTGTGGATTTACAACAGACTTTCGCTAAATGAGCCTCCATGAACTCTGCCAACTGAAAACCTGGCCCATAGGCGTTAACCCTTTAACTGAGACTACGAGAACTCTGCTAACTGAAAACCTGGCCCACAGGCGTTAACCCTTTTAATGAGCCTCCATGAACTCTGCTAACTGAAAACCTAGCCCACAGGCGTTAACCCTTTAACTGAGACTAAGAGAACTCTGCCAACTGAAAACCTGGCCCACAGGCGTTAACCCTTTAACTGAGACTAAGAGAACTCTGCCAACTGAAAACCTGGCCCACAGGCGTTAACCCTTTAAATGAGCCTCCATGAACTCTGCTAACTGAAAACCTGGCCCACAGGCGTTAACCCTTTAACTGAGACTAAGAGAACTCTGCTAACTGAAAACCTGGCCCACAGGCGTTAACCCTTTAACTGAGACTAAGAGAACTCTGCTAACTGAAAACCTGGCCCACAGGCGTTAACCCTTTAACTGAGACTACGAGAACTCTGCTAACTGAAAACCTGGCCCACAGGCGTTAACCCTTTAACTGAGACTACGAGAACTCTGCTAACTGAAAACCTGGCCCACAGGCGTTAACCCTTTAACTGAGACTACGAGAACTCTGCTAACTGAAAACCTGGCCCACAGGCGTTAACCCTTTAACTGAGACTACGAGAACTCTGCTAACTGAAAACCTGGCCCACAGGCGTTAACCCTTTAACTGAGACTAAGAGAACTCTACTAACTGAAAACCTGGCCCACAGGCGTTAACCCTTTAACTGAGACTAAGAGAACTCTGCTAACTGAAAACCTGGCCCACAGGCGTTAACCCTTTAAATGAGCCTCCATGAACTCTGCTAACTGAAAACCTGGCCCACAGGCGTTAACCCTTTAAATGAGCCTCCATGAACTCTGCTAACTGAAAACCTGGCCCACAGGCGTTAACCCTTTAACTGAGACTAAGAGAACTCTGCTAACTGAAAACCTGGCCCACAGGCGTTAACCCTTTAACTGAGACTAAGAGAACTCTGCTAACTGAAAACCTGGCCCACAGGCGTTAACCCTTTAACTGAGACTACGAGAACTCTGCTAACTGAAAACCTGGCCCACAGGCGTTAACCCTTTAACTGAGACTACGAGAACTCTGCTAACTGAAAACCTGGCCCACAGGCGTTAACCCTTTAACTGAGACTAAGAGAACTCTGCTAACTGAAAACCTGGCCCACAGACGTTAACCCTTTAACTGAGACTAAGAGAACTCTGCTAACTGAAAACCTGGCCCACAGGCGTTAACCCTTTAACTGAGACTAAGAGAACTCTGCTAACTGAAAACCTGGCCCACAGGCGTTAACCCTTTAACTGAGACTAAGAGAACTCTGCTAACTGAAAACCTGGCCCACAGGCGTTAACCCTTTAACTGAGACTACGAGAACTCTGCTAACTGAAAACCTGGCCCACAGGCGTTAACCCTTTAACTGAGACTAAGAGAACTCTACTAACTGAAAACCTGGCCCACAGGCGTTAACCCTTTAACTGAGACTAAGAGAACTCTGCTAACTGAAAACCTGGCCCACAGGCGTTAACCCTTTAACTGAGACTAAGAGAACTCTGCTAACTGAAAACCTGGCCCACAGACGTTAACCCTTTAACTGAGACTAAGAGAACTCTGCTAACTGAAAACCTGGCCCACAGACGTTAACCCTTTAACTGAGACTAAGAGAACTCTGCTAACTGAAAACCTGGCCCACAGACGTTAACCCTTTAACTGAGACTAAGAGAACTCTGCTAACTGAAAACCTGGCCCACAGGCGTTTAACCTTTAACTGAGACTAAGAGAACTCTGCTAACTGAAAACCTGGCCCACAGGCGTTAACCTTTAACTGAGACTACGAGAACTCTGCTAACTGAAAACCTGGCCCACAGGCGTTAACCCTTTAACTGAGACTACGAGAACTCTGCTAACTGAAAACCTGGCCCACAGGCGTTAACCCTTTAACTGAGACTACGAGAACTCTGCTAACTGAAAACCTGGCCCACAGGCGTTAACCCTTTAACTGAGACTAAGAGAACTCTGCTAACTGAAAACCTGGCCCACAGGCGTTAACCCTTTAACTGAGACTAAGAGAACTCTGCTAACTGAAAACCTGGCCCACAGGCGTTAACCCTTTAACTGAGACTACGAGAACTCTGCTAACTGAAAACCTGGCCCACAGGCGTTAACCCTTTAACTGAGACTAAGAGAACTCTGCTAACTGAAAACCTGGCCCACAGGCGTTAACCCTTTAACTGAGACTAAGAGAACTCTGCTAACTGAAAACCTGGCCCACAGGCGTTAACCCTTTAACTGAGACTAAGAGAACTCTGCTAACTGAAAACCTGGCCCACAGGCGTTAACCCTTTAACTGAGACTAAGAGAACTCTGCTAACTGAAAACCTGGCCCACAGGCGTTAACCCTTTAACTGAGACTACGAGAACTCTGCTAACTGAAAACCTGGCCCACAGGCGTTAACCCTTTAACTGAGACCAGGAGCAAGCTATGATGATCTCAGCATATCATTTGGCTCATGAGACAGGTTAGAGGTCATTGTCATTCATAAACCTACCATACAGATACAATCATTTCACACATCATAAAGAGACACAATAAGTACTCATATTGCACACAGATACAGTCAGTACTCACATCATTTATAGATATACAATTATTTTCAACATCATAAAAAGTTATACAATAATTTCTGACATCATACAGTTACTATGAGTTCTCATGTCATAGAGAGGTACAATCATTTCACACATGACACCTGAATACAAAGACATACAAGCAATGACAGAACACCAGCATTACCTCATAGTAGGCAGGGAGTTTAAACTCAGCAAAACTCTTGTCAACAGCTCTGACATATTCCAGGAACTCCTTGTTGTCCTCCACAGATAGTTCTATTACCACAAAAGTTCTGCAAGCAATACAGCACTATTAGAACAAAGAAGTTTTTTAAACAACATAGCTCTATTACCACAAAAGTTCTGCAAGCAAAACAGCACTATTAGAACAAAGAAGACACAAACAAGAGACTGCACAATTTATTGCCTGGCATATTTCGCTGTATCTCATCAGGTGCATACTTCAGTAACAATTGATTAAAATGAAGGAAATAGATGAATCCTAGAAACTGAAACACAAATTCGACCACATTCTTGAACTGTCTGTTTCACCAAGGTAACTGTAAGGTAACGACCATTTCTTTCTGCCTACAAAAGTCTGGTTTCAACCGGCTGATCGCTGACACTTAGGCATATTGAAGTAATCTACGGTTGGCCGAATTGTAAATAATTCAAAATGCATCATCCTTGTTAACGATGTGCCTGGAATTGAGAATAGGGCACGCAATAGCTGGTGACGGATTATGTCGACCAGTCACCTGATTTGTTGTTGTTGAGGTGTTAGCACTATTAGCACACACAAAAAGTTATATAAACAACACAGCTCTATTACCATAAAAGTTCTGTAAACCAAACAACTCTATTACCACAAACGTTCTGAAAACAACATAGCTCCATTACGCAAAAGTTCTACAAACAACACAGATCTATTACCACAAAAGTTCTGCCAACAGTACAATGTTCGCATAAACGTTTTGCAGACAATACAACTCTTTTACAACTAATGTTCTGCAAATAAAACAGGTATATTACCACAAAAGTTCTCCAAACAACAAGTCAAGGTTTGTATGTTTTTGGAAAATTAAACTGAGGGTTGGGTACAAGACAAAAAGATTTCAGCTGTACACTGATGTACACAAAACAAAGTTGTCAGCTGACACTGATGTACACAAAACAAAGTTTTCAGCTGACACTGACGTAAATGTCAGAGGAAGGGACCGTAACCCTGGGGAACTGCAGCTTTTACTCAGTGGCAGTGAGAAGACATCAATAACAACATGACTAGTCATGAAAGGATTCTATACAACAGCAGGCTGGAGCACGCACAATTGTGGGAATATTTATTTTAAAAGAGGATGGCAGAAATGTTTATCTCACCTTGTTTTTTCATCATTGGTGAACAACTTCACAGATGTCAAGTCACTGATGCAGCTAAACAGAAGAAAAAAATGACACAGTTGTACTAAAGTGAAAGGAGTGAAATAATGAAAGGACACAACCAGGAGACATGTCACAAACAAAATTGAATAAATACGTCTTGATATATCAATGTGGGAGGGGTGGGGTGGAGGAGTCGCTGTGGTGTTTGCAGCTAGACGCCTGCCTGCGGATCGGAAGGGGTGGGTCCACATCCTGGCGGAGTAGGACTTTTTTCAAAAATGAACTTGACTCCCAGGTTGAGCCAGCCTTGAGTGGGTACCAGGTGTAGTCCTGGGAAGTAAAGGCGGCCGGCGTGATGCTAACCATATCACCCACCAAGTTCCCATTGGTCTAAAAAAAAATATAGGTCTAGCCCTATATGCCCAATGTGCCTAAAGGCATGGAAAAGGGACCTTTACTTTTATATCAGTGGGGTGGGGGGGAGGCCAGAAGTGACCATCATTAGTCAGCAGGTTCTGTAGAGAAACATGACTTTTGACAGTCTCCCTGTCTCTAACCAGTTCTCCAGCCCTATGTGCTTTCATAACCCATGCATCTTCAATGTCTTGTATTCATTCACCGGCATTTGCTCTGCCTTGTTTCCCACAAACTGTACCCTCCAGTGTCAGTTCTCTCCAGACCATCATCACATTTAACATGGCCAACATTCTCTCCAGACCATCATCACATTTAACATGGCCAACATTCTCTCCAGATCATCATCACATTTAACATGGCCAACATTCTCTCCAGACCATCATCACATTTAACATGGCCAACATTCTCTCCAGACCATCATCACATTTAACATGGCCAACATTCTCTCCAGACCATCATCACATTTAACATGGCCAACATTCTCTCCAGACCATCATCACATTTAACATGGCCAACATTCTCTCCAGACCATCATCACATTTAACATGGCCAACATTCTCTCCAGACCATCATCACATTTAACATGGCCAACATTCTCTCCAGACCATCATCACATTTAACATGGCCAACATTCTCTCCAGACCATCATCACATTTAACATGGCCAACATTCTCTCCAGACCATCATCACATTTAACATGGCCAACATTCTCTCCAGACCATCATCACATTTAACATGGCCAACATTCTCTCCAGACCATCATCACATTTAACATGGCCAACATTCTCTCCAGACCATCATCACATTTAACATGGCCAACATTCTCTCCAGACCATCATCACATTTAACATGGCCAACATTCTCTCCAGACCATCATCACATTTAACATGGCCAACATTCTCTCCAGACCATCATCACATTTAACATGGCCAACATTCTCTCCAGACCATCATCACATTTAACATGGCCAACATTCTCTCCAGACCATCATCACATTTAACATGGCCAACATTCTCTCCAGACCATCATCACATTTAACATGGCCAACATTCTCTCAGCTTTCAGGACAGGGTGCTGTTAATAAGCCAATTCTCCTCAAAGCTCAGATCATGCTGAATGTCTGTGTTTTCTTGTCTTCTTGGTCCATGGTATTCTAAAAAATTTTCTGTGGCATTTCAGTTCAGAAGCTCTGAAGAAGTAATAAAGATATACAGTTGTGAAAGCAGTCAAACAGGATGTAGATGGTTGGTGTGTTGGAAAGATTGGTTGCAGACTTAAACACACATGACACACTACAGCAATAGTCAGCACAGATGTACAATCTACGTCTGCTAGATCAGACTAAGCACTCAGTCCATATCAATTGTTGGTTGTGTGTTCACTACAGATTTGTTAAAGCCCTAACTCTCACTGAAGCACTGAACACGTGCCCCCTGAGGTATGACACTGACATTCTGATTACTTGGCCACCTGCGTTGAAGATATTAGAAACTAACAATATGCTAAAAGTAAGCAACTATAATCTATTATTCTCTGAAAAATTAACCTACACACCCAATTTATGATTGTCAAAACTAGTGTCTAAATATCATTCTCACAATAAAAGAACTGTGTGATAACAACTAAGGAACTTATATAATGACTGCCATAACAGAGCTTTGATATTACGGGGGAGGGGGGGGGGGGGGGGTGGAGACCAAGAAAACACACCAGGAACAAAATGATGGCTGACAGGGACATAAAAAGACATCAAAAAGGGGGAGCACAACTTGCTGACAACAACCTCCCAGGTTCTGGCAGAAGATAAAGAATCAGCAGTTCTAACTATACATACCTTGTCAAGGATTTGAACTGCTCCCTCAGTGAGTCAACCAGCAGCTCTATCCAGTGATACCTGATAGTAACTGTGCGGGAAAGGCTGACATGAAAATCTGACTGAGCTTGGAAAGTTTGGGGCATCAGCATGCTTAGAAGTTTGTCTACAAATTTCACAAACTCCTCCGACTTGGCAACTGTTTGGAACACACAAGTTTACTATCTCAGTTACATGGCCACTGTTTGGAACACACAAGTTTACTATCTCAGTTACATGGCAACTGTTTGGAACACACAAGTTTATTATCTCAGTTACATGGCAACTGTTTGGAACACACAAATTTACTATCTCAGTTACATGGCAACTGTTTGGAACACACAAGTTTACTATCTCAGTTACATGGCCACTGTTTGGAACACACAAGTTTACTATCTCAGTTACATGGCAACTGTTTGGAACACACAAGTTTACTATCTCAGTTACATGGCAACTGTTTGGAACACACAAGTTTACTATCTCAGTTACATGGCCACTGTTTGGAACACACAAGTTTACTATCTCAGTTACATGGCAACTGTTTGGAACACACAAGTTTACTATCTCAGTTACATGGCAACTGTTTGGAACACACAAGTTTACTATCTCAGTTACATGGCAACTGTTTAGAACACACAAGTTTATTATCTCAGTTACATGGCAACTGTTTGAAACACACAAGTTTATTATCTCAGTTACATGGCAACTGTTTGGAACACACAAGTTTACTATCTCAGTTACATGGCAACTGTTTGGAACACACAAGTTTACTATCTCAGTTACATGGCCACTGTTTGGAACACACAAGTTTACTATCTCAGTTACATGGCCACTGTTTGGAACACACAAGTTTACTATCTCAGTTACATGGCCACTGTTTGGAACACACAAGTTTACTATCTCAGTTACATGGCCACTGTTTGGAACACACAAGTTTACTATCTCAGTTACATGGCCACTGTTTGGAACACACAAGTTTACTATCTCAGTTACATGGCCACTGTTTGGAACACACAAGTTTACTATCTCAGTTACATGGCAACTGTTTGGAACACACAAGTTTATTATCTCAGTTACATGGCAACTGTTTGGAACACACAAGTTTACTATCTCAGTTACATGGCAACTGTTTGGAACACACAAGTTTACTATCTCAGTTACATGGCAACTGTTTGGAACACACAAGTTTACTATCTCAGTTACATGGCAACTGTTTGGAAACACACAAGTTTACTATCTCAGTTACATGGCAACTGTTTGGAACACACAAGTTTACTATCTCAGTTACATGGCAACTGTTTGGAACACACAAGTTTACTATCTCAGTTACATGGCAACTGTTTGGAACACACAAGTTTACTATCTCAGTTACATGGCACTGTTTGGAACACACAAGTTTACTATCTCAGTTACATGGCAACTGTTTGGAACACACAAGTTTACTATCTCAGTTACATGGCAACTGTTTGGAACACACAAGTTTACTATCTCAGTTACATGGCAACTGTTTGGAACACACAAGTTTACTATCTCAGTTACATGGCCACTGTTTGGAACACACAAGTTTACTATCTCAGTTACATGGCCACTGTTTGGAACACACAAGTTTACTATCTCAGTTACATGGCCACTGTTTGGAACACACAAGTTTACTATTTCCATGTCCCATCTGCCCACGTATGTCCCATCTATGTTACTTTTGCCCGCCCATGCCCCATCAGCCCATTTTGACTTAACGCAAAACAGGTTGACATTCAGACACCATGACTGCTAACTAGAGAACCACCCGGCTGAATCAGAGCCACCTTTATCACAGTCAACTCCATCAGATCTGTGCTGGGATGCAGAAGTGAGAAACAAGCCATGGGGATGTACCAGCACCAGGGCTCATACTGGTCAACACTTACCTACAACAGTCTATGGTTGTCTCAGAAACAGGTTCTTACAATTGTGTTTGAAGTAAACACATCTGCCTTGAAAGCAAGTAACCAACAGTCTGCACACAATAGGCTAGATCTTGAAAATGGATGTGCACGCAGTAGCAGCAGAAGAAGAGGGGGAGGAGGAAGAAGAGGAGGAGATGGCGGCAGCAATAGAAGAAGAAGAAAAAAAAGACCTATGCTGTAAACATGACCAGTAAACAAAATTCCACCAAACTTGAATTTGTTTGGTCTCCAGTTTTGACCACCACAATCTAAACATTGCTAAACAGACATAAAAATATACACAGATCATTATCAATAAAATGATAAAATATCTCAATACCAGGCACAAAGACATGAGTGGCCCAATTTCCTTCCAAGTGAGCGAAAGATCTAACTCTATTGTCATGCTGCGATGGGTCATCTGTCCATCTGTGTTGTTTGTTGAGAAACATGGACTGGATAGAGTTAGGCACATCCAGGTGTTTCTTACTGCACAGGAAATACAAATAAGTGCAACAATGAAATAGCATTTCTAAATACAGAATACAATATATGTAACAATGAACTAACAAATATCTACTCCGTATCTCTAATGTCATCAATATAAGACTTTGACAGAAGCTTGTCTGTCCAGGATCACACAGAGGAGGTTATGACAAGGGCAAAAAAAAGATGTTAATGCACTTAAGATCATGGCACTAATGGACATGGAGCAGAGAATGCTGTTTAAATTACAAGGCCCTTTGGGAACCAGTGACAGTCAGACAAGAAACTATATAATTATGGCCTGGAGAGAATGAGGCACCTGGGTGTGACCAGAGGGTTTGGTCGGCACACTACACTCAGAGGAAAAGCTAGACGGACATATAACCAGACTAAAACTAGTACCATTAGTATAGGAACTCTGTGCTGGCTGCTGGGAATGGGGACAGAGTGCACATGTAAATGTCCTGAGTGCTATGATGTAAATTCTTGACTCAGCATTTTTCTCTTCCTTATCTGATTGTTTATACAATGGATCAAAATCAAGGCACAAGGGTGGTAACTCATAAGTGCTCCGTTCTACTTCTAACTCAAGCCTGAGTCTGAAGAATCTCAGCGCAGTGCATGAACTCTGTAGCACCGACGGGGATCCTGAAATACCCTGGGTAGATTTTTCACTCCAAATATTTTCCCGGGCAGCCCTGTTTGGCTACTTTTTTCGATTTACAACTGCCAACTGATTTTTTTTTATCTGCACAACATGGGTGTCCAATCTTACTACCCAGAGACCAGGGAAAAATTCCAGCCTTCACCACGGCCTGAACCCAGGACCTCCAGCACTAAAGGCTGATGCCAAGCCTTGAGACCATTCAGCCCCCTCTCCCTTCCTTATATGTGTGTCAAAATGAGTGTGCCACATCTCTCAAGCTGAAAGATAAACTTTTGCTAAATTTCACATACACTCCAGTTTTTGCTACATTTCACATACACTCCAGTTTTTGCTACATTTCACATACACTCCAGTTTTTGCTACATTTTACATACACTCCAGTTTTTGCTTCATTTCACATACACTCCAGTTTTTGCTTCATTTTACATACACTCCAGTTTTTGCTACATTTCACATACACTCCAGTTTTTGCTTCATTTCACATACACTCCAGTTTTTGCTTCATTTCACATACACTCCAGTTTTTGTTTCATTTTACATACACTCCAGTTTTTGCTTCATTTCACATACACTCCAGTTTTTGCTTCATTTTACATACACTCCAGTTTTTGCTTCATTTCACATACACTCCAGTTTTTGCTTCATTTTACATACACTCCAGTTTTTGCTACATTTCACATACACTCCAGTTTTTGCTTCATTTCACATACACTCCAGTTTTTGCTACATTTCACATACACTCCAGTTTTTGCTACATTTCACATACACTCCAGTTTTTGCTACATTTCACATACACTCCAGTTTTTGCTACATTTCACATACACTCCAGTTTTTGCTACATTTCACATACACTCCAGTTTTTGCTACATTTCACATACACTCCAGTTTTTGCTACATTTAACATACACTCCAGTTTTTGCTTCATTTCACATACACTCCAGTTTTTGCTACATTTCACATACACTCCAGTTTTTGCTACATTTCACATACACTCCAGTTTTTGCTACATTTCACATACACTCCAGTTTTTGCTAGAGCTGACCTACTTACAGAGGAGCCACCGTGGTGTAGCAGCTGGATGCTCACCTGAAGACCCAAGAGTTGTGGGTTCAAATATGGATGCTGCCAGACTTTTCTAAAAGACATTGGATCTGAGGTCAACCCAGCCTTAAATGGGTACCAGGTAAAGACATGGGAAGTAAAAGCAGCTAGCATGATGTTGACCAAATTACACTGAGTGGTCTATAAAATATAGGTCTAGCCCTATATGCCTAACATAACTGAAGGCAAGGGAAATGGTGCTTTTACATACTCAAGTTTATGCATTGTATATGAGTGGCCCATCTTGTTGGCTCATGCTAAACACATTAAGTTGTTGCTGATGTGATTTTAAAAAAAATGTTCATAAACATGTACCTGCCATCACTTAACTTCCTCTTTCTATTGGTCAGAGTACAGGAAACAGTTTCTGACTCCACTGGTTGAACTGAGGTAGGAGATTCTGGTGATGATGTTGTAAAACTGTGGTCTTCTTCTGAGCATGGACTTAACACACTATAAATATCTGGGACTTTATACGAGTCTGCTTCATCTGTGAGAGCCGAAGTATGAGATGTCTGAACTTGAGGGTGGCCTTGTCCTGTAGATGGGGAATTCATGTTTGTCTTTTGATGTGCTTGCATGACGTTGTCAGTCACTTTATTTTGTACATCACTAGTCACATTAATGGTTTGTGAGCCGTGACTTGAGCTGTCCTTCCCTCGTTCAGTTTCAGATTTTGACAGATGACAATCTAGTGTTACTTTTGTTGAATGTGACAGTTCACTGTATGTGTCACTGTCGCTGCTGACAAAGTTGCACTTCTGGTCATCAGATTCGTCAGTGATAGGTAGGTCTTGTGCTGGTGTGTGACTCATGGTGACCTTGTGAAGTGGACCTGGCTTGTGGCTACTGCATAACTTTACCATCTCATCTTGGCTAACTGTATTGATATATGTATCCTGTCGGAAAATATTTGTCTCAACCATTGCAGATCCCATTTCTGGAGAAACACCAGAAACATTGTCTTCGTCATCAGAGCTGGTGTAGCTGACCAGCCGGTTCATGTTGTCACTGTTACCAAACCTAGGACCAGACTATTACTCAAATACTTTAAATAATAAGAAAATCTTAATGTTGTATTTTTGCAAACAGAAAACCACACAAAACATGTGAGTTCCGCTGCTGACTAGACACAATCTGCTGATTGCAGTGGTTAAGGTGTCATACACATGGTTAACTTTACATATCCTAAAACAATTTATTTTATAAAATGTTTACTTTCCCTGACAACAGGGGCGGCTCTCTCTCTCTCTCATTAAGTAATCAAGAATCAAAGTGGTGACTACTATTTATAACTCTAAATTATATTGCATGACTTATGACTGAACAGTAATGACACAAGCTGTCTGGACGAGGCGAGGACACCGCTGACATTGACAACCCAATGTGTTTGAGTGTTGTCAAACTGCAGTTCAGTCCTGATCTGTGCTAGCTAGGAGTAGCAGAAGCGAACCTTCGTGTCTGTATGACACAAGTGTATACAAACAGAAGATGCTTGGAAGAGGAAAAGAAGCAGCCAACAACTGCAAGTCTGCTACGTGAAAAGAAACAACTGTTTGTTTGCGCTAGTGTGTGAATCTGAACGAAACGAAGACGTTGCTGTCTGTCAGTGTTAGTCGAAACTCCCAAATCTTGTTCACCATCCAAATGTTTGGCCAGGGGACAGCACCCCCATCTCTGGCTTAGTTCCGTACAGGTTCTGGTGTGTCGGAGCCGGCAAGCACTGGATGACCGTGTCTCTGTGTATGTATGTATACACGCTTTAGAGAGGCGCGGGATTCACAGTCCATGACGGTGACCAGTGTGTCTAGCAAGACCCACTCCCGTTAAAAAAAGGCAAGTCGGGACAGACCATTGTAGACCAGGGGAAGGACATAATTCGAAATGAGTCTTTAGATCTATCAAAGATGCAAACAGCGCGCGATGAATGGAGCGTCAGAAAATAGAGAGTCGGAAGAATGGAGACTCGGAAGAATGGAGAGACAGAAAAATGGAAAGTCAAAAGAATGGAGAGTCCACACAAGAGAGACCACACAAGAGAGACCACACAAGAGAGACCACAAGACCGCTCAAGTAGACGATGTAAAGACAATGTCTAATCATGCCTACGAACACTTGCAGTCAGGAACTGCAAAGAGAAGACACGCCAGAGACATGAAAGGATTGGGGTGATATCTGCAGTAATAAACCTCAAGGGCTCGGAATGCTGAAGAAGGAAAAGAAGAAGAAGAAGGTGATAATGACGCAGAAACCTGTCACTTTAACCCCCCCCCCTCCCCCCCCCCACCCCCCCACCCCACCATCAAGTGTGTGTGTGTGACCATATGACTCCACAGATAACCAAGTTTCACAACGAATATCAGAACATATTACTTCAAACGTTAAGGTTGATCATAACCGCCTCCATGAATGCTATTTGCTCAAGATAGTAGTTCCTGGCATGTCGTTCCAGATAGGTTTAGAGCATACCGACAATGAGTCCTTTGCTTAGAAGTTATACACATAAAGGTATAGCCATGTCTATCAGCAGTATTTCTGGACATGGTGGTGATATAACTAAGTCTTCCTGCAGTATTTCTGGACATGGTGGTGGTATAACCAAGTCTTCCAGTGGTATTTCTGGACATGGTGGTGGTATAACCAAGTCTTCCTGCAGTATTTCTGGACATGGTGGTGGTATAACCAAGTCTTCCAGTGGTATTTCTGGACATGGTGGTGGTATCACCAAGTCTTCCTGCAGTATTTCTGGACATGGTGGTGTTATAACCAAGTCTTCTAGCAGTATTTCTGGACATGGTGGTGGTATAACCAAGTCTTCCAGCAATATTTCTGGACATAGTGGTGGTATCACGTCAAATAACATGCATGGGTGGTTATGTGAATAAAATAATCAGCACAATGCTGAACTTATGTTACTATATGTTTGAGGATTACTTGACTGCATCTTTGTAATGCTGTCGTTCATCTTTTGCTGGCTTTACATGCATTTTGATTCTAGTCAATCACATCTCTCTGACCATATGTTCACTATAAAATTATTTCCAATTCTGTTCACGTTTGTTAATATATTTTTAGTTTTCTCCTATTTGACTCGCTTCCCTGTGGTAAATGATTTGTTTTCATGACGTTGACTGATTAACTTATTACCCCACCAGGACATCACACTGAGCGATAAACACCTGATGACACAAGGCGCCACCATTAGGATGAGGATTACCCATGGAGAGGTGCAAAAAACCCGGTTCAACTGTTAGGTTACATTAGGGCCAGGATTGGGCTTCAAAGTAATGAAAAATTTGTTTCACAGGGGAACGGGGATTACATTCATGACATTTCCTGTTTCAGATGATTTAAGCGCATTCTTTTTTTATGAATCAAAATAAAAGAATAATCTATGTATCCAATATTGACTATGATTTGTGGTAAAAATCATGAATATTTTTCTGTTGTGTTTACCTTTAAAAGGGTGGTTGGGCGTTGTGTTGTGGTTTACAGCTAGGCCGCGATGTCTACACGTTTTAGTTCAACACATCTGTTTTCAGCAAACTTCTCATTATTCGCCATTTATAACATGTTTGTTGAAAGGGGAGTTGGGAAGGAAACTTGGATTTTGTTCTTCCTTAAAATAAGGCCCAGGTGCCAACATGGGAAACAGAGCCCATGAGACATTCCCACAGGTGCTCCGTCTCTTGTGAAAAAGTCAGTCAAGAGTCCTCATGCCAACTGTGCCAGAGACAACCTGAATAAAAGTCTCCTTAAGCTTGAACTTCCTTCTTAAGCTTGAACTTCCTTCGCTGAGGGTCGTTCACGCCCTTGGCTGAATCAGTGTTGCCAGGTATGAAAACTACTGCCCTAGTCACATGACTCCTTCGCACCAGTTGGATCATACCTGGAAAACAAAGGATGGTAGAGTCCCTAAGGACATCCTCTATCGTGAATGGGTAGAAGATGTCGAGGGCTGCCTATACTACGACATAAAGATGTGTGCAAGTAGGACATGAATGATACAGGTATTGAGGTGGACTCATGGAAAACAAATTCTATGGACTGTGTTGCATAGAGGGGTAAATCAGGAAGGGAATGTGAATGAAGGAAGAAATGAGTGCAGAAAGGATGACAGCTGAACATCTAAGAAGAAACATACTAAACACAACAATGGTCCTGAAATTCCATGCTATCATTGTGGAAGACCTTTCTTAACCCAGGCAGGTCTTGCTAGTCAAACTCTCCCTTACCATGAGCTGTGAGTCTCACACCACCTCAGAGCACAGTATAACATTATTGTCTGGGAATACGGAAAGATGCCAACAATAATTCACATAATACAAGAAAAAAAAATATTTTCTTTTTCCACGGCTATGGGCGTTGTCCTTATAGAGCAGCCACACGTGCAACACACACATGCTAGCCTCACATTTACTCACAGAACAAACAGAAAAACAAGAAATGTAAGAAATAATAAAAAAATTAACTCTTTATTTCAAGAAAGAACCCAGCACTTATAATTATGGCACAGTATGTGGCAAATCAAGTCAATGTTCACTGACATCTTTGTCAAAGAAAGTAAACAAACTGTGAGATGTGTGGTAAAGCCCACACACAAAATCCTCCATTTGACAATTATAATGTTGATCCTAGGTTGTAGTGTGTTCAGTATTTATGACACTTGTGACAGCATGATGTGAATATAGAAAAACTTGGACCCGGGTTTTTGTCCTTGTGACAGCATGATGTGAATATAGAAAACCTGGACACCTGTGACAGCCTGATGTGAATATAGAAAACTTAGACCCGGGGTTTTTGTCCTTGTGACAGCATGATGTGAATATAGAAAACTTAGACCCGGGGTTTTTGTCCTTGTGACAGCATGATGTGAATATAGAAAAACTTGGACACCTGTGACAGCATGATGTGAATATAGAAAACTTAGACCCGGGGTTTTTGTCCTTGTGACAGCATGATGTGAATACAAAAAACTTAGACACGGGGTTTTTGTCCTTGTGACAGCATGATGTGAATATAGAAAACTTGGACACGGGGTTTTTGTCCTTGTGACAGCATGATGTGAATATAGAAAACTTAGACACGGGGTTTTTGTCCTTGTGACAGCATGATGTGAATATAGAAAACTTAGACACGGGGTTTTTGTCCTTGTGACAGCATGATGTGAATATAGAAAACTTAGACACGGGGTTTTTGTCCTTGTGACAGCATGATGTGAATATAGAAAACTTAGACACGGGGTTTTTGTCCTTGTGACAGCATGATGTGAATATAGAAAACTTAAACACGGGGTTTTTGTCCTTGTGACAGCATGATGTGAATATAGAAAACTTAGACACGGGGTTTTTGTCCTTGTGACAGCATGATGTGAATATAGAAAACTTAGACACGGGGTTTTTGTCCTTGTGACAGCATGATGTGAATATAGAAAACTTAGACACGGGGTTTTTGTCCTTGTGACAGCATGATGTGAATATAGAAAACTTAGACACCTGTGACAGCCTGATGTGAATATAGAAAACCTGGACACCTGTGACAGCCTGATGTGAATATAGAAAACTTAGACACCTGTGACAGCATGATGTGAATATAGAAAACTTAGACACGGGGTTTTTGTCCTTGTGACAGCATGATGTGAATATAGAAAACTTAGACACGGGGTTTTTGTCCTTGTGACAGCATGATGTGAATATAGAAAACTTAGACACGGGGTTTTTGTCCTTGTGACAGCATGATGTGAATATAGAAAACTTAGACACCTGTGACAGCCTGATGTGAATATAGAAAACCTGGACACCTGTGACAGCCTGATGTGAATATAGAAAACTTAGACACGGGGTTTTTGTCCTTGTGACAGCATGATGTGAATATAGAAAACTTAGACACGGGGTTTTTTGTCCTTGTGACAGCATGATGTGAATATAGAAAACTTGGACACCTGTGACAGCATGATGTGAATATAGAAAACTTGGACACCTGTGACAGCATGATGTGAATATAGAAAACTTGGACACCTGTGACAGCATGATGTGAATATAGAAAACTTGGACACCTGTGACAGCCTGATGTGAATATAGAAAACTTGGACACCTGTGACAGCCTGATGTGAATATAGAAAACTTGGACACAGGGTTTTTGTCCAGAAACTGATGTCACTTCTTCTTGGTGTTCACCAGCTGTAAATTCTGGTTTTTTTTATCCAGTGTTAACTTTCATCTTGTTCCAGAACTTGAGTCTTGCATGCACACCTGTTTTACAGATCTGGATTTTTGTGTGCAGGCTGTGGATTCGTTGCCTCTTAGATGCACCTCGACTTTGAGTTAAACACCCCTAAATATTATACTTTTAATCACATGTTTACTGGGGAAGTGGAAGGAGGGGTGGGGCAGTGGGGTGGGGCAGTGGGGTGGGGCAGTGGGGTGGGGCAGTGGGGTGGGGCAGTGGGGTGGGGCAGTGGGGTGGGGCAGTGGGGTGGGGGTTGATTCTATTCTTGTCTGCCACAAAATGGGGTCATGGAACCCACACAGGGAAATTCAGTGGATCAAAGCAGTAGCCATCAATGTCATGGGGGAGATACAACCATCAATGTCATGGGGGAGATACAACCATCAATGTCATGGGGGAGATACAACCATCAATGTCATGGGGGAGATACAACCATCAATGTCATGGGGGAGATACAACCATCAATGTCATGGGGGAGATACAACCATCAATGTCATGGGGGAGATACAACCATCAATGTCATGGGGGAGATACAACCATCAATGTCATGGGGAGATACAACCATCAATGTCATGGGGGAGATACAACCATCAATGTCATGGGGAGATACAACCATTATGTCATGGGGAGATACAACCATCAATGTCATGGGGAGATATCAGTGTCATGGGGAGATACAACCATCAGTGTCATGGGGGAGATACAACCATCAATGTCATGGGGGAGATACAACCATCAATGTCATGGGGGAGATACAACCATCAATGTCATGGGGGAGATACAACCATCAATGTCATGGGGGAGATACAACCATCAATGTCATGGGGGAGATACAACCATCAATGTCATGGGGAGATACAACCATCAATGTCATGGGGGAGATACAACCATCAATGTCATGGGGAGATACAACCATTATGTCATGGGGAGATACAACCATCAATGTCATGGGGAGATATCAGTGTCATGGGGAGATACAACCATCAGTGTCATGGGAAGATACAACCATCAATGTCATGGGGAGATACAACTATCAATGTCATGGGGAGATACAACCATCAATGTCATGGGGAGATACAACCATCAATGTCATGGGGAGATAAAACTATCAATGTCATGGGAAGATACAACCATCAATATCATGGGGGAGAAACAACCATCAATGTCATGGGGGAGAAACAACCATCAATGTCATGGGGGAGATACAACCATCAATGTCATGGGGGAGAAACAACCATCAATGTCATGGGGGAGAAACAACCATCAATGTCATGGGGGAGAAACAACCATCAATGTCATGGGGGAGAAACAACCATCAATGTCATGGGGAGATACAACCATCAATGTCATGGGGAGATACAACCATCAATGTCATGGGGAGATCTAACCGTCAATCTCATGGGGGAGATACAACCAAACTGATGACAGGGCAAGTGAAGGTATAAAACGTCTGTAGCAAATAGCTAAATATATTTTGTTCATAAATAGATAAGTAGGAGTTAAAGATAAAAAGTTTTCACAAAATCAGTTGGTTGTTACCTTTCCGTCTTTCCAGGCAATAGTGTTATATTGTACTATGAGGAGGCACGGGACTCACAGGATCATGGCGATAGCAAGTGTGACTAGCAAGACACACCCATGATAGGAAACGTTTTCCACAATTATAGCACAGGATTTCAGGACCGTTGTTGTCAACATTGTTTCTTCTCAGATGCTTAGCTCTCATCCTTTCTGCGATCATTCCTTTCTTCATTCTCATTCCCTTCTTGATTTGCCCCATCCATGCAACACGGTCCATGACATCCCCCACCCCAAATAAGTCCACCTCAATACCTGTATCATTCAGGTACCATGTGCACACATCTTTATATTGTAGTAGAGGTCGGCCCCGACATCTTCTACCCATCTGTAATTCGCCATAAAGGATGTCCTTAAGAACTGCCATTTTCGGTTCTCCAGCTGTGACCCAGCCACCTGAAAGTTTGTAGACTGCGAATTGAGAAGACTGTTGTAGTACCTGCTTTTTCCAGTACCTCAGTGTTTGTGATTTTGTCCTACCACTTAATGCCAAGTATTCACTAAATTAAAATATAAACAAAGATTATTATCTTTCACTATTTATCCCATAAAACATACTATGTATGATCAGCTACTCTTCAGTTGTACCAACCATCATGTCATTTATGTTTTTACTTCTCACATTTAGTCAGAACATACTAAAGAAACCTGGCAAAGGGATGCCAGCATAAATTAGATTTGTTTCTATCATTTGTGTCTCCCCAACGCCCTCAGTTTCAGCTGTGATCTTTTGGCAATTTAAGCTAGTTATGAAAAGATTATATTTTCCTTATGAAATTCTTACAAGTGAATACATTCGCATATTTATACAAGATTCTGGTCCCTCCTTTAGCTTCTCTCAAGCGATTCTTGTTTTCTATGTCAATATATTGAGTATTAATTATTCTTCCACACTTAAAAGTAAGACAAGATCAAACGAAAAATAATGGACAATTAAAGTTTCAGTTTTTCTAACTCTTGACAATTTCTAGTTCTGTGGCTGCTGCAACATTACAGACTTGTTGGCAGTTAAAGGTCACAATGACCTCATTGACCCCTGCCCGTCTGGTAGTTAGAGACACAGCTTCCCTGATTTCCTCCCCTGGTTCCACCTGTTTCCTATAGGAGAAAAGTAGTGCAATAGGAATCATAATAAATGAATGCATCTAATTATAGAATAATTATTTGTGTATCCCTACAAATTAAATAATTTACAGATTAATTATTTCGATGTGACTAGAAATTAATTTGTTTGAAAATTGATTAAGTGATTGTAATTAAAAATCTAAGTAAACAGTAATTATATGAATGTCACTAGAAATTAACTTATGCAATTATCATCATCAACACAATCAGGTGGCAGTTGTGTGTTCTGCTCGCATCAGAGTGCACATAGTTATATTTTGATCCTTCATCAGTGCCAACATCTGGTGTATACTCATACTCTGAGTGCCTTTAATCTTTAACTCTTTTGATTCCAAGTATCGCCTGGAGTGTGTCGCTGACTTTGTCTCTTGAATTACCCACATAGCATATTATGTAATGATCACTGCCTATGATTTTCAGCATGGCACATGATGATGATGATACTTTAAGAAAGAGGGGGGCGCTGGGCGATTTTGTTTTGACCCAAAAGGGGGTGGTGGGCCACAACAGTTTGGGAAACACTGGTTGACATGAAACATGACCATGGTCTAGAGACAACAGTAATGGAAGGGTTGGTTCCTGGGAGGAAACAAGGGTGTGGGAGGAGGGTTCAATAAGCAACAGATTGGGCATGAGATACTGAGCATAAAAATGAATGAACGAAGCAAGGGAATTAGCAGGGGACCTAAAGGTTTTACAGTGGCTGTGATGGATGTAATACCGCTTACATGGGGATGAGTTACTTACTTGAGTTTTACGCTGGATTCTTTAACCACACCGGGTCCATCTACAGACATGACCCCATTAGTCAGTGGAACTGAAAGTGTATTTTTTAGCTTGATCACGGCTGTGACGTTCTTCCCCAGGATGACTTTGCTGTCAGTCTGTGAAATAGGTGAACAAATGAGGTCTAGCTCAGCAAAAGACCATTTCTTGTGGATTTCTCCAAGTAAACATGGCTGTTTTAGTAAATATACACATTTGGACTGCAATACGCATTTAGTCAACAGGTGCACATGTGAACATGTATTAACATTTGAATCAACACTGCTGTCAACTCCGGGCATTCTATGTCTGTGAGGGCAGATAATTAATAACTGTTGGTCAAGAGAAGATAACTTTGACTTTTGAATATATTGCACAAGAAGGCTTTATATATATCATATTTTTATTATTAGATCATAACACTTCTTATTCTTCCTTTCGTTTGCCTAAAATAAGCTGTCTCTATTAGCAGTTTTCTTTCTCATTTAAATTTCACTGTTGTTTTTAGTTCATTCAACGGTTTGTAGAGTTTACTTTCCACTGTTGTTCTTTCTGACAACAAAATTTGCCTTTATGTTATGTTCGGTGCAGTTCTGAAGTACATATTCCTCTGTCTGGGCCACCTTTCCACATGTGGACATGGCTTGATACGCCTATTTTGAATTTCATGTATGTGGTTGCAAACATATTGTGATCACAACACTGATCTAATGGAAGTCAAGGTGGCGCAATTACTAGAATGCTCGCCTTCCAGATGAGTAATTTTTTTTCTGATTTCGCTTCAAGTTGGGCATTTTTTTCAGTGCAGCAATTTTCTTCCAGGTGAATCCTGTCAAATCGCTAGGAAATAAACACGCTGACTAATTTTAAAATATGGACTAGATTCCTCAGCCAGGGACTGCCTGATTATCCTTTATTGTACGGCCTGCTTTCTTATTAGTAAGTAGGCCAAGGACCATTTGTTACACTAATGACTACGAAGAATTTGGGTCTAGACCAGTATTTGTAAAGACAATTGGATCTCCATGGGTGATATGACCCACATCATATTGTGGTTTGTTACAGAGATAAAGAGGAGAACAAACCTTGATTTCCAAGTGAGGGTGGTCAAGGCAGTATGACTGGACATGGGCAAATCTCTGTCCAGTCTCTCGGACCTTGGCCATGATGTAGGAGGTCACGTTACTGTCTGTGAGCTTCTGTCCGATAAACTCTGAACACTTGAGCTCCAGAACCACACTGTCAACTGTCATATTGATGCCATGTTAGGACATAGAGCAGTGTAGGCAATAAAGGATTTTATATAAAACATCATTTTTAAAAAATCATAAAACACAAGACATATTTTCAAGACAAACTGATCTCTTCCCTCGGTTAGTTCCAATTAATGTGTATTGTGTGTTTGGTGATACACTGTCAGGCTCATAACAACACATAATGAGTTCTTTTATGTGTTATATTTATTCAGAACATACTGAAGAAATCTGGCCTATTCAGTGTGTATTTAGACATTTTAAGTCCTCAACTGATGATTTGTCAAAAGAATTGTTTCCTCTTATTGAGGATCTGCCAGGTAACATTCTCAGAAATGCCAAATTATCAATTTTGGCTGTGATTACTGATTGTATTTCTACAAGTATGTCACTTCAGTTCTGCAACGGTTTGTCACACTGCATTTCCTACAAAGCCTTCAGGTCTGACAACTTCCTTTTTGGTTCCCCAATGTCTCTCATCACAATGAATAAACACTAGAATAGAAAATAACTACCTGTGAAATGTGCTGTTTTCATAAAGTCACTAAGAGCAAAAGAAGGTACAAGGTTACAAATACTAGCATTAAACAGCAAGTTGGAAAAAACACTGTGTCTGAATTATATTGACAGTCACACACAAAAATGAAATGGTTCAGTCATCTAGTGAGATGCAGCCAGACAAAAATGCAAATGAGACTTTATACAACAGAACATTTGGGCAGAAGGCGAGGAGAAAACCCAGAAAGATATGAATAAGTGGTGTAGCTGAAACCTGTAAAGTGATGAACATTCAATGTAATTTAAATCATCAGTTTGGCTGAGCAATGAATGGTATTCATGATGTATGCTCCATCTATTACATGATCCTCCATGATAGTCAGAGAACCAGCCAGAGCGTCTGCTTTATTGTTCCCTTAAACTCCAGCCTGAATTTCCATGTTCTAGATTTGTAGAATGTTATCTTTCACACGGCTGTCCCATTTGACTACATCAATATGTTGTTTTACGAAAGGTTGCTGACAACAATTCTCTATTTTACCATGGAATGATCACCAGCAATATGTGCCAGCTACACAATGCTGTACTGTCCAGATGTTTTCATACTGTCCAGGAACTGTGGGTGCATGAAGCTTGTGTGGGTGCATGCAGCTTGTGTGGGTGCATGCAGCTTGTGTGGGTGCATGCAGCTTGTGTGGGTGCATGCAGCTTGTGTGGGTGCATGCAGCTTGTGTGGGTGCATGCAGCTTGTGTGGGTGCATGCAGCTTGTGTGGGTGCATGTAGCTTGTGTGGGTGCATGCAGCTTGTGTGGGTGCATGCAGCTTGTGTGGGTGCATGCAGCTTGTGTGGGTGCATGCAGCTTGTGTGTGTGCATGCAGCTTGTGTGGGTGCATGTAGCTTGTGTGGCTGCATGCAGCTTGTGTGGGTGCATGCAGCTTGTGTGGGTGCATGCAGCTTGTGTGGGTGCATGCAGCTTGTGTGGGTGCATGCAGCTTGTGTGGGTGCATGCAGCTTGTGTGGGTGCATGCAGCTTGTGTGGGTGCATGCAGCTTGTGTGGGTGCATGCAGCTTGTGTGGGTGCATGCAGCTTGTGTGGGTGCATGCAGCTTGTGTGGGTGCATGCAGCTTGTGTGGGTGCATACAGCTTGTGTGGGTGCATGCAGTTTGTGTGGGTGCATGCAGCTTGTGTGGGTGCATACAGCTTGTGTGGGTGCATGCAGCTTGTGTGGGTGCATGCAGCTTGTGTGGGTGCATGCAGCTTGTGTGGGTGCATGCAGCTTGTGTGGGTGCATGCAGCTTGTGTGGGTGCATGCAGCTTGTGTGGGTGCATGCAGCTTGTGTGGGTGCATGCAGCTTGGGTGGCTGCATGCAGCTTGTGTGGCTGCATGCAGCTTGTGTGGGTGCATGCAGCTTGGACTAAACAAATTTCCTAATAAACTCATACAAATTATTTACATCCACAAACATGTTAAAACAGCTAGCTAGCTAGTTATTTATTTATTCGTCTGTCCTCCTATCTGTCTATCTATCTGACTGTCTTTCTGTCTGCTTTCCTGGCAGTTTACCTGTCTGCTTTCCTGGCAGTTTACCTGTCTGCCTTTGTTTCTGTCTGTCTGTTCATCCATCTGCTCATCTATGTGTCCCATTCATCCTTCTGTCTATTCACATCTCTGCCTGTCTATAGTCTAGTATCTGCTCCTCAGTCCTCCTGTCTTTTATGTTTACATACATGTGTGTGTGTATCGTGTGTATGTATGGTGTGTGTGTGTGTGATGTATGTGTGGTGTGTGTGTGCACGTGCATGCATGCATGTGGGCACATGTATTCAGTATGTTTTGTGCATGTCTTTTTGACTAGACATTCACCACAAATACCTTTCTTAGGTTCCAGCACCAGAGAGGAGACCACTTTCTTCAGTTCTGCAGACGTCAATCCCGTGTAGAAGGAAGAAAAAGCCCCAAGGTACACATCAACGATGCGTCCTTCTGACCCCACATTTTGAACTTGCAAGGTAAGCTTGATATCACCACCCTTGTCCATCCCGCCATTTGCTTTAAACTCAACGTCTCGCTTGGAACTCTGGGAAATCACTGGTGTCTTTCTGCTGCAGAGTTTCCCAGCTTTTTCCAGAACTTCCTTCGCTTCTTTACTTCCTGAAAGCAAATGTAACTGCATGATTTCTCTGCAGACATCTTGTAAATGTTTTCTAATGATAACTACTAGTTAACAACAATGCAAAGTCTTGGTTAGTATCGATTACCTCTTTCAGTCACAATCGACTCACCATGTCTTTATCAATTTCTACTGATATGATATATTTTCCTCAACCTAGTGTGTTATACCCATGTGCTACACAAAGATAGTCAGCCTAAACTGTCACTTTAACTCATTCTATCTTGTTTTACTTTAAACTTCATCAGGTCCAAACATAATTATTTAACAAGTTCTAATGATATAACGAATGTAAGTAAACTTACCTAGGACTGAAAAGGTTCATATATTAATTATACAAATACTGTTGGTGTCTGATATAGAAATGCTGAAAAAAGATGCCTTAAAAAAGGTGCCGGTACTGTATACAGTTATGTCTTCTTTTTGTTCACTTCCTCTGTTACCGCTTGGGGCAGCATGGCAGATAGAAGGTTGGTTCCGCTTCTTGCTCTTCTGGCTGCCTCGACCACAGTCACATGGTGCTGTTGTAGAGTTTCTCTGATGTTATCTTTCCATCTTGTTCTTGGTCTACCTTGCGCTCTTTGTCCATTGCTCTTTTAATGTATGCCTTCTATGGTCTGGCATCACACAACATTCTCTCTAAGTGGGCAAACCATTTTATTTGCTGTCATTTTATGTATTTTAGAACTGGTTCTCAGCCGACTTCTTCTCTTATGACATCATTCCTGATTTAATCTCTTTTGGTCACTCCGGCAGTCCTTCTCAGACAGTTGTGTACCCCTTTAAAAAAAAATGTGCTATATCTGTAAATGTAAAAATAATTCTTATTACCATGATGCTATTACCGTCCTAATGTTGCTACAAAGTTACCTAAATGTTGCAATATGTTAGCTAACAGCAAAATCAATGTTTTAATGAACCATAAATAACTATGAGACACCACACAAAACTGCCACACATCACACACAGAACTGTCAGATGCCACACATAACTGTCAAACATCCCACATAACTGTCAGACAACACACAGAGCTGTCAGACACCACACATAACTGTGAAACATCCCACATAACTGTCAGACACCAAACATGATGTATGTGTGGTCCAACACCACACATCACTGTCCAGCACCAGACATAACTGTCAAACATCCCACAAAACTGTCAGACACCCCACACAACTTTCAGACATCCCACATAACTATCAAACCCCCACATAACTATCAAACCCCCACATAACTATCAAACCCCCACATAACTATCAAACCCCCACATAACTATCAAACCCCCACATAACTATCAAACCCCCACATAACTATCAAACCCCCACATAACTATCAAACCCCCACATAACTATCAAACCCCCACATAACTATCAAACCCCCACATAACTATCAGAAATCCCATAGAACAGTCACCTTCAGAATGTTTGTAACTGGCAGCTATGTCCTCCTTTGAGGCAGTTCCAACTGATTTTGTGCAGACAGCACCACCAACAGAACCTCCTTCCATGAAAGCTTCCATGTCACCATGGATGTCCACCTGCCAGTAGACGCTGCCACCGTTGAGCTCAGCAAACAGGTATTTGGAGTCAAAGCCAATGTGAAGGTCACCTTGGAGGATGGCTTTGACAGGGGCAGGGCCACAGGTAACAACGCCTGTGGGGAAATAAAAAACATAGAATTTGTTTACAAAATAATTAATTTTGTAGCTTTTGCACCCCTAATGTTTACCTGAGCAGTCATGACTGTAAACTTAAAAAAGTCTGTTGTTTCCTACTCAAGTAGAAAAATAATTATCCCCGTAATTTACAAACTGCTAATTATATTTTTTAGAGAATCCTTTTTCACTTCTCTCTCTCTCACTCTCTTTTTTATGTGTGTGAGGGTGTACGATTGTGTACACATGATGTGTGTGTGCATTATTCTATAATTTATATTTCTTTATTATATCCATAACAACATTTATAGCAGGCATTGGTACACTGAAAAAATAAGTGCTTAGAAGGACCATGCGTCAGACGGGCCTGCGTGCCCAATTTGTAACCCTTTGAAAATAAAGTTTGTTCGCTCGTTCGTTTGTTCTCTCTCTCTTTCTATTTCTTTTTGTATGTGTCTCCTCTCTACTGTATCTCTCTTCTATGTCTCCCAATTCCCCCTCACTCTACATATATCTCCAATATGGATATACAGTAAGACTTTACTGGTACCATCAGAACTGGAACTCAGGTTTGCTGCCAAAAATGGGGATGGAGCACTTATGGGAATGTCCTGAGTGATGTAACATTGATTCTTAATTCAAAATTATTCTCCTTCTTTCTCTTACACCAAAATCAAAGCTATCTACACAAAAACAAAAGTAATATGAGTAAACTCACCCTCACTACAGTCTAGTGGGGTTGGATCCAGTGCCTGCCAGCCATCATAGCCAGGTGGTAGGTCAGATCGGGAGAACCAGGCCTCGTTCCACACATGGAAGTTCCTACAGATCAATGACACCAGGGTAGACTAAGACACTAATGAGACCAGTAACAGGTCAGATACAAAGATAAATGATGATGATGATGAGATGAGTTAATATACCTCATTTAAAAACACTTAGGTTACTCCCATAAGTGCTGCATCCCCATCTTCAGCAGCCAGCAAAAAACTCCAAGTCCAATGGTGCCAGTAGAAGTTTAATTACATTCCTTCTCGCCTTTCCTATAGGAATAGAAGACTGTCAACAGGATTCCCTCATCACTCCCAGCTGTAAGATTCTCTCCACAATGATCTATTACCATCTCTACCCTCATCACTCCCAGCTGCATGATTCTCTCCACAATGATCTATTACCATCTCTACCCTCATCACTCCCAGCTGTAAGATTCTCTCCACAATGATCTATTACCATCTCTACCCTCATCACTCCCAGCTGTAAGGTTCTCTCCACAATGATCTATTACCATCTCTGCACTGGTCACTCCCAGCTGTATGATTCTCTCCACAATGATCTATTACCATCTCTGCACTGGTCACTCCCAGCTGTATGATTCTCTCCACAATGATCTATTACCATCTCTACACTGGTCACTCCCAGCTGTATGATTCTCTCCACAATGATCTATTACCATCTCTACACTAGTCACTCCCAGCTGTATGATTCTCTCCACAATGATCTATTACCATCTCTACACTGGTCACTCCCAGCTGTAAGATTCTCTCCACAATGATCTATTACCATCTCTACACTGGTCACTCCCAGCTGTAAGATTCTCTCCACAATGATCTATTACCATCTCTACACTGGTCACTCCCAGCTGTATGATTCTCTCCACAATGATCTATTACCATCTCTACACTGTTCACTCCCAGCTGTATGATTCTCTCCACAATGATCTATTACCATCTCTACACTGATCACTCCCAGCTGTAAGATTCTCTCCACAATGATCTATTACCATCTCTACACTGGTCACTCCCAGCTGTAAGATTCTCTCCACAATGATCTATTACCATCTCTACACTAGTCACTCCCAGCTGTAAGATTCTCTCCACAATGATCTATTACCATCTCTACACTAGTCACTCCCAGCTGTAAGATTCTCTCCACAATGATCTATTACCATCTCTACACTAGTCACTCCCAGCTGTAAGATTCTCTCCACAATGATCTATTACCATCTCTACACTGGTCACTCCCAGCTGTAAGATTCTCTCCACAATGATCTATTACCATCTCTACACTAGTCACTCCCAGCTGTAAGATTCTCTCCACAATGATCTATTACCATCTCTACACTGATCACTTCCAGCTGTAAGATTCTCTCCACAATGATCTATTACCATCTCTGCACTAGTCACTCCCAGCTGTAAGATTCTCTCCACAATGATCTATTACCATCTCTACACTGTTCACTCCCAGCTGTAAGATTCTCTCCACAATGATCTATTACCATCTCTACACTAGTCACTCCCAGCTGTAAGATTCTCTCCACAATGATCTATTACCATCTCTACACTGTTCACTCCCAGCTGTAAGATTCTCTCCACAATGATCTATTACCATCTCTACACTGATCACTCCCAGCTGTAAGATTCTCTCCACAATGATCTATTACCATCTCTACACTAGTCACTCCCAGCTGTAAGATTCTCTCCACAATGATCTATTACCATCTCTGCACTGGTCACTCCCAGCTGTATGACTCTCTCCACAATGATCTATTACCATCTCTACACTGGTCACTCCCAGCTGTAAGATTCTCTCCACAATGATCTATTACCATCTCTACACTAGTCACTCCCAGCTGTAAGATTCTCTCCACAATGATCTATTACCATCTCTACACTGATCACTCCCAGCTGTATGACTCTCTCCACAATGATCTATTACCATATCTACACTGATCACTCCCAGCTGTAAGATTCTCTCCACAATGATCTATTACCATCTCTACACTGGTCACTCCCAGCTGTAAGATTCTCTCCACAATGATCTATTACCATCTCTGCACTAGTCACTCCCAGCTGTAAGATTCTCTCCACAATGATCTATTACCATCTCTACACTAGTCACTCCCAGCTGTAAGATTCTCTCCACAATGATCTATTACCATCTCTACACTAGTCACTCCCAGCTGTAAGATTCTCTCCACAATGATCTATTACCATCTCTACACTAGTCACTCCCAGCTGTAAGATTCTCTCCACAATGATCTATTACCATCTCTACACTAGTCACTCCCAGCTGTATGATTCTCTCCACAATGATCTATTACCATCTCTGCACTAGTCACTCCCAGCTGTATGATTCTCTCCACAATGATCTATTACCATCTCTGCACTAGTCACTCCCAGCTGTATGATTCTCTCCACAATGATCTATTACCATCTCTGCACTGGTCACTCTCAGCTGTAAGATTCTCTCCACAATAATCTATTACCATCTCTGCACTAGTCACTCCCAGCTGTAAGATTCTCTCCACAATGATCTATTACCATCTCTACACTGTTCACTCCCAGCTGTAAGATTCTCTCCACAATGATCTATTACCATCTCTACACTAGTCACTCCCAGCTGTAAGATTCTCTCCACAATGATCTATTACCATCTCTACACTGTTCACTCCCAGCTGTAAGATTCTCTCCACAATGATCTATTACCATCTCTACACTGATCACTCCCAGCTGTAAGATTCTCTCCACAATGATCTATTACCATCTCTACACTAGTCACTCCCAGCTGTAAGATTCTCTCCACAATGATCTATTACCATCTCTGCACTGGTCACTCCCAGCTGTATGACTCTCTCCACAATGATCTATTACCATCTCTACACTGGTCACTCCCAGCTGTAAGATTCTCTCCACAATGATCTATTACCATCTCTACACTAGTCACTCCCAGCTGTAAGATTCTCTCCACAATGATCTATTACCATCTCTACACTGATCACTCCCAGCTGTATGACTCTCTCCACAATGATCTATTACCATCTCTACACTGATCACTCCCAGCTGTAAGATTCTCTCCACAATGATCTATTACCATCTCTACACTGGTCACTCCCAGCTGTAAGATTCTCTCCACAATGATCTATTACCATCTCTGCACTAGTCACTCCCAGCTGTAAGATTCTCTCCACAATGATCTATTACCATCTCTACACTAGTCACTCCCAGCTGTAAGATTCTCTCCACAATGATCTATTACCATCTCTACACTAGTCACTCCCAGCTGTAAGATTCTCTCCACAATGATCTATTACCATCTCTACACTAGTCACTCCCAGCTGTAAGATTCTCTCCACAATGATCTATTACCATCTCTACACTAGTCACTCCCAGCTGTATGATTCTCTCCACAATGATCTATTACCATCTCTGCACTAGTCACTCCCAGCTGTATGATTCTCTCCACAATGATCTATTACCATCTCTGCACTAGTCACTCCCAGCTGTATGATTCTCTCCACAATGATCTATTACCATCTCTGCAGTGGTCACTCCCAGCTGTAAGATTCTCTCCACAATGATCTATTACCATCTCTACACTGGTCACTCTCAGCTGTATGATTCTCTCCACAATAATCTATTACCATCTCTGCCCTGGTCACTTTCAGCTGTATGATACTCTCCACAATAATCTATTACCATCTCTACACTGGTCACTCTCAGCTGTAAGATTCTCTCCACAATGATCTATTACCATCTCTGCAGTGGTCACTCCCAGCTGTAAGATTCTCTCCACAATGATCTATTACCATCTCTACACTGGTCACTCTCAGCTGTATGATTCTCTCCACAATAATCTATTACCATCTCTGCCCTGGTCACTTTCAGCTGTATGATACTCTCCACAATAATCTATTACCATCTCTACACTGGTCACTCTCAGCTGTAAGATTCTCTCCACAATGATCTATTACCATCTCTACACTGGTCACTCCCAGCTGTAAGATTCTCTCCACAATGATCTATTACCATCTCTACACTGGTCACTCTCAGCTGTATGATTCTCTCCACAATAATCTATTACCATCTCTGCCCTGGTCACTTTCAGCTGTATGATACTCTCCACAATAATCTATTACCATCTCTACACTGGTCACTCTCAGCTGTAAGATTCTCTCCACAATGATCTATTACCATCTCTACACTGGTCACTCCCAGCTGTAAGATTCTCTCCACAATGATCTATTACCATCTCTACACTGGTCACTCCCAGCTGTATGATTCTCTCCACAATAATCTATTACCATCTCTACACTGGTCACTCCCAGCTGTAAGATTCTCTCCACAATAATCTATTACCATCTCTGCAGTGGTCACTCCCAGCTGTAAGATTCTCTCCACAATGATCTATTACCATCTCTGCACTGGTCACTCTCAGCTGTATGATTCTCTCCACAATGATCTATTACCATCTCTGCACTGGTCACTCCCAGCTGTAAGATTCTCTCCACAATGATCTATTACCATCTCTGCACTGGTCACTCTCAGCTGTATGATTCTCTCCACAATAATCTATTACCATCTCTGCCCTCGTCACTCCCAGCTGTATGATTCTCTCCACAATGATCTATTACCATCTCTGCCCTGGTCACTCCCAGCTGTATGATTCTCTCCACAATGATCTATTACCATCTCTACACTGGTCACTCTCAGCTGTATGATTCTCTCCACAATAATCTATTACCATCTCTGCCCTGGTCACTTTCAGCTGTATGATACTCTCCACAATAATCTATTACCATCTCTACACTGGTCACTCCCAGCTGTAAGATTCTCTCCACAATGATCTATTACCATCTCTACACTGGTCACTCCCAGCTGTATGATTCTCTCCACAATAATCTATTACCATCTCTACCCTCATCACTCCCAGCTGTATGATTCTCTCCACAATGATCTATTACCATCTCTGCACTGGTCACTCTCAGCTGTAAGATTCTCTCCACAATGATCTATTACCATCTCTGCACTGGTCACTCTCAGCTGTATGATACTCTCCACAATGATCTATTACCATCTCTACACTGGTCACTCCCAGCTGTATAATTCTCTCCACAATGATCTATTACCATCTCTACACTGGTCACTCCCAGCTGTATGATTCTCTCCACAATGATCTATTACCATCTCTACACTGGTCACTCCCAGCTGTATAATTCTCTCCACAATGATCTATTACCATCTCTACACTGGTCACTCCCAGCTGTATGATTCTCTCCACAATGATCTATTACCATCTCTACACTGGTCACTCCCAGCTGTATGATTCTCTCCACAATGATCTATTACCATCTCTGCACTGGTCACTCCAAGCTGTATGATACTCTCCACAATGATCTATTACCATCTCTACACTGGTCACTCCCAGCTGTATGATTCTCTCCACAATGATCTATTACCATCTCTACACTGGTCACTCCCAGCTGTATGATTCTCTCCACAATGATCTATTACCCTCTCTACCCTCATCACTCCCAGCTGAATGATTCTCTCCACAATAATCTATTACCATCTCTACCCTCATCACTCCCAGCTGTATGATTCTCTCCACAATAATCTATTACCATCTCTACCCTCATCACTCCCAGCTGTATGATTCTCTCCACAATGATCTATTACCATCTCTACCCTCATCACTCCCAGCTGTATGATTCTCTCCACACTAATCTATTACCATCTCTACCCTCATCACTCCCAGCTGTATGATTCTCTCCACAATGATCTATTACCCTCTCTACACTGGTCACTCTCAGCTGTATGATTCTCTCCACAATGATCTATTACCATCTCTACCCTCATCACTCCCAGCTGTATGATTCTCTCCACAATGATCTATTACCATCTCTACCCTCGTCACTCTCAGCTGTAAGATTCTCTCCACAATGATCTATTACCATCTCTACCCTCATCACTCCGAGCTGTATGATTCTCTCCACAATGATCTATTACCATCTCTACCCTCATCACTCTCAGCTGTATGATTCTCTCCACAATGATCTATTACCATCTCTACACTGGTCACTCTCAGCTGTAAGATTCTCTCCACAATGATCTATTACCATCTCTGCACTGGTCACTCTCAGTTGTATGATTCTCTCCACAATGATCTATTACCATCTCTGCACTGGTCACTCTCAGCTGTAAGATTCTCTCCACAATGATCTATTACCATCTCTGCACTGGTCACTCTCAGCTGTATGATTCTCTCCACAATGATCTATTACCATCTCTGCACTGGTCACTCCCAGCTGTAAGATTCTCTCCACAATGATCTATTACCATCTCTGCACTGGTCACTCCCAGCTGTATGATTCTCTCCACAATAATCTATTACCATCTCTACCCTCATCACTCTCAGCTGTATGATTCTCTCCACAATGATCTATTACCATCTCTACACTGGTCACTCTCAGCTGTATGATTCTCTCCACAATGATCTATTACCATCTCTACACTGGTCACTCCCAGCTGTAAGATTCTCTCCACAATAATCTATTACCATCTCTACACTGGTCACTCCCAGCTGTATGATTCTCTCCACAATGATCTATTACCCTCTCTACCCTCATCACTCCCAGCTGAATGATTCTCTCCACAATAATCTATTACCATCTCTACCCTCATCACTCCCAGCTGTATTATTCTCTCCACAATAATCTATTACCATCTCTGCACTAGTCACTCCCAGCTGTATGATTCTCTCCACAATGATCTATTACCCTCTCAACACTGGTCACTCTCAGCTGTAAGATTCTCTCCACAATGATCTATTACCATCTCTGCCCTGGTCACTCTCAGCTGTAAGATTCTCTCCACAATGATCTATTACCATCTCTACACTGGTCACTCCCAGCTGTAAGATTCTCTCCACAATGATCTATTACCATCTCTGCCCTGGTCACTCCCAGCTGTATGATTCTCTCCACAATGATCTATTACCATCTCTGCCCTGGTCACTCCCAGCTGTATGATTCTCTCCACAATAATCTATTACCATCTCTACACTGGTCACTCTCAGCTGTATGATTCTCTCCACAATAATCTATTACCATCTCTGCCCTGGTCACTCCCAGCTGTATGATTCTCTCCACAATAATCTATTACCATCTCTGCCCTGGTCACTCCCAGCTGTATGATTCTCTCCACAATAATCTATTACCATCTCTGCCCTGGTCACTCCCAGCTGTATGATTCTCTCCACAATAATCTATTACCATCTCTGCCCTGGTCACTCCCAGCTGTATGATTCTCTCCACAATAATCTATTACCATCTCTGCCCTGGTCACTCCCAGCTGTATGACTCTCTCCACAATGATCTATTACCATCTCTACACTGGTCACTCTCAGCTGTATGACTCTCTCCACAATGATCTATTACCATCTCTACACTGGTCACTCTCAGCTGTATGATTCTCTCCACAATGATCTATTACCATCTCTACACTGGTCACTCTCAGCTGTATGACTCTCTCCACAATGATCTATTACCATCTCTACACTCATCACTCTCAGCTGTATGATTCTCTCCACAATGATCTATTACCATCTCTACACTCATCACTCTCAGCTGAAAGATTCTCTCAACAATGATCTATTATCATCTCTGCCCTGGTCACTCTCAGCTGTAAGATTCTCTCCACAATGATCTATTACCATCTCTGCCCTGGTCACTCTCAGCTGTAAGATTCTCTCCACAATGATCTATTACCATCTCTACACTGGTCACTCTCAGCTGAAAGATTCTCTCCACAATGATCTATTACCATCTCTGCACTGGTCACTCCCAGCTGTAAGATTCTCTCCACAATAATCTATTACCATCTCTACACTGGTCACTCTCAGCTGTATGATTCTCTCCACAATGATCTATTACCATCTCTGCCCTGGTCACTCCCAGCTGTATGATACTCTCCACAATGATCTATTACCATCTCTGCACTGGTCACTCCCAGCTGTAAGATTCTCTCCACAATGATCTATTACCATCTCTACACTGGTCACTCTCAGCTGTATGATTCTCTCCACAATGATCTATTACCATCTCTGCACTGGTCACTCTCAGCTGTATGATTCTCTCCACAATGATCTATTACCATCTCTGCACTGGTCACTCCCAGCTGTATGATTCTCTCCACAATAATCTATTACCATCTCTGCCCTGGTCACTCTCAGCTGTATGATTCTCTCCACAATAATCTATTACCATCTCTGCCCTGGTCACTCCCAGCTGTAAGATTCTCTCCACAATAATCTATTACCATCTCTGCCCTGGTCACTCTCAGCTGTATGATTCTCTCCACAATGATCTATTACCATCTCTGCCCTGGTCACTCCCAGCTGTATGATTCTCTCCACAATAATCTATTACCATCTCTGCACTGGTCACTCCCAGCTGTATGATTCTCTCCACAATAATCTATTACCATCTCTGCACTGGTCACTCCCAGCTGTATGATTCTCTCCACAATAATCTATTACCATCTCTGCCCTGGTCACTTTCAGCTGTATGATACTCTCCACAATAATCTATTACCATCTCTACACTGGTCACTCCCAGCTGTAAGATTCTCTCCACAATAATCTATTACCATCTCTGCACTGGTCACTCCCAGCTGTATGATTCTCTCCACAATAATCTATTACCATCTCTGCACTGGTCACTCCCAGCTGTATGATACTCTCCACAATAATCTATTACCATCTCTACACTGGTCACTCCCAGCTGTAAGATTCTCTCCACAATAATCTATTACCATCTCTGCACTGGTCACTCCCAGCTGTATGATTCTCTCCACAATAATCTATTACCATCTCTGCACTGGTCACTCCCAGCTGTATGATTCTCTCCACAATAATCTATTACCATCTCTACACTGGTCACTCTCAGCTGTAAGATTCTCTCCACAATAATCTATTACCATCTCTGCACTGGTCACTTGCTCCCAAAGGTCCCTGCCACACTTGGTTTGTCATGTATCAATTCACCATGCAGTGCAGCAGAACCAGCCAGTCTATCCACCTGTTCTTTTCCCAACCATACTCAAGCCCTGGAGCAACGGAGCGCTTATAGGAATGCCCTAACTACACAGGACCCTCAAGAGATGCTTGGCATTCTACATAGAGCATGCCTGTCTCTACCTTCCTCAGCATGCTTTGTCAGTCTGTTGCAGTCACCCCTTGGGAGCTCACCCTTTCAAAAAGTGTCCCCAGTTCAACAGCATTGATCTTCTGCAGCACCTTGCCTACAGTTTCCTGCAGAGTGATAAGCCTAAAGCCGCCAAGTCTTCAATGATCTTTGCCTGGTTTTCGGAAGTGAAGTCAAATCACTATGCACAAAATTATGGGATACTGACCCAGTTTTTGTGCTCTGGTCGAAGGAAAAAACCCATAATGATGATAATGAGAGTGCTATTTTTCTGTGATTGTGTTGACATGTTATATTTTTTGCCTGATTACATACATTTTTTGTTTTTCATTATCTGATAATTATTTTGCATTTTAAAAAAATTTATTTGTTTATTTAATGTTTTATATATTATTTTTTTGTGTGCTGATGAAGTCTAGTAATTTACTTGTCTTTACATTTGTTGGTAATCTTGCTGGCTGTATTTATTGTTTGTTGATGATTCCATTACTGAATCTAAGTTGGCCAGAAGATTTAGAGTTCAAATGTGCATCGTGGCAGATTCTTTAATTTAACAAAGTGACCTGGCTCCTAGGTCAACCAGCTTAAACTGGTACCAAGTACTGTTGTGGGAAGTCAAGATGGCTGACATGATTCTGACCACAAAACCTATCCAGTGGTGATTGGTCTACACAAATATAGTCCTAGCACTATATACCCAGTGTGCATCTAGTGTGAGAAGGAACCCTTATTTGAGTTACAGACTTACCAAATGCCATCATCCAATTCTGTTCTTGGCTTCAGGTCATGTGACCAGTGCATGTTGATGGCCCCACTGTAGTCGCTGTCGTGAGCCGACTTGTAGCATGTCACACATCGGGAAGCGATACCCAGAGTTCTCAGTACTGTCAGGGAAAAGACATTTCATTTATCAATGTGTATGAGAAATCCATCAAGGAATTGCACTACAGTGTACATTCATGTGATCATACGATCTCACTGTACTACATATTATGTACATTCCAAATCCTATGTTCTCTCGATTATGGCTTGCATTATGTAGAGTTATGTATCTAAACAGCCAAGTCTTTCTCATTGGCTTTTGTTTCCTCTAAGCCAGTCTTTAACTAAGTTGTCCTTAACCTCCTTTCTGTCTGTCTCATTTTTCAAAGAAACATCTCAGTCTGCTGAAGATCTACATTCCAAAAGTCTAAATTTTATGCTCCGAATCTTTATTCAATGTCCAAATGTCCAGGTCATGCAACAGTTATATGCCCGCATTTGATATGCTCAGTAAATGAAATTTTTGTAAGAACAAAGAAGAAAAACATATGAGATCAAAGAAGAAGAACATATGAGAACAAAGAAGAACAAAAAAGGAGAAAAGAAGTTTACATGAAAAAGAAGATGAATATACAAAAACCAAACCACAGAGAATCTGAGGTCACTCACAAGTTGTAGTGACCGCTGCCATTGTCCAACACTGTCCATACTTGACCCCTTTCCTTGTCTTGATGTATTCCTCAAGGATGGATGGACTACTGGTCCATGAGTACGGAGCTTCCCCATCATCATATTTCCCTGACCAACTGGCCTGGATCACACCTTCAGCTCCTTCTGTGTAGTTTACCTGTGAGTTGAAAAACATCCGGAAATTGTTGATTCATGTTATTTTATACATCAGTGTTACCTACGTAGGTGTTGTGTGCTATCTAAGGTACACAATAATCAGTTCACTACAAGTGTCCACATGTACAGATTTAAGCTTGACACACTGAGTTAAGACACAACGCTGTCAGCTCCGCCATACATCAGTGTCACCTACCTAGGGCTGAACCCAGTTATACAATTAATTAAAAAGGAACAAATAAAATGATGGGACCATCTGATGAGAACTCTCTGGTACCAACTGCCACAGACAGCCAAGTTGAAGAAATATAATTAATACAGATCAAGGTTACCATGGAAACAATGGAACAACACCAGCAAGAACAGCTGTAGGGAAATGAAGAGCAACTTAGGCAGCTCAGAATGAAAACACAAATGATCTTTATGAAACCCAAAACTTTGCTGTTTACTGGAGGTGGAGAAAAAGGAACTGTAGCTACACTGCTGAATGACAGAAGAAGAAGAGATAAGCAGCGATCAAACTTTTGCTCGTTTTGTACCTTTTGTAATTAATTTTTATTCAAGTGATTAATCCAGAGATGGAATTTATGATTGTCTTTGATTGCAGACAGTTGTATCATTCATTTAATTTACCCCTTTTGTTGGTGTAACTGCTTCTGTCCCACAGTTATTACTGAGTTCTTCACAGTTATTACTGAGTTTTTCACAGTTATTGCTGAGTTCTTCACAGTTATTGCTGAATTCTTCACAGTTATTGCTGAGTTCTTCACAGTTTTTACTGAGTTCTTCACAGTTATTGCTGAGTTCTTCACAGTTATTGCTGAGTTCTTCACAGTTATTGCTGAGTTCTTCACAGTTATTACTGAGTTCTTCACAGTTATTGCTGAGTTCTTCACAGTTATTACTGAGTTCTTCACAGTTATTGCTGAGTTCTTCACAGTTATTACTGAGTTCTTCACAGTTATTGCTGAGTTCTTCACAGTTATTGCTGAGTTCTTCACAGTTATTGCTGAGTTCTTCACAGTTATTGCTGAGTTCTTCACAGTTATTGCTGAGTTCTTCACAGTTATTGCTGAGTTCTTCACAGTTATTGCTGAGTTCTTCACAGTTATTGCTGAGTTCTTCACAGTTATTGCTGAGTTCTTCACAGTTATTGCTGAGTTCTTCACAGTTATTGCTGAGTTCTTCACAGTTATTACTGAGTTCTTCACAGTTATTGCTGAGTTTCTTCACAGTTATTGCTGAGTTCTTCACAGTTATTACTGAGTTCTTCACAGTTATTGCTGAGTTCTTCACAGTTATTGCTGAGTTCTTCACAGTTATTGCTGAGTTCACAGTTATTACTGAGTTCTTCACAGTTATTGCTGAGTTCTTCACAGTTATTGCTGAGTTCTTCACAGTTATTGCTGAGTTCTTCCCAGTTATTGCTGAGTTCTTCACAGTTATTGTTGAGTTCTTCACAGTTATTGCTGAGTTCTTCACAGTTATTACTGAGTTCTTCACAGTTATTGCTGAGTTCTTCACAGTTATTGCTGAGTTCTTCACAGTTATTGCTGAGTTCTTCACAGTTATTGCTGAGTTCTTCACAGTTATTGCTGAGTTCTTCACAGTTATTACTGAGTTCTTCACAGTTATTGCTGAGTTCTTCACAGTTATTGCTGAGTTCTTCACAGTTATTGCTGAGTTCTTCACAGTTATTGCTGAGTTCTTCACAGTTATTACTGAGTTCTTCACAGTTATTGCTGAGTTCTTCACAGTTATTGCTGAGTTCTTCACAGTTATTACTGAGTTCTTCACAGTTATTGCTGAGTTCTTCACAGTTATTGCTGAGTTCTTCACAGTTATTGCTGAGTTCACAGTTATTACTGAGTTCTTCACAGTTATTGCTGAGTTCTTCACAGTTATTGCTGAGTTCTTCACAGTTATTGCTGAGTTCTTCACAGTTATTGCTGAGTTCTTCACAGTTATTGTTGAGTTCTTCACAGTTATTGCTGAGTTCTTCACAGTTATTACTGAGTTCTTCACAGTTATTGCTGAGTTCTTCACAAATATTACTGAGTTCTTCACAGTTATTACTGAGTTCTTCACAGTTATTACTGAGTTCTTCACAGTTATTGCTGAGTTCTTCACAGTTATTACTGAGTTCTTCACAGTTATTGCTGAGTTCTTCACAGTTATTGCTGAGTTCTTCACAGTTATTGCTGAGTTCTTCACAGCTATGTCTGAATTCTTTTAACATTAAAACATCGTCTTTTCTTCACTTTATCTTTCACCACTCTGAGGGTCGAGGAAGACCCACAGTTCTGATTTTTGCTCTTCTGACCACCCCCAGCATAGACATCACGCTGTAGTAGAGTTTCTTTGATGTTATCTTTCCATTTTGTTCTTGGTCTACCTTATACTCTAAGTTCTCCTCTTTTGGTGTAAGCCTTGTGAAGCATGGCAAAACAGGACATTCTCTTTAAGTGAGAAAACCACATGATCTACGGTATCTACGGTATTTGTGCACAATTTAGAATTGTTTCTAACATTTAAGATATTGAAATTAGAAGTCTACAAACAGAAATGCTTAAGATAATTATGCTTGAGCTGAAAGAGCTGATAAAATAATCAAACATGGCAGACATAAAAGACAGTAGTTTATCCAAACTTCACAGAATGGAGACTTACACCTCTACAGATGGCTCGCACCACCAAGGCAGGGTTGGCTCTGGCTCTGTCAGTGATCTCCGAACGATCCAAGATGGAGACTGCAGCAATCAGGCACACATAGTCAAACTGGAGACATGCACATTATGTTTTAGATAAACAGATGCATTTATGTATCAAACAGTCAGATGTCCGCAGGTATGTAACATTATTTTGTTTTGCACAATCTCTGCAGTGAAGGATGGCTACAGTATATGGCTGCTGTCTTGGGGAACTTTACCTTGCGAGGTCTCAATCTTGTCTATGGTGGGATTCTCGTACTACTGTCCAAAAACTAGCACAGCAGTTTTGTTTTTTAAACTGAAATGTCCGCTGTAGAAATTGGACCCTAGTACACGAGGTTCATGAAAGTGTTAAACGCATCCACTAACCTCTAAGCAACTGATCCCATTCATATAAGAGTGAAATAGTCCCCTTAATGAATATATGGCCTGCTGTAATGGACCTGGCAAAGAAGACATGCCGGGAGTAGATGATTGTAGAGAACTACAGAAAACGATCAAACAGTTCACCACCGGAACACGGGGTCAGCATATAGGATGTTAATATATCTTAATATGCAATAACTGTATTCCAGAATAGCATCAGCCCCAGGGGTTTAACATCAGAGGCCCAAGGGATAGTACAGAGAGTTGTAAAATCAGCACATCTTGCCTCCACTGGGCTTCTAGGTAGGAACCTTTTAATTTCTGACATGTTTCTTGCGACTGAAAGAGTCAATATTTGATTATTATAATTAACACATTCTGATTATCATAATTAAAAAAAAAATTTTAAGTGCACTTCAGATAAATTAAACTTAATCTATACTCAGAACTCCTAGAGCCTGTTAAAATTATTACATAATCTATGACTTCCTGTCAAAATGGACACTAGGCAAGCCCACTGTTTTGAGCTGTGGCAAATTTTTTGCTTCTGCTGGATGGTGGCTGTTGTATTTTTGTTCCATTTGTAGACTGAAAAGATATAGTTTCATTGCCCAGATTCTAAGTTGAGTGTATGGTGTGGCACTGTGAGCTGCGGAATTCATTTGGAATGTTTTTTGACTGTGACCAACCTGGTGGTGTGAATTGCAGATTCAGAAAATGGCGCAATGCCTGTTGTGGCAATATTGGTGGTGCCATTATATGATTAAAATTGATCCTGTGTGCAACTGCTGATCTGTTGGTGACTTCTGCTACCATCCATGATGAACTGCATTTCTAATGGCGAACTGTTTGTGTTCGCACTTTGGATGGCTACCGTATGCTTTTAATGCACGGGAACGCTAGATTTGCTAAGACAGCAGTCTGTCAGTCTTTCCACAAGGGACTGGGATAAATATTCTGTGTGTTTTTTGTTGGCACAGGTGCGGAGCAGCTATGGGGTGACCCGATTGCTATGAAGCTGAAACTAAGATTACCAGATTACCAGACTTTTTAAGCAATCAGAAGTAACTGACAAGCATAAATATCCAAAACTGAAATATAGTATAATAAACTCAGTATTTTGAAGTTATATCACAGATGGGTTGAACAGGATATTGGTGATTAAACTGCTACAGCTATGATGGTGAAAAAAACCAGAAAAAGCCTGACATTGAAATGGTTTATTTGCAGGGGAACAAGCCAGGACTAGACAGTGATCACCTCAGCTCATGAGGTCAGGACTAGACAGTGATCACCTCAGCTCATGAGGCCAGGACTAGACAGTGATCACCTCAGCTCATGAGGCCAGGACTAGACAGTGATCACCTCAGCTCATGAGGCCAGGACTAGACAGTGATCACCTCAGCTCATGAGGTCAGGACTAGACAGTGATCACCTCAGCTCATGAGGCCAGGACTAGACACTGATCACCTCAGCTCATGAGGTCAGGACTAGAAACTGATCACCTCAGCTCATGAGGCCAGGACTAGACAGTGATCACCTCAGCTCATGAGGTCAGGACTAGACAGTGATCACCTCAGCTCATGAGGCCAGGACTAGACAGTGATCACCTCAGCTCATGAGGTCAGGACTAAACAGTGATCACCTCAGCTCATGAGGTCAGGACTAGACAGTGATCACCTCAGCTCATGAGGCCAGGACTAGACAGTGATCACCTCAGCTCATGAGGCCAGGACTAGACAGTGATCACCTCAGCTCATGAGGTCAGGACTAGACAGTGATCACCTCAGCTCATGAGGTCAGGACTAGACAGTGATCACCTCAGCTCATGAGGCCAGGACTAGACACTGGTCACCTCAGCTCATGAGGTCAGGACTAGACACTGGTCACCTCAGCTCATGAGGCCAGGACTAGACAGTGATCACCTCAGCTCATGAGGTCAGGACTAGACACTGGTCACCTCAGCTCATGAGGCCAGGACTAGACAGTGATCACCTCAGCTCATGAGGCCAGGACTAGACAGTGATCACCTCAGCTCATGAGGCCAGGACTAGACAGTGATCACCTCAGCTCATGAGGCCAGGACTAGACAGTGATCACCTCAGCTCATGAGGCCAGGACTAGACAGTGATCACCTCAGCTCATGAGGTCAGGACTAGACAGTGATCACCTCAGCTCATGAGGCCAGGACTAGAAACTGGTCACCTCAGCTCATGAGGCCAGGACTAGACAGTGATCACCTCAGCTCATGAGGCCAGGACTAGACAGTGATCACCTCAGCTCATGAGGTCAGGACTAGACAGTGATCACCTCAGCTCATGAGGTCAGGACTAGACAGTGATCACCTCAGCTCATGAGGTCAGGACTAGAAACTGATCACCTCAGCTCATGAGGCCAGGACTAGACAGTGATCACCTCAGCTCATGAGGTCAGGACTAGACAGTGATCACCTCAGCTCATGAGGCCAGGACTAGAAACTGGTCACCTCAGCTCATGAGGTCAGGACTAGAAACTGATCACCTCAGCTCATGAGGCCAGGACTAGACAGTGATCACCTCAGCTCATGAGGTCAGGACTAGACAGTGATCACCTCAGCTCATGAGGCCAGGACTAGAAACTGGTCACCTCAGCTCATGAGGTCAGGACTAGAAACTGGTCACCTCAGCTCATGAATTCAGGACTAGACAGTGATCACCTCAGCTCATGAGGCCAGGACTGGACAGTGATCACCTCAGCTCATGAGGTCAGGACTAGAAACTGATCACCTCAGCTCATGAATTCAGGACTAGACAGTGATCACCTCAGCTGATGAGGTCAGGACTAGACAGTGATCACCTCAGCTCATGAGGCCAGGACTAGACAGTGATCACCTCAGCTCATGAGGCCAGGACTAGACAGTGATCACCTCAGCTCATGAATTCAGGACTAGACAGTGATCACCTCAGCTCATGAGGTCAGGACTAGAAACTGATCACCTCAGCTCATGAGGCCAGGACTAGACAGTGATCACCTCAGCTCATGAGGCCAGGACTAGGCAGTGATCACCTCAGCTCATGAGGTCAGGACTAGACAGTGATCACCTCAGCTCATGAGGTCAGGACTAGACAGTGATCACCTCAGCTCATGAGGCCAGGACTAGACAGTGATCACCTCAGCTCATGAATTCAGGACTAGACAGTGATCACCTCAGCTCATGAGGTCAGGACTAGAAACTGATCACCTCAGCTCATGAGGCCAGGACTAGACAGTGATCACCTCAGCTCATGAGGCCAGGACTAGACAGTGATCACCTGAGCTCATGAGGCCAGGACTAGACAGTGATCACCTCAGCTCATGAGGTCAGGACTAGACAGTGATCACCTCAGCTCATGAGGTCAGGACTAGACAGTGATCACCTGAGCTCATGAGGTCAGGACTAGACAGTGATCACCTCAGCTCATGAGGTCAGGACTAGACAGTGATCACCTCAGCTCATGAGGTCAGGACTAGACAGTGATCACCTCAGCTCATGAGGTCAGGACTAGACAGTGATCACCTCAGCACATGCGGCCAGGACTGGACAGTGATCACCTCAGCTCATGAGGCCAGGACTGGACAGTGATCACCTCAGCTCATGAGGCCAGGACTAGACAGTGATCACCTCAGCTCATGAGGCCAGGAGGCAGATCAGATGAAGTTCTAACAATTTAAACATATTCAGCTCTCTGTTTAGTTTCTGGAGCCTCATTCTGGCAACAACAAACAAACAAACCCACTGGCGACCAAAACAATCACTGCATGAAAAAGCAACTAAGTATGGATTCGCTGAAAATGTATAAAATGTTCAGATAGTACAGCCTAGCTGTAAACCCCCCAACACAGCATGCCAACTATCCTTTTAAGGTTCAACACAGAAAGAGAAACGTGTGCAGCAATATTATCTATGTGGTCACACTGACCTTGTCATACAAACATGTCTCACCAGGTTTTGAACCTGTGCCTTCATGTGTGAGTGTATTCTACCCCAGGATGTGCATAATATATTGCAATTTTCTTTGTCTTATAACTATTGATACAAACAGAGTTGAGACATTTCTTTTACATGTTCATCCCTCTTGAACTGAATTCAAGTTCACATACCATTTATTGTTGGTACATTTCCTGAAGCATTGTTTTCAAATGCATTCAGCTTCCATGTATTTAGTTGTTCTCCAACTTTCACTGCCAAACCTTCAAACTGAAATTATTTTGTAACCTACAATTTGTTATTTAGGTTTAAAAGTACATCATTTAGATTTATATAATTTGTTTAGGCTTTTAAAAGCTGCTGATGCCTTGTCAGTGCATATGTTAACTTAGAGCACAGAGATGCAGCTTAATGGTATGTTGGCAAATGATGTTTTGCACCAACAGCCCAAGATCTGATGACTACCTGGCCAAAGTTCCAGGGTCTGGGGTAACTTTTCTCCTGGGACCCCAGCCAGATTCGGCCGGTCTCTGCCTGTACATACTCCTTGCGATCGGTCTCCGATGAGACATAGACAGCGTCATCTGCAAAAAAAAGCAATATGGGAAGATCTGTTTCAGTGAAATAATGCAAGTGAAAAATATGTAGTATAATATGTTACAATACAATAATCATCATCAAATGCCTTGCCAACTGGAGCAGGAAATCATTTCCTCTCTATAATCTGTGATCTTTAACTGCGTCTATCAGTTTGTGTGCTGACACACCTCCATGCCATGGCAAAAGGCAGTAAAAAACCTTCTTACACTATCTTCCTCTGTCTCTTTTTTCACAGATTTGTCTAGTAGTCACAACATGTTCCAGTTGCCTTCTTCTCATAACATGACTACAAATGATGATGGTCTCTTTCTGATGTTTGTGATCAGTTGTCTTTGAACCCTTGCCTCTTTCAAAACATCTGGTTGCTCTTTTTGATTGTCAAGGAACTCTAAGAATTCTTCTGTAAAACAACATTTCTGAGGCCTTTATTTATTGTCCATGATTCACCACTATATGGTAAAACTGGCTCTATATAATGTGCGACAATAAAAGATTTAAAAACAAGATAATGAAATCTGATGGTCACAGAAGAAAGCACAAACAAGCCCTAACAAGTATGGCTGAAGAAATATGAAGAAATATAGCTAAAGGAGACCAATGTGGCAACTCTGACAGCCCTACATTATACACACCAGGAGCACCAAAACCTGGCAGTTTAGGCACCTTGAGTTAAACCCTTGAGCAAAATCACTGAGCTAAATCCTTGAGCAAAATCACTGAGCTAAATCCTTGAGCAAAATCACTGAGCTAAATCCTTGAGCAAAATCACTGAGCTAAATCCTTGAGCAAAATCACTGAGCTAAATCCTTGAGCAAAATCACTGAGCTAAATCCTTGAGCAAAATCACTGAGCTAAATCCTTGAGCAAAATCACTGAGCTAAATCCTTGAGCTTACCTACAGTTTGTAAAGGAGCTAACCTGTTCACCCCCCCCCCCCCTTGCGTAAAAAAGTTTTTTTTTTTTTAAATAGATATTGTATTATTGGAAATATATTATTCTATTCATTTGCCATTAAACATATATTATATGTTATTATATTTTATTATTTTATATTGTATTTTATTATATAAAATAATATGATATGATATAATAAAATATAATGTCACAGATGGGTGCAGGATATAAGTACTCCTTGAACATGAAGTGCAAGAGGTGGGAGAGCTGACGAGAGACCAAGTTTTTTTCAGACAGGTAATGATGAGAGCAATGTTCTGCAAAGGACCTGCTACATGATAATATAATATAATATAATATAATATAATATAATATAATATAATATAATATAATATAATATAATATAATATAATATAATATAATATAATATAATATAATATAATATAATATAATATAATATAATATAATATAATATAATAATTTTATATTATATCATATTATTATTTTAAGCTCTTAAACAAGGCTTAGACTCCTTATGGCCACCCCTTTACAATATTAAAGGCGGCTGACCCTCCTGAATGTTTTCCTTGTGTAGGTGCCCTGGATACATGCCAGCCAAACATCTGACAGGCAAATGAGTGGAACTTTTCTGTCTTTATGAGTTAAGTATTTCTCGTGAAATAACTTCTGACCTTTCTGCCAAGGGTTAAAGAGCAGGAAGATATCATCTGGATTCTTGTGGCGGTACTTGACCGGAGCCTCGTTCTTCTGGTGAGTGGTGTCAATGAACAGCTCATACCTGCCCACGATAGCATCGCAGGGTGAGCTCACGCGCAGGGTCACTGACCTGGGGACACAACCACGGACACTTGTCAAGTCACCGGGTTCATACCAAACACATTCTAAATGTAGAGCAGCTACTTCAAGCAAATATCTGACATGTTTTTGGTTTGTTCTGTTTAAAACAAAGTACTGTATGTTGAAAACTGGCTACAAGAAAAAGAGTGTTGTATGATGAATAATGGCTACCAAAAAAAAAAAAGTGTTGCATGTTGATGAATGGCTACAAACAGAAGAGTGTTGCATGTTGAGCAATGCCTACAAACAGAAGAGTGTTGCATGTTGAGCAATGCCTACAAACAGAAAAGTGTTGCATGTTCAACAATGCCTACAAACAGAAGAGTGTTGCATGTTGAGCAATGCCTACAAACAGAAGAGTGTTGCATGTTCAACAATGCCTACAAACAGAAGAGTGGTGAATATTTAACAATGGCTGCAAACAGAAGAGTGTTACATGTTGAACAATGGCTACAAACAGAAGAGTGGTGAATATTTAACAATGGCTACAAACAGAAGAGTGTTACATGTTGAACAATGGCTACAAACAGAAGAGTGGTGAATATTTAACAATGGCTACAAACAGAAGAGTGTTACATGTTGAACAATGGCTACAAACAGAAGAGTGTTGCATGTTCAACAATGCCTACAAACAGAAGAGTGTTACATGTTGAGCAATGCCTACAAACAGAAGAGTGGTGAATATTTAACAATGGCTGCAAACAAAAGAGTGTTACATGTTGAACAATGGCTACAAACAGAAGAGTGTTACATGTTGAACAATGGCTACAAACAGAAGAGTGTTACATGTTGAACAATGCCTACAAACAGAAGAGTGTTAAATATTTAACAATGGCTGCAAACAGAAGAGTGTTACATGTTGAACAATGCCTACAAACAGAAGGGTGTTACATGTTGAACAATGCCTACAAACAGAAGAGTGTTACATGTTGAACAATGCCTACAAACAGAAGAGTGTTACATGTTGAACAATGGCTACAAACAGAAGAGTGTTACATGTTGAACAATGCCTACAAACAGAAGAGTGTTACATGTTGAACAATGCCTACAAACAGAAGAGTGTTACATGTTGAACAATGCCTACAAACAGAAGAGTGTTGAATATTAAACAATGGCTGCAAACAGAAGAGTGTTACATGTTGAACAATGCCTACAAACAGAAGGGTGTTGCATGTTGATCAATGGCTACAAACAGAAGAGTGTTGCATGTTGAACAATGGCTACAAACAGAAGAGTGTTGCATTTTGAACAATGGCTACAAACAGAAGAGTGTTGCATGTTGAACAATGGCTACAAACAGAAGAGTGTTGCATGTTCAACAATGGCTACAAACAGAAGAGTGTTACATGTTGAGCAATGCCTACAAACAGAAGAGTGTTACATGTTGAACAATGCCTACAAACAGAAGAGTGGTGAATATTTAACAATGGCTGCGAACAAAAGAGTGTTACATGTTGAACAATGGCTACAAACAGAAGAGTGTTACATGTTGAACAATGGCTACAAACAGAAGAGCGTTACATGTTGAACAATGCCTACAAACAGAAGAGTGTTAAATATTTAACAATGGCTGCAAACAGAAGAGTGTTACATGTTGAACAATGCCTACAAACAGAAGGGTGTTACATGTTGAACAATGCCTACAAACAGAAAAGTGTTACATGTTGAACAATGCCTACAAACAGAAGAGTGTTATATGTTGAACAATGGCTACAAACAGAAGAGTGTTACATGTTGAACAATGCCTACAAACAGAAGAGTGTTACATGTTGAACAATGCCTACAAACAGAAGAGTGTTACATGTTGAACAATGCCTACAAACAGAAGAGTGTTGAATATTAAACAATGGCTGCAAACAGAAGAGTGTTACATGTTGAACAATGCCTACAAACAGAAGGGTGTTGCATGTTGATCAATGGCTACAAACAGAAGAGTGTTGCATGTTGAACAATGGCTACAAACAGAAGAGTGTTGCATTTTGAACAATGGCTACAAACAGAAGAGTGTTGCATGTTGAACAATGGCTACAAACAGAAGAGTGTTGCATGTTCAACAATGGCTACAAACAGAAGAGTGTTACATGTTGAACAATGCCTACAAACAGAAGAGTGTTACATGTTGAACAATACCTACAAACAGAAGAGTGTTGCATGTTGAACAATGCCTACAAACAGAAGAGTGTTGAATATTTAACAATGCCTACAAACAGAAGAGTGTTAAATATTTAACAATGGCTGCAAACAGAAGAGTGTTACATGTTGAACAATGCCTACAAACAGAAGGGTGTTACATGTTGAACAATGCCTACAAACAGAAGAGTGTTACATGTTGAACAATGCCTACAAACAGAAGAGTGTTACATGTTCAACAATGGCTACAAACAGAAGGGTGTTACATGTTCAACAATGGCTACAAACAGAAGGGTGTTACATGTTCAACAATGCCTACAAACAGAAGAGTGTTACATGTTGAACAATGGCTACAAACAGAAGAGTGTTACATGTTGAACAATGGCTACAAACAGAAGAGTGTTACATGTTGAACAATGGCTACAAACAGAAGAGTGTTACATGTTCAACAATGGCTACAAACAGAAAAGTGTTACATGTTCAACAATGCCTACAAACAGAAGAGTGTTAAATATTTAACAATGGCTACAAACAGAAGAGTGTTACATGTTCAACAATGCCTACAAACAGAAGAGTGTTACATGTTCAACAATGCCTACAAACAGAAGAGTGTTACATGTTGAACAATGCCTACAAACAGAAGAGTGTTGAATATTTAACAATGCCTACAAATTGAAAAGTGTTACATGTTCAACATTTGTTACATACAGATACAGAGATGTGCATAAAATCGTCAAATCCCATACACTATACTAAATATTGATCAATTATATAAACCATTGTGGTACAAAAAAAAACTTCTGCATCCATTAAGCCCCTGCTGTATTGTGGTCTCTAACTATCTTGAGAATTTCTTATCTGACTTGTTACACTCAACAGGCAAACAAACTCTGACTTGTTACACTCAACACGCAACCAAACTTTGACTTGTTACACTCAACAGGCAACCAAACTTTGACTTGTTACACTCAACAGGCAACCAAACACTGACTTGTTACACTCAACAGGCAACCAAACACTAACTTGTTACACTCAACAGGCAACCAAACACTGACTTATTACACTCAACAGGCAACCAAACACTGACTTGTTACACTCAACAGGCAACCAAACACTGACTTGTTACACTCAACAGGCAACCAAACTTTGACTTGTTACACTCAACAGGCAACCAAACTTTGACTTGTTACACTCAACAGGCAACCAAACACTAACTTGTTACACTCAACAGGCAACCAAACTCAGACTTGTTACACTCAACAGGCAACCAAATTTTGACTTGTTACACTCAACAGGCAACCAAACTTTGACTTGTTACACTCAACAGGCAACCAAACTCAGACTTGTTACACTCAACAGGCAAACAAACCTCCAGCTCATATCATTACAACATCACAGTTAAAAATGGGATATGTAAGTGTGTTTTGAATGAATGGGTTATGTATGCATGAGTATGTGTATTCATACATGAGTGTGGGCGTATAAAAGTGTGTATATGTAAATGTATATGTATGTGTGTGTATAGATGTGTGTCAATACGAGTGTGTGTGTGTATGTATATGTATTTGTGTATAGTTGAATGTATATATACATCTGCCATCCATGCCTTGATGTTTTTACCTCAGATACATATTACATATTTTGTTATATGAACAAAACCAGCTTTGTTGATAAAATTACAATGTGTGCCTGAAAGCCGAGTGTTTGAAAGGACTGAATGTAAGATGAGCCTACATGTCCAATTTGCGACCGTTTAAAATTAAATTTGGTTTATTTGTTCATTTGTTAGTAAAGTCCAGGTTAGACAAGAAGTTAGCAAACAAGAAGTGTGACTTACTTATCATGCACTTTGGACAACTCGAAGCCCCAGTGCCCCTCCTGTAGCTTGTCCCCCTGAACTACGGAGATGACACTGCCTCGGCTCTGTGATGGCCTGGTCCCTGAAAGAAAACCAAACATGTGCCCATGTCATAGAAGCAGGAAAAAAAAACAACCCTAGCCATAGATTAGACAGATAGTCCCATGGTAGGCACAGCAACTGTGGAATAAAGTGTTTCATCTTCGTAGATTTGAGACCACATTATCATGGAAATCCTCACAACATTTCCGCTTCAGATAATAACGGGGAACCAGAAAACTATCGTCCCTCTGTTTAATGTCAGTTTTCCAGTTATAGTTTCTAGGGCCACATTCTGCGGAGAAAATACATCCACTGCCTCCCTAACTAGCATACTGTACAAAATGACTAATTAGGGAAGTTTCCTTCAAAGTTGGAGTGCTGCATCTGCCTGAGAGGTGAGGAACCAACAGTCTGCATTAAAATAAGCCAGATCTGTAAAACACTTGTGAATACAAAACTCAAGTTCTGGAACAAGACCAAAGTCCAGAAATGAATGAACAACCAGAACTTTCTCCTGGAGTTCACAACTTATAAATGCCAAACAGAAGATGAAGTATGCCTAATTTGTTCTATCAGCATCAACTACAGAATCATACTTGATGGATTTTTGTGCCAGGACACTCTGGGGTAAGAGGGAAAGAACGAGCCGATCGGCTTGCTGACAAGGCCACAGTGGGTACAGCAAATCAATGGACAGGGCTGACATTCTCAGTGCTCTCAAGGAGGCAGGACGAGAAGATGATTGAGGAGACGACATTGAATGGGCAACACTCAAAAGACTACAGGTCAAGAATGGTGTCGCCAAATATGAACAGGTAGCCAAAGAAGAATAGTAAACCAACACCGAAGTAGTGTTATCAGTCACCACACGCTGAGGGTTATGCTGAAGATGGGATCCAAGTGCTTATGGTTGTGTCCTATGTGCAGTGAGGATAATCTGTCTATTAATTAACTAACTTGATAGAGGGGAAGGGCAACCAACCATACCATTTGAGGTTTGTACATGGTTGAAGAATGCACACTAGCCCCTAGGTCACCAGGGTTCTATTCATAGAAAAGCCTCCAGTCGAGCTGCAGCCATCACTACACTTGAGTGCACAGTTGAATGTGTGTGCACCAGAGCACTAATGTGTGCACCAGAGTGCTAATAATGTGTGCACTGGCTGCCACATAAATCAGCTCTGAGAAAATATTGCCTGTGACTGCTGTACAATGACACCCATCATAGTGAAGGAAACTATTTAAAGTCCTGACTGCATTCCCCCCCCCCCCCCCCCTCCCCAAATGCAACGAGGTTCATAATTATCCCCCAATGGAAGAGAGACCCTCAACCTGTTAGTATTTAGGCTAACTCTTTTTTCAAGGAACAGGTTAGGTAATCCACGACCGGCTCCAGCTCTTAGCGAGAGTCGATTGTGGGTAATCCGAAGACACAACCTCTTTGTAGTTCACCTTTTACACATGCCTAGTAGCGTTATCTATGTGTTTTTATTATTCATGTTTCATTTGCCAGGCATCTCCGTAACAAACAGGGGATGTTTTGACTAGGTGCATCAGATCAACTACAAGTCTGTCCGCATCTCTTCTCCCCCAGCTTGTCAGCTACCAAGGCAGTTCTTATTCTGCTTTGTATACATTACTGGAGCATAAGACCTCAGCCACCATACACCAAGTTAATCTTATCTGTTGCTCTTGAACACCTCACTACACAGCCTAACATGCTCTTTTGTATGCTCTAATTCTCTGTAGGTTTTTTGTACTCTGCCTTTATTCATTCCACCTCATGGGTTCCAGTGTAAAGACATTCTAATTATAGTTATCTTGTTTTCTCAGCATGTGTCCTATCCAAAGCCAGTGCCTTTTCCTCACTTCTTGACCTCAAAGCTCTACATTAGTGATTCTGCCACACCTTCTGATTCTATTTAATCTGCAGACTTGGGCACTTACCTGTAATAAATTTCAGAGAAATGGAATCCTGTCCTTTGATGTAATTCCTATTGAAGTCAATGGTGATGTCGAATGGCTGGCCTCGTCGAATGATGAGGTTAGGGGCTTCATATTCAGCCGTGTGATGGGCCTGTCGGTTCTGGGGCCGGCACAGATCTACGTTGACAGGTTTCAGGTGCAGTTCTGGAGAAATTATATATACAAGGCTGAAGGTAAATTTAAAAAATATATTGTGGAAAGTAATGTACAGCACATACTGTTGTACAAGGTCTTTTCCTTCTTCTTAGCGTTCACCTGTGGAAAGTTCTGGTTGTTCATCCCCCTCTGGACTTCAGTCATGCTTCAGAACCTGAGTGTTGTGTTTGTTGGGGAGACAGTGGGTCTATTCTTGTTTTCCCCACACAATGGGGTCCCAGAAACCACATAGGAATTGTACAGGGTCAAAGGTGATCAAAATGTAAATACTCTTGCAGAAATCATTATCATCATTTAGCAACAGGTGTTTTGGCTAGTCACTCTCAGTGCTGTTTTTTTTTTCTTTTCTTCTTTTTTCAAGAAGAAAACATGTCAGTGCTCACTAAAAAAAAGTGGCTATAAAAGGTAGTTATTCCCATAATGTGTTTACTACAGTAGCTCTGAAAAAAGTGGAAACAAATTATGCCTAAAGGGGGTGTCATTACTAACACAGCGAAAATGCAGGCTTGGTGACTTTTGGGTGAGTAGGCACTGCAAAAGGTATTCCTCCTCATTGTTGGTCCTTTCTAGGACCCGCAACTCCAAGCCCCCCCCCCCCCCCCAGCACAGCATGGGGCCCTTTAAAGACCGACCGCAAAATATTTACAGTTCTTAAACCAAGGGACATAGACTGCAGTCTCTCGTGAGATGTAGACTGAGGCTTTGAAGGAGGGAGGGGTTGTGGTTAGAGCCAGTTCTTGATCTTTTAGAGTCTTTAAAAGCCTTCGTATCATGTAATATACAGCAAATTTCATCGCTGGTGAGAGTGTCGAAGACAATACAACCTGACACCCCTGTAACAGAGTGTGAAAGGTCAGCAAGCATAAACCTACGACCAGTCACTCTGCGCGTGGGTACAAAAACGTTAGTTGTACCTCAAACTACTTACACTGCCCCTCACAACTATCCCCTACCCCCCCCCCCTCTCTCCCCCCTCCCACACGTGAAATACCTGCATGATCTCTCTTGAAGCCAGTCAGTGACGTCTCCGCCCCGAACGAGTTCTCCTGGTATGTTTGTCGTCTGCCTGTCAGGTCGTTGCCCAGTAATCGTGACTTGACATTGTCATAATAGTTGGAGATCTTTTCGGAAAACTTGGGCCTGTAAATAAATGGACATAATTATTAAATATCATTAGTAAGATTGATGAGGGTTCACCTCATTGAAATACTTTAAGACGTCAATTTACTGGGCTTGTAGGCAATATTGTTTCACAGAAGTTAAAACATTTTTCATATTCAGCACCATAATTTTACAGAGAGCATTGGTTGGGGCGGGAAGTAGTCAGCATTCTGGTGTGAAAGTTTGCAAGACTGGAAAGTTGGATCCATCTGTGTTAACTGTCGTGCTATAATGTGAAAGTTTGCAAGACTGGAAAGTTGGAACCATCTGTGCTATCTGTCGTGCTATAATGTGAAAGTTTGCAAGACTGGAAAGTTGGATCCATCTGTGCTATCTGTCGTGCTATAATGTGAAAGTTTGCAAGACTGGAAAGTTGGATCCATCTGTGTTAACTGTCGTGCTATAATGTGAAAGTTTGCAAGACTGGAAAGTTGGATCCATCTGTGTTAACTGTCGTGCTATAATGTGAAAGTTTGCAAGACTGGAAAGTTGGATCCATCTGTATTGTCTGTCGTGCTATGATGGAGCGACATTCCGCAAAGCAGCTAATACGTGTAATACGTGCTGATGGTGTTGAAATTCACTCATATTGATTGGTATTATTATTTTTCTACTTTTTTTATGCGCCGGTGAAGCTTAGGCCCTCAACCAACTCACACTAAGGCTTCCTACTCTTTGCTACAGCCTGCAGCTCTCCCTATGTCCTCCCCATCTTTCCATTCCAATTGGAATCAAAAGAGACACCGAACATACAAATGATAGACAGAGGAAATCAACAGGAAAGCCCAAGTGAATAAAAAGTTAAATGTTTTCGGAAACAAAAGCCCGGAGAAATTGATGAGTTAAATAAGATGCATTCAAGAAAGGCAAAGAAATACGAGAAATATGCGGACAACCGCCTGTATCACAGAATACGAGACAAAGAGGTTGGCACTATACTGGACTCACCACAAGCAGAGACGGACAGAGAATTGCTAAATAAGTATTATAATGGGAAACAAATGGATTAAGGAAACGACGATGTCAATGGGCAATTTTGAGACAAGCGTATTTAAAAGAGGCCAAAGGTGCTGAACTGGATTCCGTCTATGGTACCGAGAGGAAAGCACAGGATATACGTAACACAGGGCTAGACGGTTAGTCTGATGTCATTTATAACGTAACAGAGGGCTAGACGGTTAGTCTGATGTCATTTATAACGTAACAGAGGTCTAGACGGTTAGTCTGATGTCATTTATAACGTAACACAGGTCTAGACGGTTAATCTGATGTCATTTATAACGTAACACAGGTCTAGACGGTTAGTCTGATGTCATTTATAACGTAACAGAGGGCTAGACGGTTAGTCTGATGTCATTTATAACGTAACCGAGGACTAGACTGTTAGTCTGCTGTCATTTATAACGTAACACAGGTCTAGACGGTTAGTCTGATGTCATTTATAACGTAACCTCTAGGGCTAGACTGTTAGTCTGATGTCATTTATAACGTAACAGAGGGATAGACGGTTAGTCTGATGTCATTTATAACGTAACACAGGTCTAGACGGTTAGTCTGATGTCATTTATAACATAACACAGGTCTAGACGGTTAATCTGATGTCATTTATAACGTAACACAGGTCTAGACGGTTAGTCTGATGTCATTTATAACGTAACAGAGGGCTAGACGATTAGTCTGATGTCATTTATAACGTAACCGAGAGCTAGACTGTTAGTCTGATTTCATTTATAACGTAACACAGGTCTAGACGGTTAGTCTGATGTCATTTATAACGTAACACAGGTCTAGACGGTTAATCTGATGTCATTTATAACGTAACACAGGTCTAGACGGTTAGTCTAATGTCATTTATAACGTAACAGAGGGCTAGACGGTTAGTCTGATGTCATTTATAACGTAACCTCTAGGGCTAGACTGTTAGTCTGATGTCATTTATAACGTAACAGAGGGATAGACGGTTAGTCTGATGTCATTTATAACGTAACACAGGTCTAGACGGTTAGTCTGATGTCATTTATAACGTAACACAGGTCTAGACGGTTAATCTGATGTCATTTATAACGTAACACAGGTCTAGACGGTTAGTCTGATGTCATTTATAACGTAACAGAGAGCTAGACGGTTAGTCTGATGTCATTTATAACGTAACCGAGAGCTACACTGTTAGTCTGATGTCATTTATAACGTAACAGAGGGCTAGACGGTTAGTCTGATGTCATTTATAACGTAACAGAGGGCTAGACGGTTAGTCTGATGTCATTTATAACGTAACCTCTAGGGCTAGACGGTTAGTCTGATGTCATTTATAACGTAACAGAGGGATAGACGGTTAGTCTGATGTCATTTATAACGTAACACAGGTCTAGACGGTTAGTCTGATGTCATTTATAACATAACACAGGTCTAGACGGTTAATCTGATGTCATTTATAACGTAACAGAGGGCTAGACGGTTAGTCTGATGTCATTTATAACGTAACACAGGTCTAGACTGTTAGTCTGATGTCATTTATAACGTAACACAGGTCTAGACGGTTAGTCTGATGTCATTTATAACGCAACAGAGGGCTAGACGGTTAGTCTGATGTCATTTATAACGTAACCCAGGTCTAGACGGTTAGTCTGATGTCATTTATAACGTATCACAGGTCTAGACGGTTAGTCTGATGTCATTTATAACGTAACACAGGTCTAGACGGTTAGTCTGATGTCATTTATAACGTAACAGAGGGCTAGACGGTTAGTCTGATGTCATTTATAACGTAACAGAGGGCTAGACGGTTAGTCTGATGTCATTTATAACGTAACAGAGGGCTAGACGGTTAGTCTGATGTCATTTATAACGTAACACAGGTCTAGACGGTACGTCTGATGTCATTTATAACGTAACAGAGGGCTAGACGGTTAGTCTGATGTCATTGATAACGTAACACAGGTCTAGACGGTTAGTCTGATGTCATTTATAACGGTACATCTGGATGATGATGATGATAATGATGATGCTAATGATGCCAATGATGATGACAATGATAATGATAATGATGATGACAATGATAATGATGATGATAATGATGATGATAATGATGAATATAATGATGATGATAAGGATGATAATAATGATGAAGATAATAATGATGATGACAATGATAATGATGATGATAATTATGATAATGACAATGATGACGATGACAGTGATGATGATAATGATGATGATAATGATGATGATAATAACGATAGTAATGATAATTATGATGATGATAATAATGATAGTAAGGATGATGATGATGATGATGATGATGATGATGATGATGATGATGATGATGACATTATTAATGAAGACAGTGATGATGATAATTATGATGACAGTGATGATGATAAAAATGATGATAATGATAGCAATGATGATGATGGTGATAAGGATAATAATGATGATTATGATGATAATGATTATGATGATTTTTTTCCAGAAAAAGAAGAATGATGATGATGATGATGACGATGATACTGTTGATATTATGGAATAATTATATTCTCAATTCTGTTAAACTTCTGGTCATGTTTCCACTGTACAAGTGACATTGGTCTGGTGACATTAAAACTCCCTTTCCTATACATCTCTTCGATGTCTGATGTCAACCGATCTGGACAGCATTTGTTTCCAAGATTTGTTCTTGACAAAATGTTGGCCTCCCAGACGGAACTTCTGATCCCAATGTAAAATACGAAAGCGAGCGAACCTTCCAATGGTTCACAGTTAATTAAGGCAATCCTTAACAACCTTACAGGATACATGCATGACCTAGATACGGAGGACCAGTCGGTGATTGAAGCCAGTGTTTCTCAACCTGTGTATACCCGCGACCCATCAAAACGGAAACAATTGTTTGATGGCCCACCTGACAGCTAGCTAAACATACATACACGGAAAGAAATGTTGATGCCAATTTGCCAATAATTGCCACTTTTGCCGAGTAGGCAGATGGTCACTGAGCCTGAGGTTTTTCGGCCGCGTGGCTAGTGCTGTCGCCACGACTGTGCATATGAGGATTTTATTTCACCCCCGACAGAAAAATATCCCCTTACCGAGGATTCAAGCCTAAATATATGGCAACAGATCCAACGTTGTCCCTAGATAATTGGTAACAGATGCAACGTTGTCCATAGATAATTGGTAACAGATGCAACGTTATCCATAGATAAGTGGCAACAGATGCAACGTTGTCCATAGATAATTAGCAACAGATGCAACGTTATCCATAGATAAGTGGCAACAGATGCAACGTTGTCCATAGATAAGTGGCAACAGATGCAACGTTATCCATAGATAAGTGGCAACAGATGCAACGTTGTCCATAGATAATTGGTAACAGATGCAACGTTATCCATAGATAAGTGGCAACAGATGCAACGTTATCCATAGATAAGTGGCAACAGATGCAACGTTGTCCATAGATAATTAGCAACAGATGCAACGTTATCCATAGATAAGTGGCAACAGATGCAACGTTATCCATAGATAAGTGGCAACAGATGCAACGTTGTCCATAGATAAGTGGCAACAGATGCAACGTTATCCATAGATAAGTGGCAACAGATGCAACGTTGTCCATAGATAATTGGTAACAGATGCAACGTTATCCATAGATAAGTGGCAACAGATGCAACGTTATCCATAGATAAGTGGCAACAGATGCAACGTTGTCCATAGATAATTAGCAACAGATGCAACGTTATCCATAGATAAGTGGCAACAGATGCAACGTTATCCATAGATAAGTGGCAACAGATGCAACGTTGTCCATAGATAATTAGCAACAGATGCAACGTTGTCCATAGATAAGTGGCAACAGATGCAACGTTATCCATAGATAAGTGGCAACAGATGCAACGTTGTCCATAGATAATTAGCAACAGATGCAACGTTTTAAAGCTCAACGTTCGAACCTCTCGTCCGTCCAGCCGCACCTCAACAAAAGTCGATGGCAGTTAATTGGTTAGATCTGAGTTCATGACAATGTTCAGCCAATGTACCATCTGTTGTTGTTGTTGTTGTTGTTGTTGTTGTTGTTGTTGTTGTTGTTGTTGTTGTTGTTGTTGTTGTTGTTGTTGTTGTTCAGAGGTTAGAAAATCGTATAGTGGCTGGAGCGGTAATTCTGATAAATACAGCCCTGCAATAACATTGGTTTGATTTGTCATTCTCACACAGTCTTTTCACCCAAGTAAAAAGTTTTTTAAAAAAAACGAGCAACAATCAGATAGCCGGCTAACTCAGACAAGTACTTTTTTTTTGGGGAGGGGGGGGGGGTGATTTCCAGTAGAAGACAATGATTGCATTTTATATCTGGGCACAAGAATGACAGCAGAAAGCAGCGGGATCCCACAAGAATGACATCAGAAAGCAGCGGGATCCCACAAGAATGACATCAGAAAGCAGCGGGATCCCACAAGAATGACATCAGAAAGCAGCGGGATCCTTCAAGAATGACATCAGAAAGCAGCGGGATCCCACAAGAATGACATCAGAAAGCAGCGGGATCCTTCAAGAATGACATCAGAAAGCAGCGGGATCCCACAAGAATGACATCAGAAAGCAGCGGGATCCCACAAGAATGACATCAGAAAGCAGCAGGATCCCACAAGAATGACATCAGAAAGCAGCGGGATCCCACAAGAAGGACATCAGAAAGCAGCGGGATCCCACAAGAATGACATCAGAAAGCAGCGGGATCCTTCAAGAATGACATCAGAAAGTAGCGGGATCCCACAAGAATGACATCAGAGAGCAGCGGGATCCCACAAGAATGACATCAGAAAGCAGCGGATTCCCACAAGAATGACATCAGAAAGCAGCGGGATCCCACAAGAATGCCACCAGAAAGCAGCGGGATCCCACTAGAATGACATCAGAAAGCAGCGGGATCCCACAAGAATGACATCAGAAAGCAGCGGGATCCCACAAGAATGACAGCAGAAAGCAGCGGGATCCCACAAGAATGACATCAGAAAGCAGCGGGATCCCACAAGAATGACATCAGAAAGCAGCGGGATCCCACAAGAATGACAGCAGAAAGCAGCGGGATCCCACAAGAATGACATCAGAAAGCAGCGGGATCCCACAAGAATGACACCAGAAAGCAGCGGATCCCACAAGAATGACATCAGAAAGCAGCGGGATCCCACAAGAATGACATCAAAAAGCAGCTCGATCAACTTGTTTTTTAAGGGTAAGGGCGGGGGGGGGGGGGGGGTCTCAATAATCAGTTGTGCACGATTTCGTATCTCTCAAGAATGGATTACTAATCAAAATATTGCCTTTACCAGGAAACGCTTTCTTCAAAGAAATGATTATCAAATGTATCAGCTAGATAATTTATATGTTAACTTGTTATGTTAAGTATCACTTGTACTGGTTTGATTCTCATCCCTAAGGTGTCAATCCTACAGACTGCAATACTGGAAGTGAAAAACGTTATACCCTTCCCCGTCACAGGATTAAGCGGACATTGTTCTCCTCCCCACCCCCCAGCGGGAGCCGTAGCCTGTGGGTTGAAGATCGCTGATGTAAACACAAGAGTCGCTAGACTGCACACCAACTCAAGACCGGTGATTCAACATTTTTCACCTACGGCACTCGCCAGCTATATTTGGTGGCAGATAAAAGCCCGCTTTACCGGCCAAACCCGGCGGGAGGGTGGCTTCTATTTATCATCTGGTTGGAAGTAAATATTTGGGCTTTTATGTGGCAGAGCTAGTATATCTGTTTCAGCAGTACCCGTCAAGTGAAAACTTGTATTACAAAATATGTAAAGAAATCACACAAAGATACCTCGCTATGTATTCGAAGCAGGTGAAAACCTAAATCAGATTATAAGATTCGCATCCCAAGGAAAGACTGCACAAGATTAAGGTATCTCTAGATCCCAGGATAGGAGATGAAATACTTCACAAGATTAAGTTACCGCTGTATTTCAGGGTAGAAGAAGAACGACGTAACACGATTATATACCCTGGATACTCTCGCTAAAATAAAGCAGAAATATCAGTCACTGAGCGAGTCTTAGGCAGGCCTTTGACCCAGATTAACGGTACCTATAATGGAATCAATGCCGAAGGGTTGCGATATCCATAGTACCGAGCCAATGTCTTATATACCAAAGGTCTTAGGCATCACATTGAAAAATACATCACAGATGAAACCCAAACATGGCGTTGGCACGTGACAGGAGAAATGATGCACGGATTCGCGACAAGGTGGTGGAAGACACATTAGAGATGTTTCTGCATGTATGTGTGCAGTCAATAATTCATACAACGGTGAGACAAGACTGGAGAGATGCAGACACACGTCCAGCATACAACACATAAACACAATACCTGTATATGCACACAATAGCAATATGTTATTTGTGTGTGTGTGGCCAAGTCTATGCCACTGCTGTTATCCACAAACCTTTGCTACAGCCAATAAACGGCACAAAGAACAAAATCAAAACAACAGAGACTGATGTCTTAGAAAAGCTTTCGGATCAACCTGAAGAGATACAATTAAATATGAAGAAAGTAGGAAACGATTATGAGTGACGCCAGCCATGTAGATCCTCAAAGAGCAGTTAAAGGTGAGATGGTTTGGCCATCTATCGAGAATGCCCTGGTTCCAGCTGCTATAAAGGAACACGCTGAAGAAACACCATTAACACGGAGAAGGGGTAAGACCGTGCCAAATGTGGAATGATAGCATCAAAACAGCCTTTCCCCTTTCCCACATCACTTCAATGAGGTACCTGGAGGAAGAGAAGAAGTGGAAGCCATATCGTATACAAGATTTCAATAATATACATACATTGTATCACTTAAATTAGTATGCAGACATTTCAATGATGCCTGCCGCGATCCTACTGGTATCAGGGATGGATTTATGTACAGTTTTATATGATATCCTTGTTTGAACCTCATTTAAAAGATCAAGCGTAAATGAGACATCTTGTATATGTTTTAGATGCATCATTTTCGTTCAAGTGCATTGACACGTTGACGTATGCCTGCAACAAATACGTACACACAAATATATACTTACTTGCCGCCGTCTGTGTCCTTTGAGTTTTTTTTACTATCCATCTCTGAACTACAACTGCAACCAAAATGTCACCAAACACAGCTCTAGCTGTACAACACTAGGCTTTGCAATGAGTATACAGCCCACAAACAAATACAAATGCCACCAAACGACTACAGGTAAAGCAAAGTCATAAAAATCCGCCTTGTTGACTTGCAGCTAAGCCGTATCCTCGAACGAAACGACCTGTTTTTGAGAAGGTCTTTACCGTTTGAGATCTGGCCTCAAGGGGATCGTTTCCCCCCTGCCCCCCCCCCCCCTTTTTTTTCCCGGTCTCCACAAGAGGCACCCCACCCGGACTTCAAAAGGGGCACTCAAGGGCGGATCTCAAATGCTATTTGACCCTTGAACCACATACAGAAGTGTTTCTTAAATTGCGACTACCTAGCTCGTGTTTTTCGTGTGCCGGGACACTTGTTGGACACTGCTCCAATCAGGTTTGGTTGGACTACCTAGCTCGTGTTCTCCGTGTGACGGGACATTTTTAGGACATTGCTCTTATCAGGATTGGCTGGACAGAGCCCAAGTCTGTTCCCTTGCATTAAGTATTTTAATTGCCAAGGCATCTGTCAGCCAGGCGCCTCCCTGTGACAGGTAGACCCCTACATCAGCCTGTGACAGGTAGACCCCCACATCAGCCTGTGACAGCATTAGTCAGCTTTAGTCAACCTGTATCTCAGCCTGTAGTAAATTTAGTCAACTTAAGAAACCTTTATCTCAGCCTACAGTAAACTTAGTCAACTTTAGTCACCATATGTTTCAGCCAGTAGTAGCATTAGTCAGCTTTAGTCAACCTATATCTCAACTCGTAGTTAACGCAGTCAACTTTAGTCAACCTATATCTCAGCCTGTATTAAACAGTCAACATATATGTCAGCCTGTAGCAACATAAGTCAACTTTAGTCAACCTATATCTCAGCTTGTAGCAGCTTCGGCAACTTCCGTCAACATATGTCTCTGTATGTGGCAACTTGGGCAAATTCAGGCAACCTCTATATCAGCTGGAGCAACTTAGCAACTTCAGTCAACCTATATCTCGGCCTAGCGGCAACATATGCAACTTGGTCAACCTATGTCTCAGTCTGTAGCAGCCTTAGTCAACTTTAATCAACCTATATCTCAACCTGTAGCAACCATAGCCAGCTTCAGTCAACCTATATCTCAACGTGTAGCAAACTATCAACTTCAGCCAACCTATATCTCAACGTGTAGCAAACTATCAACTTCAGCCAACCTATATCTCAACGTGTAGCAAACTATCAACTTCAGCCAACCTAAACCTCAGGCCAACCTCGGTCAACTCGTAAAGATGAAATAAGAATAGCGATTGCTGATGGCAAAAACTTTGGCAGAGAGAAGCCAACATTGATAACATCAACTACACTTTATTATCCATATAAAACTGAGGACATGTATTGTTAATAGGCATATCCGGTCCATAGAACAATACGACTCTGAAAGGGGAAACAGGATTTTGAAATAGGATGTTTTTGCAGGATGCAAAGAATAAAATTGAATGAAAACATGTATGAGAAGAAAAGGTACTAGAAAAACTAGACACGTTTTGAACAAAATACAAATGGAAGATTATCTTGACTGCTTAAAATAGAATGCATTATATGAATACCTAAAAGTAATTTCCAGGTCAGGAGGTTAATAAATGACAATTTGTGAAAATGGAGATCAAAGAAGGATGGAAGGAGGCAAGGGCTGGGGCAACAGACTGGAACAGATCTGAAGACAGTTGTCGAGAAAAGACGACAGTTTAAGGAAACAGCCAGACCACATCAGTAGCAGAATTCTCAATGGCCGACAACGATAGTAACCCATCTTGTGCAAACAGAAGGCAACGCCTCTGATTCTGACATCTACAATCTGGTTTGAATTACACAAACAGAAAGAAAGAAACCAAACCGGATACAAAAATGTGTTAGTGTAAAGGCTCCTGTGTACTACGTCATCACGACTTACTATTTTCGTGACCAGCCGCCGTGCTTTGTCTGATGTCGCAGGGTGGTCGTGTGGTCAAAATAATGATCAAAATGGTCAATGGTCAAAAATAAAATCATGTCCTTGTAGAGTGCGTGGCGACAGAATTGCCCATACGGAGTTAAATCCCCAGGCTCAAAAGTGGCAGTTAAAGGCAGTTTGTTGGCAGTCACGAAAACATCCGTCACAAGGTGGATTTGTAACCAGACTATAGAGTGGGGGTGGGGGAGGGGCGACACATGATGCTGCAGTTTATAAACTACTACAACGATGATAGCGGTCATAATTGTCACCATGTGCACACGTTGAAGACAATACGGGCGGCAATCCTCTCGCCAGCGTGCAGGATAACTGTGGTGGTTGTAATCGGTCACATGAGAATGGGGCAGGGGAGAGTGACCAGGGTCCACATTCCCGGTCGGAAAAGAATGGGGCAGGGGAGAGTGACCTGGGTCCACATTCCCGGTCACAAGAGAATGGGGCAGGGGAGAGTGACCAGGGTCCACATTCTCGGTCACAAGAGAATGGGGCAGCGGAGAGTGACCAGGGTCCACATTCCCGGTCAGAAGAGAATGGGGCAGCGGAGAGTGACCAGGGTCCACATTCCCGGTCACAAGAGAATGGGGCAGGGGAGAGTGACCAGGGTCCACATTCCCGGTCACAAGAGAATGGTCCAGCGGAGAGTGACCAGGGTCCACATTCCCGGTCACAAGAGAATGGGGCAGCAGAGAGTGACCAGGGTCCACATTCCCGGTCAGAAGAGAATGGGGCAGGGGAGAGTGACCAGGGTCCACATTCCCGGTCAGAAGAGAATGGGGCAGCAGAGAGTGACCAGGGTCCACATTCCCGGTCAGAAGAGAATGGGGCAGCGGAGAGTGACCAGGGTCCACATTCCCGGTCAGAAGAGAATGGGGCAGCGGAGAGTGACCAGGGTCCACATTCCCGGTCAGAAGAGAATGGGGCAGCGGAGAGTGACCAGGGTCCACATTCCCGGTCAGAAGAGAATGGGGCAGCGGAGAGTGACCAGGGTCCACATTCCCGGTCAGAAGAGAATGGGGCAGCGGAGAGTGACCAGGGTCCACATTCCCGGTCAGAAGAGAATGGGACAGCGGAGAGTGACCAGGGTCCACATTCCCGGTCAGAAGAGAATGGGGCAGCGGAGAGTGACCAGGGACCACATTCCCGGTCAGAAGAGAATGGGGCAGCGGAGAGTGACCAGGGTCCACATTCCCGGTCAGAAGAGAATGGGGCAGCGGAGAGTGACCAGGGTCCACATTCCCGGTCAGAAGAGAATAGTCCAGCAGAGAGCGACCAAGGGGTCTGGCACACATTCAACGATCAGAGAACAGGCAAGACGGATTTACAGTCAGACTACAAATATTACCATTGGAATTGGAATCCTGCCCTGGCTGCTGAAGATGAGGACAAGACACCTACTGGTATATCCCATTGGTGCGATGTTGGTGGTTTACTATGTCGATCCCATATTGTTTTTAAACAAGGATTATTATAGATTTTATAAAATATTTTAACCACTTTCTCTGTCGTAGCAATGGAACAAACATAAGTAAATGAAAGATACCTGTGTGGTTGCCAGATTTATTTAGTAGTCACTGGCGAAAACTTAAATATAAGAAGACACTTGATGCGTTGTTTGAGACATGTGGGGAATAGTAACATGCGTGTTGTCTAGGACTGAAAGTGTTGACTCAACAGCAGTGGATGTACGGATATATAAGGCATGTAGATCTGACAGAACATCTGTTGATCATCTAGCCACCAATGAAAAGCTTGCCAGTTGAGTACACCTTAGAACCAGAACGTATGGTTTCTCTGGAGGGGGCAAGTTTGAAAGTGACTCAGTCGTGCAAGCGAATGACTGGCAACAAGCGGTGCGTGACATTTTGTTTTGTGTACAGCCAACTCCCAGTTTTGGAAACCCCCTGCTGAGATCAGATCTCTACAAGGGAGGTAATGTTACAGTGGAAGTGCATTAGTCATTTGCTTTCAGAGCCCTTGTTGCGCTAGATGGTAGCAGATTGAAAGTGGTTGTGTTGTGTTGTGTGTGTGTGTGTGTGTGTGTATGTGTGTGTGTATGTGTGTGTGTGTGTGTGTGTGTGTGTCTGTGTGTGTGTGTTCATGTGTGTGTGTAAGTGTGTGTGTGTGTGTGTGTGTGTGTGTGTAGATGGACTTCGTCTTGGAGCCCTTGCAAGATGTCCTTCCTACTCCCCCCCCCCCCCCCACAGCCGGATCTAGCTATAAGTTAATTAATTAAAGCGTGCTCCTCACAATTTCTAAAAAAAAAAAAAAGCAGAAAAAAAAAAAAAAAAAAAGAGTGAGCTCTGTGGTCTCGATGCAAGGTATCCGCCTCGAGTGCTATAGGTTCCGGGTTCGATGCTGGAATTGATTTCACGTGGACTTGGACTTTTAATAATTCCCCCTGGTCTCTGGGTAGTAAGATCGGACGCCCGTGTGCATTGATGCGCACGGAAAAAAAATGCATCGGCAGTTGGAAATAGAAAAGAGTAGAGTAACGGCGCTGACCGGGCAAAATTTAGAGTAAAAAATCTACCAAAAGTATTTCAGGATCCTCGCCGGTGTTACAGAGCCTGTGCACTGTGCTGAGCTTCTTCGGACTCAGACTTGAGTTAGAAAAAGAATGGAGCACTTTTGGGAATTCCCGTGTGCCATGTTGTTGATCCGTTGTTCAAAACTCAAATGCACAGGTCAGTGTTTGAGCTGTTTGTGAGATTTGCTGGTGTCGTTTACAACGGTAGCGGTCGATGTCTTATGCACTAGCGGTGTTATAAACTCCGTCAAACTTGAGTGTGTGTGTGTGATGAGTGATGCATTATGACCAGCACCCCCTAGCCTCCATCTACAGTTTGTTGTGCTTCCAAACATCTCTAGCTAATGGAACAAATCTTTAATGTAAGTCAGCCTGACATACGACACCATAACATCTAGAGTGAGAATGGAGGTGGAGGCGGTAACTGCAGCTCTCCGGTGGCTAAAGAACAAGATGCATACATATGTAATTGTTACAGACTCTGAAAGGATAGGTTTTGACAGGTAGGTTTCAAATTAGGGAAGCACCATTTATTTAAGTTGCAGGTCTTATTCTTATGGTTGCACAGCAACACCAACGTTTATTGGCTGTTGTGTTGTTTTATGTGACAGTTTGACTTTCATATAAAGAAATGCACAGTACCTGGGCCGCCAACGTGACTGTTAAATTAAACACGGTGACATAATGGATGGCAACTGAATATTGAACCCGTGTATTGGTCACGGTTTAGAACGTGTTAACACTTCATTTATAATAAACACATGAAATATAGAAGGGGTTTGCATTTTTTTTATAGCATCACAAGGCAGGTGAATCGCTGTAGACCACGAGGCAGACCAAGAAGATGGTGAGGCGATAATGTCCAGACAGACCTGCAAACACTTGGTGTCACCAACTGGAAAGAGCAGGCCAGCCAGAAAGATGAATTGGGACGAATGAAATCTGCAGCAATAGAACTCAAGGGATCGGAATGCTGAAAAAAAATTTCTCTCTCTCTCTCTCTCTCTCTCTCTCTCTCTCTCTCTCTCTCTCTCTCTCTCTCTCTCTCTCTCTCTCTCTCTCTCTTACCCATTAACATCATTGATTTTATGACTTCTGATTGGCTGACTTTTGTCAGGTAGACGAAGACATAAACATTAGCCGCGGGATTGCTTTTTGGCGGATACAAACAAACATGACGGATCTGATCAGTTCGGTAGAATGTCCGGTTTGTGGCGGTCTTTTCGATTCTAGGATTATATCTGCACACGCCAACTCTTGTCTGAACAATAGTGTAATCATGGATGACAAAATGACAAGAAAACGCAAAAGTACTGACTGGAATTTCCTGACAGGATCCTCTAACGCAGCGGGTCCAACTCCCGCGAATTCAGCAAAAATGTTGAAGTCAATACAAAGTAAAGGGAAAGCGAAAGGAGGAACCTCCAAGACAAAAATTGCTGATGTAGACAAAACGGTGTCTGTGAGAAACGGGGAAGACAGCTCAAGCGACTTGGAGTTTGTCGATGAACATGATACAGGAACCCCAGGGATGTTTGGACACCATGCGACAGTTAAGACAGTGAAGGAACTAAATCAAAATAGTGTGGTGACAGCAAAGATCAACGAAAAGCTGCAGGAAACAAGTATAAAACAAACAAATACGAATTTATTCAAACATATGATGGGCAGCAAGAGAAGTGTAGCAGCCAGTAACTGTAATGCCCCCCTGGCAGAGAGAGCCCGGCCCCAGAGTTTGGACAATTTTGTGGGGCAGGATCTGGCAGTGGGGAAGAAATGTATTCTATACAACCTGATCACACACAGCAGTAACATCCCCTCCATGGTTCTGTGGGGGCCGCCCGGATGTGGCAAGGTAAGTGGCACTGATCACATACAGCAATAACATCCCCTCCATGGTTCTGTGGGGGCCGCCCGGATGTGGCACGGTAAGTAGCACCGATCACACAAGGCAGTAACATCCCCTCCATGGTTCTGTGGGGGCCTTCTGGGTGTGGCAAGGTAAGTGGCACCGATCACACAAGGCAGTAACATCCCCTCCATGGTTCTGTGGGGGCCGCCAGGATGTGGCAAGGTAAGTGGCACCGATCACACACAGCAGTAACATCCCCTCCATGGTTCTGTGGGGGCCGCCAGGATGTGGCAAGGTAAGTAGCACCGATCACACAAGGCAGTAACATCCCCTCCATGGTTCTGTGGGGGCCGCCAGGATGTGGCAAGGTAAGTGGCACCGATCACACACAGCAGTAACATCCCCTCCATGGTTCTGTGGGGGCCGCCAGGATGTGGCAAGGTAAGTGGCACCGATCACACAAGGCAGTAACATCCCCTCCATGGTTCTGTGGGGGCCGCCAGGATGTGGCAAGGTTAGTGGCACCGATCACACACAGCAGTAACATCCCCTCCATGGTTCTGTGGGGGCCGCCAGGATGTGGCAAGGTAAGTGGCACCGATCACACAAGGCAGTAACATCCCCTCCATGGTTCTGTGGGGGCCGCCAGGATGTGGCAAGGTAAGTGGCACCGATCACACACAGCAGTAACATCCCCTCCATGGTTTTGTGGGGGCCGCCAGGATGTGGCAAGGTAAGTCGCACCACGAATACTGTCATGGCAGGTGAATACTGGCTACATTATCCAGTGAAAATAGTTGGGAGCTTAGGGGAACACATTTGAGACGGGTGGCAGAATCTATAGGCCTAGGCTTCTTGAGGTTACCCACCCCCAACATGGTTCTTTTCTTTTAATTCACCCCATATTGGGGGCTACGAGATTTTGTAAGGAATTACCGGGAAAGTCCAATAGTATAGGGGTGTTAGGGTGTGAACTGAACACCGGCTAACACCAACCCTAACCCCCTCCCCACCCCTCCAATGGATTTTCCTGTGAATTCCCTACAAAATCTTGGAGACCGAGATGGGGTGAAATAAAAGAAAAGAACCCCAAAAATTGTAAAGAGAATTGGCTGAGCCCCTCCACCCCAGAATATTTGTAACAGAGCTGGGAACTCCCTACTAAGTGAGCAAACTATTTGATTTGCAGTCTTTGAATGTCATCACCAATTTGTTCCTGATTGTATTTCTTCTGGTCACTCCTGCAGCCGTCTGGAGATGTCTCATCTCAAGAACCCTTTACTTCTGGAGATGTCTCATCTCAAGAACCCTTTACTTCTGGAGATGTCTCATCTCAAGAACCCTTTACTTGTAGTTTTCACATCTACACACACACAAGTGAAAACTGTCATCTAACAGAAAACAACATCAGTGTGGTTAGAGATTGGTTACACTGACCCACTGGCCGTGAAAGGTGGGAAATAATTGACTTAAAACGCATCATTCAACTCTATTATTTAAAAAAAAAGGAAAGAAAAACAAAAAGGGATATTCTTATCCTTTTATTGCTGTGATATGGTATTCTTATCACTTTGTTGCCCTGATATGGTATTCTTATATGTTTTTCCATCAAAAGATTATAGCTCAGTTGATTGTTGATTGTTTTCTTCCACAGACAACATTGGCAAAGATTATAGCTCAGTTGATTGTTGATTGTTTTCTCCCACAGACAACATTGGCAAAGATTATAGCTCAGTTGATTGTTGATTGTTTTCTCCCACAGACAACATTGGCAAAGATTATAGCTCAGTTGATTGTTGATTGTTTTCTCCCACAGACAACATTGGCAAAGATTATAGCTTAGTTGATTGTTGATTGTTTTCTCCCACAGACAACATTGGCAAAGATTATAGCTCAGTTGATTGTTGGTTGTTTTCTCCCACAGACAACATTGGCAAAGATTATAGCTCAGTTGATTGTTGATTGTTTTCTCCCACAGACAACATTGGCAAAGATTATAGCTTAGTTGATTGTTGATTGTTTTCTCCCACAGACAACATTGGCAAAGATTATAGCTCAGTTGATTGTTGGTTGTTTTCTCCCACAGACAACATTGGCAAAGATTATAGCTCAGTTGATTGTTGATTGTTTTCTTCCACAGACAACATTGGCAAAGATTATAGCTCAGTTGATTGTTGATTGTTTTCTCCCACAGACAACATTGGCAAAGATTATAGCTCAGTTGATTGTTGATTGTTTTCTCCCACAGACAACATTGGCAAAGATTATAGCTCAGTTGATTGTTGATTGTTTTCTCCCACAGACAACATTGGCAAAGATTATAGCTTAGTTGATTGTTGATTGTTTTCTCCCACAGACAACATTGGCAAAGATTATAGCTCAGTTGATTGTTGGTTGTTTTCTCCCACAGACAACATTGGCAAAGATTATAGCTCAGTTGATTGTTGATTGTTTTTCTCCCACAGACAACATTGGCAAAGATTATAGCTTAGTTGATTGTTGATTGTTTTCTCCCACAGACAACATTGGCAAAGATTATAGCTCAGTTGATTGTTGGTTGTTTTCTCCCACAGACAACATTGGCAAAGATTATAGCTCAGTTGATTGTTGATTGTTTTCTTCCACAGACAACATTGGCAAAGATTATAGCTCAGTTGATTGTTGATTGTTTTCTCCCACAGACAACATTGGCAAAGATTATAGCTCAGTTGATTGTTGATTGTTTTCTCCCACAGACAACATTGGCAAAGATTATAGCTCAGTTGATTGTTGATTGTTTTCTCCCACAGACAACATTGGCAAAGATTATAGCTTAGTTGATTGTTGATTGTTTTCTCCCACAGACAACATTGGCAAAGATTATAGCTCAGTTGATTGTTGGTTGTTTTCTCCCACAGACAACATTGGCAAAGATTATAGCTCAGTTGATTGTTGATTGTTTTTCTCCCACAGACAACATTGGCAAAGATTATAGCTTAGTTGATTGTTGATTGTTTTCTCCCACAGACAACATTGGCAAAGATTATAGCTCAGTTGATTGTTGGTTGTTTTCTCCCACAGACAACATTGGCAAAGATTATAGCTCAGTTGATTGTTGATTGTTTTCTTCCACAGACAACATTGGCAAAGATTATAGCTCAGTTGATTGTTGATTGTTTTCTTTCACAGACAACATTGGCAAAGATTATAGCTCAGTTGATTGTTGATTGTTTTCTTCCACAGACAACATTGGCAAAGATTATAGCTCAGTTGATTGTTGATTGTTTTCTCCCACAGACAACATTGGCAAAGATTATAGCTCAGTTGATTGTTGATTGTTTCCTCCCACAGACAACATTGGCAAAGATTATAGCTCAGTTGATTGTTGATTGTTTTCTTCCACAGACAACATTGGCAAAGATTATAGCTCAGTTGATTGTTGATTGTTTTCTCCCACAGACAACATTGGCAAAGATTATAGCTCAGTTTATTGTTTTCTTCCACAGACAACGTTGGCAAAGATTATAGCTCAGAAATGCAAAGAACAAGGCACCATCAAGTTCATCACAATGTCGGCGACATCTGCTAGTGTCAATGATGTGAAAGATATTGCAAAAGTTGCCCGCAATGATGTTAAGATGTTCCACAGGAAAACAATCTTGTTCCTGGATGAGATTCACAGATTCAATAAAACACAACAGGTACATAGTGTTTTCACAGTCAGCTCCCTGATATTGTCTCAGTCAGCTCCCTAATATTGTCTATCAATTCCCTGATATTGTCTCAGTCAGCTCCCTGATATTGTCTATCAATTCCCTGATATTGTCTCAGTCAGCTGCCTGATATTGTCTCAGTCAGCTGCCTGATATTGTCTCAGTCAGCTGCCTGATATTGTCTCAGTCAGCTGCCTGATATTGTCTCAGTCAGCTGCCTGATATTGTCTCAGTCAGCTCCCTAATATTGTCTCAGTTAGTTCCCTGATATTGTCTCAGTCAGCTCCCTGATATTGTCTCAGTCAGCTGCCTGATATTGTCTCAGTCAGTTCCCTGATATTGTCTCAGTCAGCTGCCTGATATTGTCTCAGTCGACTCCCTGATATTGTCTCAGTCAGCTCCCTAATATTGTCTCAGTTAGTTCCCTGATATTGTCTCAGTCAGCTGCCTGATATTGTCTCAGTCAGCTGCCTGATATTGTCTCAGTCAGTTCCCTGATATTGTCTTAGTCAGCTCCCTGATATTGTCTCAGTCAATTCCCTGATATTGTCTCAGTCAGCTCCCTGATATTGTCTCAGTCAGCTCCCTGATATTGTCTCAGTCAATTCCCTGATATTGTCTTAGTCAGCTCCCTGATATTGTCTCAGTCAGCTCCCTGATATTGTATGTCAATTCCCTGATATTGTCTCAGTCAGCTCCCTAATATTGTCTCAGTCAGCTCCTTGATATTGTCTCAGTCAGCTCCCTGATATTGTCTCAATCAGCTGCCTGATGTTGTCTCAGTCAGCTCCCTGATATTGTCTCAGTCAATTCCGTGATATTGTCTCAGTCAGTTCCCTGATCTTGTCTCAGTCGACTCCCTTATTGTCTCATTTAACTGCCTGATATTGTCTCAGTCAGCTCCCTGATATTGTCCCAGTCAGCTGCCTGATATTGTCTCAGTCAGCTCCCTGATATTGTCTCAATCAGCTCCCTGATATTGTCTCAGTCAGCTGCCTGATATTGTCTCAGTCAGCTCCCTGATATTGTCTCAGTCAGCTCCCTGATATTGTCTCAGTCAGTTCCCTGATATTGTCTCAGTCGACTCCCTGATATTGTCTCAGTCAACTCCCTGATATTGTCTCAGTCGACTCCCTGATATTGTCTCAGTTAGTTCCCTGATATTGTCTCAGTCAGTTCCCTGATATTGTCTCAGTCGACTCCCTGATATTGTCTCAGTCAGCTCCCTAATATTGTCTCAGTTAGTTCCCTGATATTGTCTCAGTCAGCTCCCTGATATTGTCTCAGTCAGCTGCCTGATATTGTCTCAGTCAGCTCCCTGATATTGTCTCAATCAGCTCCCTGATATTGTCTCAATTAGTTCCCTGATATTGTCTCAGTCAGCTCCCTGATGTAGAGCTAACTATTGTGTTCTGAGTTCCAAACCCAAATTGTTGTGTATTTTCTTCACAGAATCGATCCATTGATCAACCAGTGTGTCCCCTCTCATCTGCTACCTAAATGTTTACTATCCTGAGATTTAAACATCTCAGCCAGGATGATCCCAGATACCCTGTTCAGCCTCCAGAGAAGTTATAATTAAAAGTTAAAAAAAAGAAAGTAAAGATCCCTTTTTACATGCCCTTAGGCGCATCGGGCATATGGGAAGAGCACCCATATTTTAACAGACCAATCGGCACTCGGTGGGTAGTGTGGTCAGCATTACGCCGGCCCTCTTTACTTTCCCAGGACAGCCTATCCTGGTACCCATTTGAGGCTGGGTCGACCTGCGACGTCCCATACCACAATAAAAATCCACGCAGCCCACAGTGGGTTTCGATCGCGGTACATTGGATTACGAGTCAGACTCGCAAAAAGTTATAATCAGGGCACCCTTAAGGCTGACACCAGCCTGGTGTGACCAACAGTCCTGTGTGGGTGTAAGGCTGACACCCATGTGGTGTGACCAACAGTCCTGTGTGGGGTAAGGCTGACACCCACGTGGTGTGACCAACAGTCCTGTGTGGGAGTAAGGCTGACACCCACGTGGTGTGACCAACAGTCCTGTGTGGGAGTAAGGCTGACACCCACGTGGTGTGACTAACAGTCCTGTGTGGGGGTAAGGCTGACACCCACGTGGTGTGACCAACAGTCCTGTGTGGGGGTAAGGCTGACACCAGCCTGGTGTGACCAACAGTCCTGTGTGGGGGTAAGGCTGACACCAGCCTGGTGTGACCAACAGTCCTGTGTGAGGGTAAGGCTGACACCCATGTGGTGTGACCAACAGTCCTGTCAGGGTAAGGCTGACACCCATGTGGTGTGACCAACAGTCCTGTGTGGGGGTAAGGCTGACACCCACGTGGTGTGACCAACAGTCCTGTGTGGGAGTAAGGCTGACACCCACGTGGTGTGACCAACAGTCCTGTGTGGGAGTAAGGCTGACACCCACGTGGTGTGACCAACAGTCCTGTGTGGGGGTAAGGCTGACACCCACGTGGTGTGACCAACAGTCCTGTGTGGGGGTAAGGCTGACACCAGCCTGGTGTGACCAACAGTCCTGTGTGGGGGTAAGGCTGACACCAGCCTGGTGTGACCAACAGTCCTGTGTGGGGGTAAGGCTGACACCAGCCTGGTGTGACCAACAGTCCTGTGTGGGGGTAAGGCTGACACCAGCCTGGTGTGACCAACAGTCCTGTGTGGCTAAGGCTAACACCAGCAGTGTGACCAACAGTCCTGTGTGGCTAAGGCTGACACCCACGTGGTGTGACCAACAGTCCTGTGTGGCTAAGGCTAACACCCATGTGGTGTGACCAGCAGTGCTGTGTGGGTAAGGATGAACAGAAACGAAGGTTTTGAAATATTGTTATACTTACGCTCAAATCTAACTCTTCTTCCTTGCATTCGGCAGCTTAAAACTGCAACCGAAAGTTCTTTTTTGTTTGTCCACTTCTGGACTTTACTCTTGTTCCAATACTTGAGTAAGTAACAGATTATTACAAGTAAAAATGCATACATTTCAAAATTGCATGAGGCTGCCCCCCCCCTCAAAAAAAAAAAACTTCCTTTCTCCCACCACCTTCCCTGGTTGAAAGCTACTAGACTAGATGATCTCCTGATGGACTAAAGGTCTTGAGTTTGAATCTACTCAGGCAGATTAAAAAAAAACATAATATTGGTTGCTGGGTCAGACCATCTCAAAATGGATATCAGGAAATATCCTGGGTAAGTAAAGGTGGCCGGCATGATGTTGACCTCGGCAGTTGTTGACCACAGCAGTTGTTGACCACAGCAGATGTTGACCACAGCAGATGTTGACCTCAGCAGTTGTTGACCACAGCAGATGTTGATCACAGCAGTTGTTGACCCCAGCAGATGTTGACCCCAGCAGTTGTTGACCACAGCAGATGTTGACCACAGCAGATGTTGACCACAGCAGTTGACCACAGCAGATGTTGATCACAGCAGATGTTGACCTCAGCAGTTGTTGACCACAGATGATGTTGACCACAGCAGATGTTGACCCCAGCAGTTGTTGACCACAGCAGATGTTGACCCCAGCAGTTGTTGACCCCAGCAGATGTTGACCACAGCAGTTGTTGACCACAGCAGATGTTAACCTCAGCAGATGTTGACCACAGCAGATGTTGACAGGATGAGTCTATAAAACTGTAAGTCTAGCATGGTGCGTTTGATACACCATTGGCTTCAAAAAGGTCTTGTACTTTCACTTCCTGGAACTTTCCCCCTATTTTGGGGGGAGGAACGGACCAGCCCCAACCCCCAACAAACAGAGAGTTCAAGGCAACTAATGAAAGCTCTGCTGCAGTCAGTTATATCGGGTCAAAATCACAGCCCATCTTTAAACCACAATTCAGTGTGCCAACTGCTCTTTTAAGGGTGAACACCTGACAAGAAGGAGAAGAAGAAGACTCATCTGTTGTATATATTCCTGTCACAGACTTCGGGGTGACCTTGATGATCCATGGCTCGTAACTGGGCCTATGACAGACAAACTAACCTTTAACACACACTGAACCCGAACGCACCCAGAGCACACAGGACAATCTTTATTGCAAGTACAGGTAATACAATAGACAGTTGACTTCCCGCTGTGTGGCCACCTATTGCCTGGACCCTCTGGCCGAACAAGCTTTACAATCGCCTCGCTCTCCAGTCCGTTCCACAGGCAATCTCTGGTGCACAAACCACAGCTAGGCGAGATACGCTCTTTTCTATCGTCACACTGACCTACCAAGATGTCACCGCCTCTGTCTAGTGTAGGGTGTGACAAGGTTAGACGTTCTCTCACAGAACATGTACCTAACCGATTTAACTGGTCAGAAATAAATGGACACTCCTTACTTATTGTGAGACAACACAATACATTATACCAGTTAAATACGCAGCACAAAATATTATCCTATTCTAACAGAACACTGTAGATAATCTATGCAGTCACTAAAGAAATATCCTAACTCTAATCTACTATCACTGTCCCGCTAACACATCTGCTCGGTCCGAACGCTGTACACCGAATCCCCCCATGTTCTTTCATCCCGTGTTTTTTGACTCGTTCACCTGCCCCTGAGCAATCATGTAGAAAACTTCTCTGTAACAGAGTTTACTCTTTCCCGTCATCCTCAATTGGTCTCCACTGACTGATAGTTTCACCGTGAACAGCACAGACTAGGCCAGTCACGGCATTGACCTTTGTGTCAACCCTGGGGTGTCACCTGAACACGGTACACCCTACTGTGTGGTCCATTCCGCCCGATGACTGTACTCACTGGGGTGTCACCTGAACACGGTACACCCTACTGTGTGGTCCATTGCGCCCGATGACTGTACTCACTGGGTTGTGACATTTCCCCAGGATGTTTTGCTGCCGCATGTGGAGGATGGCACCATCACACTGATCGGGGCCACCACAGAGAACCCTTCATTTTATGTCAACAGTGCACTACTGAGCAGGTGCCGAGTGATCACTCTCAACAAGCTTCAGGTAGTTTCTGTGTCTTTCTTTGAGAATATTAAAAGTGATCTTGGACACCACTATTCTGTCTTATTATTCATGTGCTTTAAACTGTCTTCTCCATCATAAAATGTTGTTTCCCGTAGTGATATTGTTTGTTGACATGTATTGACTCAATGTTTAGATTGATGACATTAAAGCCATCATTAAGTGTTGTTTCCCATAGTGATATTGTTTGTTGACGTGTATTGACTCAATGTTTAGATTGATGACATTAAAGTGTTGTTTCCTGTATTGATATTGTTTGTTGACATGTATTGACTCAATGTTTAGATTGATGACATTAAAGACATCATTAACCCTTTTAGCACGGGAAGTTTTTCAGACGTCTAGCCAAAAACACGGAGCATTTTTTCAGTAAATTTGGTTTTTACTTCATTTAATTTTTTTGACACATTTCTGTTATTCTGACCCCCATGAAATAACATATCTATTTGAAGGATATAGATTGAAGTTCATGATTTTCACAATATGGTTAAAATTAATTGGTGTATATGCAAATTATCTCATTTGCATATCTAAAAATCGAAAATTAGAATGTGAAATTTCAACTTCAATGCATGAAACATACAACTAAAAACAAAAATATATTTTATTTGAAATCTTTTTATTGATCCTTGGCCTTTTTACAAATGTTGTAAGCAATTCAATAGTCAAAAACAGGTATGTATATATATATATATATATATATATATATATATATATATATATATATATATATATATATATATATATATATATATATATATATATATATATATGAAACAGCAATAATATCTTTAGATGACATGTGTTTTTGACCATCAGTCAGCACAAGAAATGGAGGTGCCAGAGTGTCAACACCTTCGGGTGGATATACCCTGAGCCATGGCTGGGCTGTGGTCTGAACACAACAGCGTCGCCATCTGATTCCCCACTATTACTACTAACACTAGATCCTGCATCAGTATCAACAGAATTAGTGTAATCACTTGAATCAAATGTTTTATCAACATCAAGTTTAGGGGCAGACACATACGAGTCAGACAAACTTTTAGCGGTTCAGGTCACTATCTAAAAAATTCAACAACAATTTTCACTTCGATACCAAACACTCGAAAGTCGCCATGTGTAAAGCTAATACCGCAGTTAATATAAATGAATCACTTTCAGTGTTTCAAAGTAGGAGATTTCTTAGCGGTTCGTGGCGAAACACGATCGGGCCGATTATCGGGCGTTCCGTGTTTTTGGCCAGACATCCGCCGTCCGATAATCGGACCGTCCGTGCTAAGAGGGTTAAGCGTTGTTTCCGTAGTGATATTGTTTGTTGACGTGTGTTGACTCAATGTTTAGATTAATGACATTAAAGCCATCATTAAGCGTTGTTTCCCGTATTGATATTGTTTGTTGACGTGTATTGACCCAATGTTTAGACTGATGACATTAAAGCCATCATTAAGTGTTGTTTCCCGTAGTGATATTGTTAGTTGACGTGAATTGACTCAATGTTTAGATTGATGACATTAAAGCCATCATTAAGCCTTGTTTCCTGTAGTGATATTGTTTGTTGACATGTATTGACTCAATGTTTAGATTGATGACATTAAAGCCATCATTAAGCGTTGTTTCCTGTAGTGATATTGTTTGTTGACGTGTATTGACTCAACGTTTAGATTGATGACATTAAAGCCATCAATAAATGTTGTTTCCCGTAGTGATATTGTTTGTTGACGTGTATTAACTCAATGTTTAGATTGATGACATTAAAGCCATCATTAAGTGTTGTTTCCCGTATTGATATTGTTTGTTGACATGTATTGACTCAATGTTTAGATTGATGACAATAAAGCCATCATTAAGCGTTGTTTCCCGTATTGATATTGTTTGTTGACATGTATTGACTCAATGTTTAGATTGATGACATTAAAGTGTTGTTTCCAGTAGTGATATTGTTTATTGACGTGTATTGACTCAATGTTTAGATTGATGACATTAAAGTGTTGTTTCCCGTAGTGATATTGTTTGTTGACGTGTATTGACTCAATGTTTAGATTGATGACATTAAAGTGTTGTTTCCCGTAGTGATATTGTTTGTTGACGTGTATTAACTCAGTGTTTAGATTGATGACATTAAAGTGTTGTTTCCCGTAGTGATATTGTTTGTTGACGTGTATTGACTCAATGTTTAGATTGATGACATTAAAGTGTTGTTTCCCGTAGTGATATTGTTTGTTGACGTGTATTAACTCAGTGTTTAGATTGATGACATTAAAGCCATCATTAAGTGTTGTTTCCCTTAGTGATATTGTTTGTTGACATGTATTAACTCAATGTTTATATTGATGACATTAAAGTGTTGTTTCCAGTAGTGATATTGTTTGTTGACATGTATTGACTCAATGTTTAGATTGATGACATTAAAGTGTTGTTTCCAGTAGTGATATTGTTTGTTGACATGTATTGACTCAATGTTTAGATTGATGACATTAAAGTGTTGTTTCCAGTAGTGATATTGTTTGTTGACATGTATTGACTCAGTGTTTAGATTGATGACATTAAAGCCATCATTAAGTGTTGTTTCCCTTAGTGATATTGTTTGTTGACGTGTATTGACTCAATGTTTAGATTGATGACATTAAAGTGTTGTTTCCAGTAGTGATATTGTTTGTTGACATGTATTGACTCAATGTTTAGATTGATGACATTAAAGTGTTGTTTCCTGTAGTGATATTGTTTGTTGACATGTATTGACTCAGTGTTTAGATTGATGACATTAAAGTGTTGTTTCCAGTAGTGATATTGTTTGTTGACGTGTATTGACTCAATGTTTAGATTGATGACATTAAAGTGTTGTTTCCAGTAGTGATATTGTTTGTTGACATGTATTGACTCAATGTTTAGATTGATGACATTAAAGTGTTGTTTCCAGTAGTGATATAGTTTGTTGACATGTATTTACTCAATGTTTAGATTGATGACATTAAAGTGTTGTTTCCAGTAGTGATATTGTTTGTTGACATGTATTGACTCAATGTTTAGATTGATGACATTAAAGTGTTGTTTCCAGTAGTGATATTGTTTGTTGACATGTATTGACTCAGTGTTTAGATTGATGACATTAAAGCCATCATTAAGTGTTGTTTCCCTTAGTGATATTGTTTGTTGACATGTATTGACTCAATGTTTAGATTGATGACATTAAAGTGTTGTTTCCAGTAGTGATATTGTTTGTTGACATGTATTGACTCAATGTTTAGATTGATGACATTAAAGTGTTGTTTCCTGTAGTGATATTGTTTGTTGACATGTATTGACTCAGTGTTTAGATTGATGACATTAAAGTGTTGTTTCCTGTAGTGATATTGTTTGTTGACGTGTATTGACTCAATGTTTAGATTGATGACATTAAAGTGTTGTTTCCTGTAGTGATATTGTTTGTTGACGTGTATTGACTCAATGTTTAGATTGATGACATTAAAGTGTTGTTTCCCGTAGTGATATTGTTTGTTGACGTGTATTGACTCAATGTTTAGATTGATGACATTAAAGCCATCAATAAGCGTTGTTTCCCGTAGTGATATTGTTTGTTGACGTGTATTAACTCAATGTTTAGATTGATGACATTAAAGCCATCATTAAGCGTTCTTTCCCTTAGTGATATTGTTTGTTGATGTGTATTGACTCAATGTTTAGATTGATGACATTAAAGCCATTATTAAGTGTTGTTTCCCGTAGTGATATTGTTTGTTGACGTGTATTGACTCAATGTTTAGATTAATGACATTAAAGACATCAATAAGTGTAGTTTCCCGTAGTGATATTGTTTGTTGACCTGTATTGACTCAATGTTTAGATTGATGACATTAAAGACATCATTAACCCTTTTAGCACGGGAAGTTTTTCAGATGTCTAGCCAAAAACACGGAGCATTTTTTCAGTAAATTTGGTTTTTACTTTATTTAATTTTTTTGACACATTTCTGTTATTCTGACCCCCATGAAATAATATATTTATTTGAAGGATATAGATTGAAGTTCATGATTTTCACAATATGGTTAAAATAAATTGGTGTATATGCAAATTATCTCATTTGCATATCTAAAAATCGAAAATTAGAATGTGAAATTTCAACTTCAATGCATGAAACATACAACTAAAAACAAAAATATATTTTATTTGAAATCTTTTAATTGATCCTTGGCCTTTTTACAAATGTTGTAAGCAATTCAATAGTCAAAAACAGGTATGTATATATATATATATGAAACAGCAATAATATCTTTAGGTGACATGTGTTTTTGACCATCAGTCAGCACAAGAAATGGAGGTGCCAGAGTGTCAACACCTTCGGGTGGATATACCCTGAGCCATGGCTGGGCTGTGGTCTGAACACAACAGCGTCCCCATCTGATTCCCCACTATTACTACTAACACTAGATCCTGCATCAGTATCAACAGAATTAGTGTCATCACTTGATTCAAATGTTTTATCAACATCAAGTTTAGGGGCAGACACATACGAGTCAGACAAACTTTTAGCGGTTCAGGTCACTATCTAAAAAATTCAACAACAATTTTCACTTCGATACCAAACACTCGAAAGTCGCCATGTGTAAAGCTAATACCGCAGTTAATATAAATGAATCACTTTCAGTGTTTCAAAGTAGGAGATTTCTTAGCGGTTCGTGGCGAAACACGATCGGGCCGATTATCGGGCGTTCCGTGTTTTTGGCCAGACATCCGCCGGCCGATAATCGGCCCGTCCGTGCTAAGAGGGTTAAGCGTTGTTTCCGTAGTGATATTGTTTGTTGACGTGTGTTGACTCAATGTTTAGATTAATGACATTAAAGCCATCATTAAGCGTTGTTTCCCGTATTGATATTGTTTGTTGACGTGTATTGACCCAATGTTTAGACTGATGACATTAAAGCCATCATTAAGTGTTGTTTCCCGTAGTGATATTGTTAGTTGACGTGAATTGACTCAATGTTTAGATTGATGACATTAAAGCCATCATTAAGCCTTGTTTCCCGTAGTGATATTGTTTGTTGACATGTATTGACTCAATGTTTAGATTGATGACATTAAAGCCATCATTAAGCGTTGTTTCCTGTAGTGATATTGTTTGTTGACGTGTATTGACTCAACGTTTAGATTGATGACATTAAAGCCATCAATAAATGTTGTTTCCCGTAGTGATATTGTTTGTTGACGTGTATTAACTCAATGTTTAGATTGATGACATTAAAGCCATCATTAAGTGTTGTTTCCCGTATTGATATTGTTTGTTGACATGTATTGACTCAATGTTTAGATTGATGACAATAAAGCCATCATTAAGCGTTGTTTCCCGTATTGATATTGTTTGTTGACATGTATTGACTCAATGTTTAGATTGATGACATTAAAGCCATCATTAAGCGTTGTTTCCTGTAGTAATATTGTTTGTTGACGTGTATTGACTCAACGTTTAGATTGATGACATTAAAGCCATCAATAAATGTTGTTTCCCGTAGTGATATTGTTTGTTGACGTGTATTAACTCAATGTTTAGATTGATGACATTAAAGCCATCATTAAGCATTGTTTTCCATATTGATATTGTTTGTTGACATGTATTGACTCAATGTTTAGATTGATGACATTAAAGTGTTGTTTCCTGTAGTGATATTGTTTGTTGACGTGTATTGACTCAATGTTTAGATTGATGACATTAAAGCCATCATTAAGTGTTGTTTGCAGTATTGATATTGTTTGTTGACATGTATTGACTCAATGTTTAGATTGATGACATTAAAGCCATCAATAAGCGATGTTTCCCATAGTGATATTGTTTGTTGACATGTATTGACTCAATGTTTAGATTGATGACATTGACGTGTTGTTTCCAGTAGTGATATTGTTTGTTGACATGTATTGACTCAATGTTTAGATTGATGACATTAAAGTGTTGTTTCACGTAGTGATATTGTTTGTTGACATGTATTGACTCAATGTTTAGATTGATGACATTAAAGCCATCATTAAGCATGCACTGCCATTGCTGGATGTACAGCTTGATGACGAGGCTGCCGACACACGGCAGGAAGATATGGAGGTGGGTGTGGGTGCTGCAGTTTATGATGGCAGGTCAGTTACATTCTCATCTCGTTAATCTGGTTGATTGTAATAATAATAATAATGGTAATAACAACAAACAGTGCAGTGATACATCTGCTAACAAAAATAATCCTGTCCAAAATCTCATTCATGGCCAGTCTTCGTTAGTGAAAGAGCGATTTTCCTTAGGTGGTGTGAAAATTAGGCTCACAATTCCACCACATGATGTTAGCATGTACATACACTAAATCATTCACTAGCTGAATCAAAGTAATTGAGTCCACAAAAACAGTAAACAACGTATTCTTCAGCTACAAAATACGGTAGCTGGGTTACTCATTAACCAAAGCAGAGAAACAACGTATTCTTCAGCCACAAAATACGTTAGCTGGGATACTCATTAACCAAAGCAGAGAAACAACATATTCTTTAGCCAGAAAATACGTTAGCCAGGTTACTCATTGAGCAAAGCAGAGAAACAACATATTCTTTAGCCAGAAAATACGTTAGCTGCGTTAAACTCATTAACCAGAGCAGAGAAACAGCATAAAACCTCTTTGTTAGCCAAATAAATATATTACTTAGGTTGTTTGCTGAGGTATAACTGAGCAACTTATTACAGCATTAGTTGTATTCTTTTTTCTTTTCATCAGCACCACGGAGCTATCAAGAGAAAGTGTAGAAGATATATGTATGAGAGAGAGAGTGTGTGAAAGAGCATATAAAAAAATCTTAAACAGAAAGAGAGAGAGAGAGAGCATGTCTGAAAGAGTGAATGACAAAAGATGTGTGTTGTATGTTGAGTTAACAATCAACATCACAGAACTCTGGACACCCCCAGAAGCGCTCCGTCCCCCTCTTCAGCAACAAGTGAAGAGTTCCAATTCTGATGGCACCAGTAACTGTCTAAATGTAAATCCATTTCACCTTTCCCCTGAGTGTTGAGCGCTGGCCACATCCCCTTGTAACTCCTCGGAATGCCATTCCTCAGACAGTAATGATCTATCTGAGCCTCCACATCCTTCATTCGCTCCCAAAGGCCCTCACAACATCCAGCTTGTCATACATCAGTTCACCACCAAGCGGTGCAGAACCAGCCAGTCTATCTACCTGCTCATTTCCCAACACACCGGCATAACGTGGAGAAAATATCCAACTACTCAGGACCTCTGAAGTGATGCTTGCCACTCTGCACGGAGAAGCCTGTCTCCACCTTTCTCAGCATGCTCTGTCAGTCAGTTACCATCATGGCATGTGTGTACAGCTGATTCTCAAGCCATCGGAAGACAGCAGTGACTGCCTCAACCTCCATTCTCAAACGGGAGATTGTGTGTGAGAGTGCATACGAAAGAATGTATGAGGAAGATATGTGAGAGAGTGTGAAAGTGCATGAGGAAAATGTATGAAAGAGAGATGTGAGACAGTATGTGTAAGAGAGAGTATGTTTCAGAGTGTGTGTGTCAGTGAGTATGAGAGATGTGTAAGAGAGAGTATGTTTCAGAGTGTGTGTGTCAGTGTGTATGAGAGATGTGTGAGAGAGTCGAGTGTGTTTCAGAATATGTGTGTCAGAGAGCATTAGAGAGATGTGTGGGAGGGAGCATGAGAGAGATTGTGAGATACCCCTGAGGTGGGTTTATATTTGACACCACTAATTTGAATGTCCTCTACTTGTGATTGATGCCACTACTAAAGATGTTTTGTAAGAGAGCACTGACTGACATCAAATCGTGCATGGTACCTTCAGGTCACCTACAGTTTCCATAGAAACAGAAGCTGTGGATGTACTGGCCGGCCTTGTGGATGGGGATGCTCGAGCAGCCTTGAATGGGCTCCAGATGGCTGTAGAAGGTGTTCTGGCACAAGCCCCATCTGGAGCACGTGTTGCAAGAGTCACTGTTGATGTCATCAAAGAAGCATTGCAGCGCTCTCATGTGTTGTATGACAAAACTGGTAAATATGATACTTGCAAATACTGAAGATGTATCTCGTCCAATGGTTACCAGGTATCTGAGACCTATAGAGCTGTCTAATATACAGGGGTCTGCCATGAACTCCAGACATTAAAGGACTTCATACTGAAGAATGTATCTTATAAAGCTGAAAATCATTGTTGTGTATCTGTCATGGGACTACCTTCCATACAGTGACAAGTAGAGGGGAGAAATTGGCAGATGTTAATCTGGGCGCAATATGTACATCGGTTTTGATGTGTGCAACAAGTTTTTTATGTATTTCTAATGATTAATGCCATAGTCACTAAAAGTTAACATAAAACCACAGAAAGGCTTGCATTCTAAAGTTTAGAGTTTTATATAAATGGTATCACGGATCCCTTACATTTTTTCAAAGATCACCAGAATCTGGTTCTCTGTCGATCATTTCTCCATCATCTTTTAGTTCTTCCTCTCTATCATCTCTTCTTTTGCCTCTGTACCCAAATTCCGCCACCCCCCCCCCCCCCCCCCTTTTTTTTTTTTTTGGCTGTTTGATGATATACTTTTATTTCTAATTGTCCAGGTTTCATTCTCACACAGTGCCCAAACCACTTGTTTTATTGTCTTGTTTCTGTCAGCTTGTTGTCATGTCTCTTGTCTTGATTCTGTCAGCTTGTTGTCATGTCTCTTGTATTTCTGATATTGTTTTATTGTCTTGATTCTGTCAGCTTGTTGTCATGTCTCTTGTATTTCTGATATTGTTTTATATCCTGCTTCTCCTGGAAACCCCAACAACCTTTCTGAATCCTGTCATCTCACACATAACCTTGGCAACCTTTCTAAATCCTGTCATCTCACACATAACCTTGGCAACCTTTCTGAAGCCTGTCATCTCACACATAACCTTGGCAACCTTTCTAAATCCTGTCATCTCACACATAACCTTGGCAACCTTTCTGAATCCTGTTATCTCAGACATAACCTTGGCAACCTTTCTAAATCCTGTCATCTCACACATAACCTTCGCAACCTTTCTGAATCCTGTTATCTCACACATAACCTTGGCAACCTTTCTGAAGCCTGTCATCTCACACATAACCTTGGCAACCTTTCTGAAGCCTGTCATCTCACACATAACCTTGGCAACCTTTCTGAATCCTGTCATCTCACACATAACCTTGGCAACCTTTCTGAATCCTGTCATCTCACTCATAACCTTCGCAACCTTTCTGAAGCCTGTCATCTCACACATAACCTTGGCAACCTTTCTGAATCTTGTCATCTCACACATAACCTTGGCAACCTTTCTAAAGCCTGTCATCTCACACATGACCTTGGCAACCTTTCTTAATCCTGTCATCTCACACATAACCTTGGCAACCTTTCTGAATCTTGTCATCTCACACATAACCTTGGCAACCTTTCTGAAGCCTGTCATCTCACACATAACCTTGGCAACCTTTCTGAATCCTGTCATCTCACACATAACCTTGGCAACCTTTCTGAAGCCTGTCATCTCACACATAACCTTGGCAACCTTTCTGAAGCCTGTCATCTCACACATAACCTTGGCAACCTTTCTGAATCCTGTCATGTCACACATAACCTAGGCAACCTTTCTGAATCCTGTCATCTCACACATAACCTTGGCAACCTTTCTGAAGCCTGTCATCTCACACATAACCTTGGCAACCTTTCTGAAGCCTGTCATCTCACACATAACCTTGGCAACCTTTCTGAATCCTGTTATCTCACACATAACCTTGGGCAACCTTTCTGAAGCCTGTCATCTCACACATAACCTTGGCAACCTTTCTGAATCCTGTCATCTCACACATAACAAGTTTTCTCTCACAGGATGAATAAGATAGTCTGTTGAGGTAATTAGCTAGTAAATCAGAAACAGATTTAGATGCTTTCACATTTAAACAGGACAAACAATAATTTCTTCTGCCTTAAAAGTAAATGTACTACTCCACTACTCTGGGATGTAGCGGTGCATTACAGTCTTGTTTTTTTTTTTTTCTATGCTACTCTGGGATGTAGAGGTACCTTACAGTCTTGTTAAGTTTTTCCTCTGCTACTCTGGTATGTAGTCTTGTCTGGTTTTTTTACTGCTACTCTGGGATGTAGAGGTACCTTACATTTTGTTTCCCTTTCCACACTGGGATGTCAAACTACTTTAGTCTCGTCGAGTCTTTCCTTTTATACCTCTACAGTTGCTGGGGATACATTTTAAAGTCTGAACTAATTGTTCAAATATTAGAGATGAAGTCAAGATGTTTTTAGAAAATATTAGAGATGTAAAGTCAAGGTGTTTTTAGAAAATATTAGAGATGTAAAGTCAAGGTGTTTTTAGAAAATAGCCATTTTCAGATGTTTTTTCCTCAGATTTGTGTCTCATTTTCTGCAATAATTTGTGTCATTTTGAGGTGAGGAACATTACAACCTGATATCTGCCCTCATTAAGTCCCTGCGAGGGTCAGACGGCAGTGCTGCCCTCTACTGGATGACACGAATATTGGAAGGGGGAGAGAATCCATTGTTTATTGCCCGAAGGCTTGTGATATTTGCCAGCGAGGATATTGGTAAATACTTGTTTGAATGTGCCAGATTTCCTTGTTTATTTGTTGTCTGCATATGAAATACTGTGTTGAATTGTTCTAGTATCTTTTGTAATTAACTTCAACTTGGCAATGTCTTAGACAGAATTTACTAACCCCTTCTCTCTCTCTCTCTCTCTCTCTCTCTCTCTCTCTCTCTCTCTCTCTCTCTTTTGCTTTTCTCCTTTTTATCTTTTTCCTGTTCTCTCTCTCTCTCTCTCTCTCTCTCTCTCTCTCTCTCTCTCTCTCTCTCTCTCTCTCTTCCATTTGCAGATGAAGTAGCAGAATAGGAGGATGATGAGAAGAAGTGCCTACTGATACGTAGTAGAAACAATTGAATTTTACTGTACGCATGAAAAAACATGACAGTGACTCTTATGTATCGGTAACTTTAAATATATGTTTGTCATGCTGCCTGTTCTATTTTTCTCATTAGAAGTTATATCTTTTTCCACCTTTTGTTTCTGTTCAGGTTCACCTGTACCCTGGCAATGCATATCATTAAATTAGTTGTCTAGTTTATATCCAGTTTTACCAGTCTCCTGTCAGTGTATATTAATTAGTTGTCTAGTTTATATCCAGATTTACCAGTCTTCTGGCAATATAAATCAATATGTTATTTGTCAAGTTTTACCAGTGTCCTGTCAACGTCTATCATTAGGTAATTTTTTCAGTTTATGTCCAGTTTTACCTGTCTCCTGTAAATTTATAAACAAACTGACCTCTTCCTGGCAGGTGTGGCTGACTCGCTGGCCTTGACCCAGGCTATGGCCACCCACCAAGCGTGTCAGGTCATTGGCATGCCAGAATGCGCTGTAAGATTTGTTAAAATGTGGTCACATATCATTTGCACACACACAGGCTCTCTGTACACAAACAGTGTCCACACTCTTAAGACATCCACACTCTTTAGACATCCACACTCTTTAGACATCCACACTCTTTAGACATCCACACTCTTTAGACATCCACACTCTTTAGACGTCCACACTCTTTAGACGTCCACACTCTTTAGACATCCACAATCTTTAGACATCCACACTCTTTAGACATCCACACTCTTTAGACATCCACACTCTTTAGACATCCACACTCTTTAGACATCCACACTCTTTAGACATCCACACTCTTAGGACATCCACACTCTTTAGACATCCACACTCTTAGGACATCCACTCTTTAGACATCCACACTCTTTAGACATCCACACTCTTTAGACATCCACACTCTTTAGACATCCACACTCTTTAGACATCCACACTCTTTAGACATCCACACTCTTAGGACATCCACACTCTTTAGACATCCACACTCTTTAGACATCCACACTCTTTAGACATCCACACTCTTTAGACATCCACACTCTTTAGACATCCACACTCTTTAGACATCCACACTCTTTAGACATCCACACTCTTAGGACATCCACACTCTTTAGACATCCACACTCTTTAGACATCCACACTCTTAGGACATCCACACTCTTTAGACATCCACACTCTTAGGACATCCACACTCTTTAGACATCCACACTCTTTAGACATCCACACTCTTTAGACATCCACACTCTTTAGACATCCACACTCTTTAGACATCCACACTCTTTAGACATCCACACTCTTTAGACATCCACACTCTTTAGACATCCACACTCTTAGGACATCCACACTCTTTAGACGTCCACACTCTTAGGACATCCACACTCTTTAGACGTCCACACTCTTTAGACATCCACACTCTTAGGACATCCACACTCTTTAGACATCCACACTCTTTAGACATCCACACTCTTTAGACATCCACACTCTTAGGACATCCACACTCTTTAGACATCCACACTCTTTAGACATCCACACTCTTTAGACATCCACACTCTTTAGACATCCACACTCTTTAGACATCCACACTCTTTAGACATCCACACTCTTAGGACATCCACACTCTTTAGACATCCACACTCTTTAGACATCCACACTCTTTAGACATCCACACTCTTTAGACATCCACACTCTTTAGACATCCACACTCTTTAGACATCCACACTCTTTAGACATCCACACTCTTTAGACATCCACACTCTTTAGACATCCACACTCTTTAGACATCCACACTCTTAGGACATCCACACTCTTTAGACATCCACACTCTTTAGACATCCACACTCTTTAGACATCCACACTCTTAGGACACATCCACACTCTTTAGACATCCACACTCTTTAGACATCCACACTCTTTAGACATCCACACTCTTTAGACATCCACACTCTTTAGACATCCACACTCTTTAGACATCCACACTCTTTAGACATCCACACTCTTTAGACATCCACACTCTTTAGACATCCACACTCTTTAGACATCCACACTCTTAGGACATCCACACTCTTTAGACATCCACACTCTTAGGACATCCACACTCTTTAGACATCCACACTCTTAGGACATCCACACTCTTTAGACATCCACACTCTTTAGACATCCACACTCTTTAGACATCCACACTCTTTAGACATCCACACTCTTTAGACATCCACACTCTTTAGACATCCACACTCTTAGGACATCCACACTCTTTAGACATCCACACTCTTTAGACATCCACACTCTTAGGACATCCACACTCTTTAGACGTCCACACTCTTAGGACATCCACACTCTTTAGACGTCCACACTCTTTAGACATCCACACTCTTAGGACATCCACACTCTTTAGACATCCACACTCTTAGGACATCCACACTCTTTAGACGTCCACACTCTTAGGACATCCACACTCTTTAGACATCCACACTCTTTAGACATCCACACTCTTTAGTCATCCACACTCTTAGGACATCCACACTCTTTAGACGTCCACACTCTTTAGACGTCCACACTCTTTAGACATCCACACTCTTAGGACATCCACACTCTTAGGACATCCACACTCTTTAGACATCCACACTCTTAGGACATCCACACTCTTAGGACATCCACACTCTTTAGACATCCACACTCTTAGGACATCCACACTCTTTAGACATCCACACTCTTAGGACATCCACACTCTTTAGACATCCACACTCTTTAGACATCCACACTCTTTAGACATCCACACTCTTTAGACATCCACACTCTTAGGACATCCACACTCTTTAGACATCCACACTCTTTAGACATCCACACTCTTTAGACGTCCACACTCTTTAGACTTCCACACTCTTTAGACATCCACACTCTTTAGACATCCACACTCTTAGGACATCCACACTCTTAGGACATCCACACTCTTAGGACATCCACACTCTTTAGACGTCCACACTCTTAGGACATCCACACTCTTTAGACGTCCACACTCTTTAGACGTCCACACTCTTTAGACATCCACACTCTTAGGACATCCACACTCTTAGGACATCCACACTCTTTAGACATCCACACTCTTTAGACGTCAACACTCTTAGGACACCCACACTCTTAGGACATCCACACTCTTTAGACATCCACACTCTTTAGACGTCCACACTCTTTAGATGTCCACACTCTTTAGACGTCCACACTCTTTAGACGTCCACACTCTTTAGACGTCCACACTCTTTAGACGTCCACACTCATCAGACGTCCACACTCTTTAGACGTCAGACGTCCACACTCTTTAGACGTCCACACATCGTCCACACTCATCAGACGTCCACACTCTTTAGACGTCCACACTCTTTAGACGTCCACACTCTTTAGACGTCCACACTCATCAGACGTTCACACTCTTTAGACGTCCACACTCTTTAGACGTCCACACTCATCAGACGTCCACACTCTTTAGACGTCCACACTCTTTAGACGTCCACACTCTTTAGACGTCCACACTCTTTAGACGTCCACACTCTTTAGACGTCCACACTCTTTAGACGTCCACACTCTTTAGACGTCCACACTCTTTAGACGTCCACACTCTTTAGACGTCCACACTCTTTAGACGTCCACACTCTTTAGACGTCCACACTCTTTAGACGTCCACACTCTTTAGACGTCCACACTCTTTAGACGTCCACACTCTTTAGACGTCCACACTCTTTAGACGTCCACACTCTTTAGACGTCCACACTCTTTAGACGTCCACACTCTTTAGACGTCCACACTCTTTAGACGTCCACACTCTTTAGACGTCCACACTCATCAGACGTCCACACTCTTTAGACGTCCACACTCTTTAGACGTCCACACTCATCAGACGTCCACACTCTTTAGACGTCCACACTCTTTAGACGTCCACACTCTTTAGACGTCCACACTCATCAGACGTCCACACTCTTTAGACGTCCACACTCTTTAGACGTCCACACTCTTTAGACGTCCACACTCTTTAGACACACATATGCTGTCTGCACTGATACTCTTATAAGTGTGTTTTCTTTATTGTCTTTTGTTTACGGATCTTTACAATTTATTTCAGAGAGAAATTATTTAGAGCCTAAGAATGCAGAGATGTGGGTCTGTAGAAGAATGCAGAGATGTGGGTCTGTAGAAGAATGCAGAGATGTGGGTCTGTAGAAGATCTCTGTAGAAGAATGCAGAGATGTGGGTCTGTAGAAGAATGCAGAGATGTGGGTCTGTAGAAGAATGCAGAGATGTGGGTCTGTAGAAGAATGCAGAGATGTGGGTCTGTAGAAGAATGCAGAGATGTGGGTCTGTAGAAGAATGCAGAGATGTGGGTCTGTAGAAGAATGCAGAGATGTGGGTCTGTAGAAGAATGCAGAGATGTGGGTCTGTAGAAGAATGCAGAGATGTGGGTCTGTAGAAGAATGCAGAGATGTGGGTCTGTAGAAGAATGCAGAGATGTGGGTCTGTAGAAGAATGCAGAGATGTGGGTCTGTAGAAGAATGCAGAGATGTGGGTCTGTAGAAGAATGCAGAGATGTGGGTCTGTAGAATAATGCAGAGATGTGGGTCTGTAGAAGAATGCAGAGATGTGGGTCTGTAGAAGAATGCAGAGATGTGGGTCTGTAGAAGAATGCAGAGATGTGGGTCTGTAGAAGAATGCAGAGATGTGGGTCTGTAGAAGAATGCAGAGATGTGGGTCTGTAGAAGAATGCAGAGATGTGGGTCTGTAGAAGAATGCAGAGATGTGGGTCTGTAGAAGAATGCAGAGATGTGGGTCTGTAGAAGAATGCAGAGATGTGGGTCTTTAGAAGAATGCAGAGATGTGGGTCTGTAGAATAATGCAGAAATGTGGGTCTGTAGAAGAATGCAGAGATGTGGGTCTGTAGAAGAATGCTGAAAGCAACTTTGACCCACAGAACTAGCCAGTGTTCAGTCAAAGACTGTCCATAATAAAACATATCAAGGCAAAACTGCCGACCAAAAGGAATGCAGGTTCAAACCTTTATAGGTTGCTGAGTGAATTACAACAGACAGTGAAGTGCATACTAGAGACATTGCCGATATCATCATCATCATCATGTACACTGCCAGCTGGCATAGGTGCTTATGTGTCTCCACAGATCACGATCCCTAGTTGCCTGAAACAACTCTCTTGATGATATCCCTCCATGCCATCGTTTCAGCCCATCTCTCTTGGTCTGCCTCTACCCCTTTTTCCACTGATCTTTCCAGTTGTCACAATGTTCTCTAATGTGTCTCTTCTCATAATGTTGCCACAGAACAGTGTTATTGCAGATAAAGATAATCTATTTAAAGTAAATGAAAGAAGAAGAAGAACTGTTCATTCTTGGGCTGGGGAAATCATTTGTATACCTGCCATTCTTGGGCCGGGGGAATCATTTGTGTACCTGCCATTACAGTTAGAAAAGAATATAATTGACAGCTGCAGTTGTTTAGTAACAGTTGACAGATTTTCTAAATACAAGAACTAACTTCAGCCATGATTGTCTGATTTCTTTTTTTGAGGTTCACTGGCTGTTAACTCTGGCTTAGTCTTGTTCCACAACTAGAATTTGTTTTACATATATGGCTTGTTTGTATGCAGACTGTTGGTTTCTCACCTCTCGGTCAGATGTGCTCCAGCTTCGGAGGAAAATCCCTAATTATTTGTCCGTTATAACATGCTTGTTAGGGAAGGAGGGTTAGTGCCCATTTTGTTTTCTCCCAACATTAGGCCCCAAGCCCATTGGTTTATTGTCTTCTTAAAACTTACAGTAGACACCTATAAACCTACAGTAGACACCTATAAACCTACAGGAGACAACTATAAACCTACAGGGGATAACTATAAACCTACAGTAGATAACTATAAACTTACAGTAGACAACTATAAACTTACTGTAGACAGCTATAAACCTACAGTAGACAACTATAAATCCACAGTAGACAACTATAAACCTACAGTAAACAACTATAAACCTACATTAGACAACTATAAATCCACAGTAGACAACTATAAACCTACAGTAGACAACTATAAATCCACAGTAGACAACTATAAACTTACAGTAAACAACTATAAACCTACAGTAGACAACTATAAATCCACAGTAGACAACTATAAACCTACAGTAGACAACTGTAAACCTACAGTAGACAACTATAAACCTACAGTAGACAACTATAAATCTACAGTAAACAACTATAAACTTACAGTAGACAACTATAAACTTACAGTAGACAACTATAAACCTACAGGAGACAACTATAAACCGACAGTAGACAACTATAAATCCACAGTAGACAACTATAAACCTACAGTGGACAACTATAAACCTACAGTGGACAACTATAAACCTACAGTAGACAACGATAAACCTACAGTAGACAACTATAAAACTACAGGAGACAACTATAAACCCACAGTAGACAACTATAAATCCACAGTAGACAACTATAAATCCACAGTAGACAACTATAAACCTACAGTAGACAACTATAAACCTACAGTAAACAACTATAAACCTACAGTAGACAATTATAAACCTACAGTAGACAATTATAAATCCACAGTAGACAACTATAAACTTACAGTAGACAGCTGTAAACCTACAGGAGACAACTATAAACATACAGTAGACAACTCTAAACCTACAGTAGGCAACTATAAACCTACAGTAGACAACTATAAATCCACAGTAGACAACTATAAACCTACAGTAGACAACTATAAATCTACAGTAGACAACTATAAACTTACAGTAGACAACTATAAACTTACAGTAGACAACTATAAACCTACAGGAGACAAATATAAACCGACAGTAGACAACTATAAACCGACAGTAGACAACTATAAATCCACAGTAGACAACTATAAACCTACAGTGGACTATAAACCTACAGTGGACAACTATAAACCTACAGTAGACAACGATAAACCTACAGTAGACAACTATAAAACTACAGGAGACAACTATAAACCCACAGTAGACAACTATAAACCCACAGTAGACAACTATAAATCCACAGTAGACAACTATAAACCTACAGTAGACAACTATAAACCTACAGTAAACAACTATAAACCTACAGTAGACAATTATAAACCTACAGTAGACAATTATAAATCCACAGTAGACAACTATAAACTTACAGTAGACAGCTGTAAACCTACAGGAGACAGCTATAAACCTACAGTAGACAACTATAAACCTACAGTAGGCAACTATAAACCTACAGTAGACAACTATAAATCCACAGTAGACAACTATAAACCTACAGTAGACAACTATAAACCTACAGTAGACAACTGTAAATCCACAGTAGACAACTATAAACTTACAGTAGACAGCTATAAACCTACAGTAGACAACTATAAACCTACAGTAGACAACTATAAACCTACAGTAGACAACTATAAACCCACAGTAGACAACTATAAATCCACAGTAGACAACTATAAACCTACAGTAGACAGCTATAAACATACAGTAGACAGCTATAAACCTACAGTAGACAACTATAAACATACAGTAGACAACTATAAACTTTCAGTAGACAACTATAAACCTACAGTAGACAACTATAAATCCACAGTAGACAACTATAAATCCACAGTAGACAACTATAAACCTACAGTAGACAGCTATAAACATACAGTAGACAGCTATAAACCTACAGTAGACAACTATAAACCTACAGTAGACATCTATAAACCCACAGTAGACAACTATAAACTTACAGTAGACAACTATAAACCTACAGTAGACACCTATAAACCTACAGTAGACACCTATAAACCTAGACAACTATAAACCTACAGTAGATAACTAAATAGTGACATTAAAAAAAACCCACTGATCTCTGTGACGTCCTGTTTTGGTCCCCACAGTTAAATCTGGCACATTGTGTGGTTTACCTGGCCAGAGCTCCAAAATCCAATGAGGTCTACCGAGCTTTGCAGGCGGCCAGAAGCTGCGTCAAAAATCACCAGGGTGCTCTGCCACCAGTACCACTTCATCTGAGAAACGCACCAACCAAGCTGATGAAATCTTTAGGTTAGTAATTGTTGTTTTCCCTCTTCCTCTTCCTCTTCTTCCCTCCTTCATACCTTCCTCCTCTTCTATCCTACAACTCCATTTATAAACTTGTTGATGATTAGCTAGATTTTGCAGCTAAGGTTCTCTATGGAACGGAGAAAACAATCTTACCCCAACCCTCCCTTGTTGCCTCTTGAGACATGTATGGTAGGTTACTTTTATCGTCCCAGTATTAACTGGTCCAGGTGCTGAGTTGGGTGATTGGTGCAAGACTATGAGCTGTAAATTGTACGTTTTTTTTTCCTGTTGTGTCAACAGTGGCTTATTGAATGCTCGAAATTGTAGGTGGTTAATTGCGTTAAAAATAGCGTGCACTTTTCTGAGTTCAGTGCCGGCTTTTATGATTGACCTTACAACAGTGAGCTGCAATTCTGGTTTAGGACTGTTAGTATTGGCACATCTGACAGCTGCCTTGTGCATTTTTAATAGTGTGCGCAAGGTTTAAGCTGTTGCAGGGACTGATATTTGTTAACTCTTTGAGTCCCAATGAACGCATTATATGTTCACAGGTTCCTACTTAGAAGCCTGATGAATGCACGATGCGCCGATTTTACCTCTCTCTTGACTACCCTTTGGACCTCTGATGCTGAACCCCCTGGGACTTAAAGAGATAGAACCGGTTTTCAAATAAGATGAACAGCGACGGACATTTTTTTTTTGGGGGGGGGGGGGGATTTCCAACTGTCACAAGAACAGCAATTATTGGGCATACTTGTCTTCAACGATGTTTGAACTTTGACTTATGACGTCTCTTAAGGGCCCTGTACCACAAGTTGTAACATTCTATGTCACAGTCAGTCAGATTGTCTCTCCTTGAGGCTTACAAGCTGAAACATTTTATGTCACAGCCAGTCAGATTGTCTCTCCTTGAGGCTTACAAGCTGAAACATTCTATGTCACAGCCAGTCAGATTGTCTCTCCTTGAGGCTTACAAGCTGAAACATTTTATGTCACAGCCAGTCAGATTTTCTTTCCTTTAGGCTTACAAGCTGAAACATTCTATGTCACAGTCAGTCAGATTGTCTCTCCTTGAGGCTTACAAGCTGAAACATTTTATGTCACAGCCAGTCAGATTTTCTTTCCTTGAGGCTTACAATCTGAAACATAAAAGTAACAGCAGCATGAGTTAAGAACTGACCTCATCACTTAGAACATTCCCACAAGCACTTTATCCCCATCTTCAGCAGCAAGTGAGATTTCCACTCTGATGGTACCAGTAAGAGTCTGAATGTGTGTTCAACTTGCCCCTCCATGAGTGTTGAGCACTTGGTCACACCTTGCTGCGCCGTTCTCTTCCAGCCTTGATCATCTGTTTGTTCCTGTGCACCGTTCTCTTCCAGCCTTGATCATCTGTTTGTTCCTGTGCACTGTTCTCTTCAAGCCTTGATCATCTGTTTGTTCCTGTGCACTGTTCTCTTCCAGCCTTGATCATCTGTTTGTTCTTGTGCACTGTTCTCTTCAAGCCGTGATCATCTGTTTGTTCCTGTGCACTGTTCTCTTCAAGCCTTGATCATCTGTTTGTTCCTGTGCACTGTTCTCTTCAAGCCTTGATCATCTGTTTGTTCCATTGCACTGTGCTTGTAGTAGCAAAAGTTACTGGAACCACGGCAGGTTAGAGAAAGGATCATTCAAAGGTAAAGTATCTTTGTCAACACTAGGGTTTGAAATCTAAATTACAAAAAATTTCATTGATATGAATATTAGCTACAAGAATTTGCTGATTGAAGGATAAAATATTAGATAAATGATTTTGCTTGTTGTTGCAGGATATGGCAAAGGTTACAAATATCCGCACGATTATGAGGGAGCAGTTAATCAGGACTATTTCCCACCATCTTTGCTTGGGACCAACTTTTTCACCACGAGGTAGTGATAGCCTTGTAGCCTCATACAGACACGCTCCAAGCCACCTAGTATTTGTGCCAGACATTTGTTCCACTGGACAGGGTTGTTTTACCTGCTGACATTTGTGTGTATGACAAATACAGTGTTGAAGATGTTGACGTGGGAGGATGAGTCTGTCAGGACTGTTTGCTGTTGCCAGTTGTTTCTGCACTCTCAACAAAGCTGTTTGCTGTTGCCAGTTGTTTCTGCACACTCAACAAGGCTGTTTGCTGTTGCCAGTTGTTTCTGCACACCCAACAAGGCTGTTTGCTGTTGCCAGTTGTTTCTGCACACTCAACAAGGATGTTTGCTGTTGCCAGTTGTTTCTGCACACTCAACAAGGATGTTTGCTGTTGCCAGTTGTTTCTACACACTCAACAAGGCTGTTTGCTGTTGCCAGTTGTTTCTGCACACTCAACAAGGCTGTTTGCTGTTGCCAGTTGTTTCTGCACACCCAACAGGGCTGTTTGCTGTTGCCAGTTGTTTCTGCACACTCAACAAGGCTGTTTGCTGTTGCCAGTTGTTTCTGAACACCCAACAGGGCTGTTTGCTGTTGCCAGTTGTTTCTGCACACTCAACAAGGCTGTTTGCTGTTGCCAGTTGTTTCTGCACACCCAACAAGGCTGTTTGCTGTTGCCAGTTGTTTCTGCACACCCAACAAGGATGATGATCAAACCTTTAAAAGATTATTTTAATGTAATCAAGGACTTTATTTTAAAAAAAAATTTAAACATACACTACAAGATGCACACACAGAAAACAAAAGAAATGAATACGTACCATCAAATGGTATAGACAGTTAATTCACATTTGAAGCGTGTATTCTTGAAGAAGTTTTTTTAATTTACTAGTCTTAGGTAAACCTGTTCTTGCTGGCTTCCATCATTTCTTGGGATAATAATGTGGTAGATTCCCCTGGCTCTCCACATCCACACGGCTTCAGACCATGTCTCCAATCTTTAGCAACTTGTTAGATTGCTAATGCCAGAAAAGTGAGACAGTGGCCGACCGACATGCGGGAAGGGTGGAACAAGACAGGAAACAGCTTGTGTAGGAAACTGCATCGGGAAAGGTGGGGGGGGGGGGGGGGGGGGGGGGTTTAGTTTCTTTAAGGCAGGCTCCAAAGTGAGACAGTGTAAAGGAAGTGAACTGAAACAAGATGTCCATGGCAACATATGACACTTAGATAAAAGCAAGAAATAGTATCAAAGAAATTACAACTTGAAGAAATGAAAGTAATTCTCTCTATGTAAAGATTGACCAAAAACTAGCTGGATTGAAAAGTTGACAAAGATTCTTTAAGAAGATCCACAATATACCAGAAAAGAATAAAAAGTTCTGAAAGTAATTAAAAGTGAAGAACTTTCATGTTTTGGACAAATCCTGAGAATTAAGAAATCAGCAAAGAGTGTCCTGGGGAGGAATATGCCAGTAAAAGAGAAGAAGACAGGGCTACCATTATACTTGTACATGAAATTAACGAGACCAGCATTTGTCAAGTGACTATGGAGTAGAATGATTTAGATGTTTCTGTTGTGAGCCTACGTGGGTAAATACACTTCATTAGTGAGTATGAAGGTTTGAACCCCAACAGTGCCCACCCACGTGAGAAACTTGACTAATATCTAGGCTATGTTGATCCTAGACAGTCCTGGATAACCAAGAAAACAGCGAGTGGCTCGTTCCGTTAAATGAAAGTTGCTGTACTTGAATCCACAGGAGTAGGAGAAGGGATAGATAGGTATCAAGATGAACCCAAAGAGATAATATCAAGATACACAGTTAACCCCTCCGACTTTCTCCTCTCCTGGCATTACTTAAAAGCACCCATCAAGTGATTTACATATTTGTCAGCTGAAGTAAACTAGTATGCACAAAGACACTTGAACCTAAGTACACAATTTACTCAACTATTTTATAACAACATGAACAAGATTTATTGAATAAATCTAACTAAAAATAAGATGAACGTGTTAAGGCTAGTAAAATGAAGATGGTGTTACTGATGAAAGTTTGTACATAACTCATAATTGTAGAAAGTAAACCTTTAGACAGTTCTCGGTTTGAGACCCTGCCTATCCTTTTCCAGTTTGTCGTCCTCACTGCTTCAAGCAGGTCGTTACACTCGATGGTCGGCAAAGAATGGATGCCTACTAGTCCCTGCCCAATGTGGGAACTGCAGTTAAGAAACAAGCGCATGTGTGTAGTATCTAATCTAGATGTACACTAAGCATGTATATTATAATAACACCAAACATGTCTATTCTAATAAAACATTTCATCTCTCCCCCATGTTCACATTCACTCCTGTCCAGTTTGGAAGGGCTTATGTCTCACATTCAAGCCGTTACATTTCCTGCCTTCCTCTACTCACGTTCTGTAATGATATTCAAGTCTTCTATGTCTGATATCATCTCTCATACAGACTCAAAATGACAATCAGTTAGGCAGAACAAGTTCTGGAATCCATGATTGGAACAATGGACGCGCCCAGAATGCTAAAAATATTTCTGGGGCCAATTAAATAACAAATCTCAAGGATTTACTCTCTGGGATCAATCTCCACATTAGCCTCCCGGGAGTTAAACACATTTCAGTGTGTTAGCTGTATGTAATACAGATTCAAATTAACCACACGTGAAAAGACTGCTGCAATTATCTTTACACTTGTGATTTTAGAAAGATGATAGTTCATTAAATGTCAATGGTAACATCAACATTTAAGTTATACAACATTGAAACACATGGGCACGAAAAAACATTCATGACACTATCAATTAGGATATAAGGCAATGTGACAGTGCCATAAGAGAATGGAGAAATGTCCGCTAAGGAGTACTACAAAGTGATGAAGACACACACTTGAGCAAAAAGATAGTTAGATTTCTATCACAAAATAAAGGTTTGAAATAGTTTCGCTTACCTGGAAAATGAAAACACAAAAGTTCTGTCTCAAGCTTAGGTTTTAAGCCCAACAGAAGGTGTGCGAATAGCAGAGTCTCATTTACCAGTTCTAGAATTCACCCTTTTATAACTTCTAAGCTCCTCCTACATAACTCCTAAAACCACTCTCATTTAAGGATGTCACAGCCCCACCCCGTGGGTAAGTCTATTAACTGTCAGTCAATGACTGTACAACACTTGTTTGCATTCCCACCGCTACATTCTCCTGGTCCATCAAGGTGACCAGAGCTAATACGCAAAATCACACCTTCCATCCCTTCTTCAACCTGCCAGGTTGTTTGCTAACAACTCCACCAGACCATGTCAATACTGGCCATCTGACCTGCACTCAAGTTAGGTAACATCAGGGGGAGATAATCACAATTAACCTGGGTTATCTGCTCCTAAAGGTCTGGCCAGGAGATAATTATCTGACACCTCAGTTTGGCAAGCAAAATCTCCAGCCACTAAGTCTGAGCTTGGTTAGTCTTATCTCTGTACCTTAACACTTTACGTCTGGGAAAGAGTCTCAGTGTTTGATATCACCAACAGTCTAGGAGAATTAAATGTTTGTTCGGATTGCCTTACTTAGATTAAGGATGTATCCAAATCCCTATTTTTCTGTATATTTTAAAATACATTGAAATAAAAGTAGGTTGAGGAAAGACATTCTGAAGTCACCGAGTGTGTCGTCACAGCTTCAAGGCTAACTCAGGACTTGAAATAATGATGAGGATGAAGTAAGTTGCTTGTCCTTCTGTTGCAGAACCAGACCTAAGTGTTGTTTGGCTGTTGGTAATTCTGCTAGGCAATTTAAGGTTCAGCAGTCTGGCATTTGGCCGCTAGGGTTAGAAATAGCCAAATACCTTACAATAGATTGAAACAACTAACTGGAACATTCAAACCAAGAGATGGTCCAGTCAAAAGCACAGATGGCACAATGTTCACATCTGATGCTCAGCAGAGGTAAAGGACAGAACATTTCGAGGAGACCTTAAACAGGTCTGACCCACTTGACTTAAACAGGCCTGACCCACTAGACTTAAACAGGTCTGACCCATTTTAACAGGTCTGACACACTAAACAGGTCTGACCCACTAGACAAACAGGTCTGAGCCTCTAGACTTAAACAGGTCTGACCCACTTGGGCTAATGTTGATGAAATATGATTTTGATTGAGCTAATGTTGATAAACTATGGTTTTGATTGCGCTAATGTTGATAAAATATGGTTTGGATTGAGCTAATGTTGATAAACTATGCTTTTTTTTAGAGCTAATGTTGATAAACTATGCTTTTTTTAGAGCTAATGTTGATTAACTGGTTTTGATTGAGCTAATGTTGATAAACTATGGTTTTGATTGAGCAAATGTTCATAAAATATGGTTTTGATTGAGGTAATGTTGATAAACTATGGTTTTGATTGAGCTAATGTTGATAAACTATTGTTTTGATTGAGCTAATGTTGATAAACTATGGTTTTGATTGAGCTAATGTTGATTGAATTTAGTGTTGAATGCTCCCATGTTTTTTCTTTGTATTGATTGACCTGTGTGTTGGTGGAGTTATTGCATCTTCATTGTATTGGTTGACTTGTGTGTTGGTGGAGTTATTGTATTGGTTGACCTGTGTGTTGGTGGAGTTATTGTATTGGTTGACTTGTGTGTTGGTGGAGTTATTGCATCTTCATTGTATTGGTTGACCTGTGTGTTGGTGGAGTTATTGCATCTTCATTGTATTGGTTGACTTGTGTGTTGGTGGAGTTATTGCATCTTCATTGTATTGGTTGACTTGTGTGTTGGTGGAGTTATTGCATCTTCATTGTATTGGTTGACTTGTGTGTTGGTGGAGTTATTGCATCTTCATTGTATTGGTTGACTTGTGTGTTGGTGGAGTTATTGCATCTTCATTGTATTGGTTGACTTGTGTGTTGGTGGAGTTATTGCATCTTCATTGTATTGGTTGACTTGTGTGTTGGTGGAGTTATTGCATCTTCATTGTATTGGTTGACTTGTGTGTTGGTGGAGTTATTGCATCTTCATTGTATTGGTTGACTTGTGTGTTGGTGGAGTTATTGCATCTTCATTGTATTGGTTGACTTGTGTGTTGGTGGAGTTATTGCATCTTCATTGTATTGGTTGACCTGTGTGCTGGTGGAGTTATGGCATCTTCATTGATTTGTGTTGTGAATGACCCTTTGCTAGACCTTCAGGCATATTGGGCATGTAGGGCTAGATCATATTTTATAGACCGTCAGTCAGCACTGGGTGGGTGATGTGGGCAGCATTGTGCCAACCACCTTTACTTGCCGGGTCTGTAGCTATGACCCATCTAAAGCTATTCAACCTGAGAGCCAATATTGTTTTTGACAAACCAAAGTCTGGTTCGGTCAGGATCCGAACCAACGACCTTCCGATCCGCAGGCCAGCTTGTTTTGTGTGGATTTAATTGAATGCTTTTCTACTGTTAGTGTTTATCCTGTCATTTATTTGTTTGGATAAGTTTTGGATGTAGTGACGTTTTTGGAATAAACAAAACAACAGTTTGAATGAATGCACCAGAATGATTGTGATATTTATTGATTGCATGTTTCTGTAGAAACTGTTTCTAGTTCTATTTAAACATGAATTCTCTTCATCTTAGAGTTGAGCAGCTGTAAACTCCAGTGGAATGTTCTGGTTGTTTGTCCACTTTTAGACTTTGGTCTTGTTTCAGAACTTGAGTTTATCATACGCATTTACAGAACTAGTTTACTTATATGATGTGCAGACTGTTGGTTCCTCACCTCAGGCAGTTGCACTGACTTTGAAGGAAACAGCCCTTAATTAGTAGCTTTTTATGACATGCTTGTTAGGGTACATGGGCTCTATTCCGTAAGTTGAGAAAAAATATAAAGATCCCTTTTCAAGCCTTTAGGCGCATCAGGCATATGGGAAGAGTGCTCATATTTTTACAGACACATCGGCACTAGGTGTGTAATGTGGTCAGCATTACACCGGCCTTCTTTACTTCCCTAGGACATCTAATTCCAATTCCAGTTGTTCAACAACAATTCTAAACGTGATCCTTTTTCACCCTGCTATATGTAGGAAGGTTCCTTTATCTTATTTGCTTTTCCAATTCTTTGTTGTGTGAAGTCACACCTGATATTCTTGTTCTTCCGGTATGGTATTTGGGGTTCTGGGTCTGGTCTGGTCCAGCTCTCTTAGCTTTAATTACTCGGGGAAAAGCCAAACACCTCGTAGCGCCGTCTCCAACAATGTTTCTTTTCAGGAAAATTCCCTAGGACATACATCCTGGTACCCATTGTAGACCTGCAACGCCTAATAAATATCGTGCTGAAAATCCACGCAGCCAGCAGTGGGTTTCTATCGCGCTACATTAGAATTACGAGTCACACTCAAAACGCCTAAGCCACGGACACTGTTTGGGTCTATTCTGGTTTTCTCATAAATTAGGATATACACGACTAAACAAATAAGGGCACGTTTACACGTTGCTAGGGGATACAGAAAACACGTGGATTGAGTTTCCTTTTAAGTTTTGATAAGTAAGTCAGGAATAACGCGAGATCGCCCCTGGAGTGCAGGGTTAACAAACAAATGGATATTCTTTGAGGAGCTTATCAGGGCAATCGAGGTTTGGCAAAAAATAAATACAGTAGAGTTTGGGAGGAACAAACATCAAGAGGGAGCTATAGTATCTACACAAAGAGATAGTAAATACCGGGACACCATCAGCTTGTGATAGTAAAATACAGTAGACAACAACAAGAAACGAAAATGTTGTCTACACAAGGAAACATACGGAATGTACACTCACATCAAAACCAGTAAACGCAACAATACACAGCTTAAGTATCAAAGTTTGAAAGTCAAGTAAAATACCAGAAAGGAAACTACAAATGATCAAGATCTTCATGAAGGTTGTCTTGGGACGTGGCGTTTTGCTAAATCATAAGAAACTATGTGTTGCGCCTGATTTGTAATAAATAATTCTTAGTAATAATTTCCTGTACTCACACATGTCTCAGAGCTTCAACTGGCCAGACAGATATGCTGATTTTCCTTGGACAGGCCTTAGTTGAGTGATTTTGTGGATTCTTGTTTGAAACTATCATTGTATGTTCATATCATCTGCTGATGAAGGTTGTCTAGCCGCAACGTTGATCTGTTGTTCATGTTTGTGATAATGTGACTAGTTCTGCTTTTTGTTCTGTTTGATTTTTTTAATGTCTCGTTTGCAAACAAAACATATAAACCCTGGACTAGTCTCACGGACTGACTCAGGATGGTTTCTATGTGAGGGCGCCCCTGTTCAATATCCTCACCCATTCGCCGCGTGCTGGGTTGACATGGACTTGGGGCTGCAGCCTGAACTGTCTTCTCTGTATATCGACCGTTGTTTGCTTGGTTTCTCTCGTCTGTTTGATTGTTTCAGCCATCTTTGTTGGCGAATCGCATGTTCACTTCCTAGATAAGCTGGTACATTTCACACTTTCTGTACTCTTGGATGAGCAAAGTCGCCACAGTTTAGTGGGGGCTTGGGTGACTGATTTCTGTACACCTGGGCGGGGAAAGTCCCGACAGTTTAGCGGTAGACTGAGTGATGGAACTCTGTGCTCTTGGGCGGGGAACAGTTTAGCGGTAGACTGAGTGATCGAACTCTGTGCTCTTGGGCGAGGAATGTCCCGACAGTTTAGTAGTAGACTGAGTGATCGAACTCTGTACTCTTGGGCGGGGAAAGTCGCCACATTTTAGCGGTAGACTAAGTGATCGAACTCTGTACTCTTGGGCGGGGAATGTCCCGACAGTTGGGCGGTAGACTGAGTGATCGAACTCTGTACTCTTGGGCGGGGAAAGTCGCCACAGTTAAGCGGTAGACTGAGTGATCGAACTCTGTACTCTTGGACGAGGAATGTCCCGACAGTTTAGCGGTAGACTGAGTGATCGAACTTTGTACTCTTGGGCGGGGAATGTCCCGACAGTTTAGTGGTACCTTGACAAGGGATTGCCTGATTTATGGATTCCCAGTCTCTAGATAAGAGTCGTGAGTACAGGGACATCTCGGATACTTTGGTCGTGTACGAAACCTCTGCTGTGAAGTACTTGATGGCTTCGGAGAGACCATGCATTATTTGAAGATGATGAATTTATGTCACAGGCAGTTTCATCGCAAGGGTGATAAACAGCGTGACTGACTTTCTGTATGATTGCTTTGGTATGTGTTAGGTCTCTCCCGTTTTTGTTTTCTTCTAATACTCAAAGTTCACTTCCTCGTGAGGTTTCCAAGCGCCGAGTGCAAGACTTTGAGTCCTGATGTTCTCTCGTTTTCATGGAAATTACTGTGCCTCTCATGTTGTCTCGCAACATGCACAATTTGTAGTCCTCTACAGGCTACATCCCTATCGGAATCACGATTGCTTCGCTCTTCGTTAGCCAGACTTATATCTGCCCAGGATGTTCCACAGACTGGCGTCTGCTCAGCATGTTCCACAGACTAATGTCTGCTCAGCATGTTCCACAGACTAATGTCTGCTCAGCATGTCCCACAGACTAATGTCTGCTCGGCATGTTCCACAGACTGTCTGCTCGGGATGTTCCACAGACTAATGTCTGCCCAGGATGTTCCACAGACTAATGTCTGCTCGGGATGTTCCACAGACTAATGTCTGCTCAGCATGTTCCACAGACTAATGTCTGCTCGGGATTTTTCCCAAACTAATGTCTGCCCAGGATGTTCCACAGACTAATGTCTGCTCGGGATGTTCCACAGACTAATGTCTGCTCAGCATGTTCCACAGACTAATGTCTGCTCGGGATTTTTCCCAAACTAATGTCTGCTCGGGATGTTCCACAGACTAATGTCTGCTCGGGATGTTTCACAGACTAATGTCTGTTCAGCATGTTCCACAGACTAATGTCTGCTCAGCATGTTCCAACGACTGACGTCTGCTCGGCATGTCTCACAGACTAATGTCTGCTCGGGATGTTCCACAGACTAATGTCTGCTCAGCATGTTCCACAGACTAATGTCTGCTCGGGATGTTCCACAGACTAATGTGTGCTCGGGATGTTCCAGAGACTAATGTCTGCTCGGGATGTTCCACAGACTAATGTCTGCTCAGCATGTCCCAGACTAATGTCTGCTCGGGATGTTCCACAGACTAATGTCTGCTCAGCATGTCCCACAGACTAATGTCTGCTCAGCATGTTCCAACGACTAATGTCTGCTCAGCATGTCTCACAGACTAATGTCTGCTCGGGATGTTCCACAGACTAATGTCTGCTCAACATGTTCCACAGACTAATGTCTGTTCGGGATGTTCCACAGACTAGTGTCTGCTGAGCATGTTCCACAGACTAATGTCTGTTCGGAATGTTCCACAGACTAGTGTCTGCTCAGCATGTTCCACAGACTAATGTCTGTTCGGGATGTTCCACAGACTAATGTCTGCTCAGCATGTTCCACAGACTAATGTCTGCTTAGCATGTTCCACAGACTAATGTCTGCTCGGGATGTTCCCCAGACTAATGTCTGCTCAGCATGTCTCATAGACTAATGTCTGCTCAGCATGTTCCACAGACTAATGTCTGTTCGGGATGTTCCACAGACTAGTGTCTGCTGAGCATGTTCCACAGACTAATGTCTGCTCTGGGTGATCCGCGTGTAGTTAGAAAGAAGTCAGTATAATCCCTGACAGTCTCTCTCTACATCCAACCTGCAACAGGGAACGGTTTATCTGTCCTTGCCCAAGATTCTCACTTAAAGTAATTACAACATGATATTTATAATTTAATTATTACCCCGACACGTTCTACTGCCATGAACCATCCTATTTAACGTTCTTTTTTATAGTCATATATTGTCGCTGATCCATTCACAATTGTATAGACAGAAACTTGGCATGTTTACAAGTATGCAGTCTTTCTTTTCTTACAAGACAAGCAAATAACAAGTGCTCAATTATTTCCACCAAAGTGGCTTTCTGCGACATACAAACACTGAGTGTATGAGTCAGATGGTAACCTCGCTTTGTCCTCGGTTCGAGCATAGATTCTACGCACCAGCGAGATCTCGTCTTAAACAAACAAGGAAGATTTAAAGAATTCCAATCCAGGTTTCTGCGGAAATGTTTGTTTAACAATTCGCACAAAGGCACTTGAAGAAAATTATGAAATACATGCCCAAGAAAACGTGACGTGGTAGAACCTGGTGAGGTGGAACGTCATGTGGTGGGAGTGTGTGGGTTTTTTATTAGTTTATTTCAAACACAGAGGAGACAGAAGGTGGGGCTTTGAGTCCAGTGGTTCTCTTACTATGATGATTTGGACATAGAGGTGACACTTGAACATCTGAAGTTCGCTTCTCTTTGGCAGACGAACAAGTTTCTTTTGTGGAATGTTTGCGTTATCGCCCCTTTGTGTTCCCACACATTATCATCATCAGCTGCACAGTCGTCGTCTTAATCGCCACCATCGTTTAAAAAAGAATCATTCTCCTGCTCTTGTTCCTCTTGTTCTTGTTCTACATGTTGATGTTGCTGTTGTTGTTGTTGTTCTTCTTCTTCTTCTCTGTTGTCCCCCTCACTGTTGTCCCCTTACTGTTGTCCCCCTCACTGTTGTCCCCTCACTGTTGTCCCCTCACTGTTGTCCCCCTCACTGTTGTCCCCTCACTGTTGCCCCCTCACTGTTGCCCCCTCACTGTTGCCCCCCTCACCCCCACCACCTGTACAACAGACCTTGTCATTTAACTGTCCTCATTCTTAAGGGCACCACTCAGTTCCATGACCTCAAACGACCTGAGCACCGTGTGGTTTGCCAGGTTGGGGACCGTCGACCGGTGGAGTATAAGACTTCCAGTGATGCTTTCCCTTGTGCCAGCGACAAGAGGGAGCGATACCAGGTCAGTGTTGTGCCCGTCATGTTTCAGGGTTGTAACTCACGTGAAACTGCTAGTTGTTAGTGATAACTTTGGGAGAGAACTTTGTGCGATTATAACTTTGTAAGCTGATATACGTTATCGGGCATACCTTTATGAGTTGATAACTCTCTGAGGGTGGATAACTGTATTGATAACTTTGGAAACAAATAGCGCTCTGTGAAACGTATTCTCGGTCTATCATGGCGGACAGTCCCCAACGAATATGTATTCAGAAAAGCAGGAAATGCCAAAAATGTACTCTCTATTGAAGCAAAGATGTCTGTGCTAGTTGGGACATCTCTCCTAGATGTTAAAAAACTATCTCTGGTATTATAAACAAGTACAAATCTACGGGAGGGTGAAAGATCAGCTATAAGGACATATGTGAACGCCCCAGCAGACTCACGAGGGGCATAGATGTCCTACAATGATGTAGGAATCTGTTAACTCAGTGTGTTTTTAAAGTGACACTAACAATGCATCTGTTTCAGCCACACGTTGGTCACCATGTCTGCGACGACGGCTGCTGGTGTCATCTTCACCGCTTTGACTATTTCAAGTCTGCTGCATGACGTCGGAGGACAGAGTTCGGATCCAGGTTTGCACGTTAGGATACACCAACAGATATTTACATATTTATATCTGTAATGAGGGCCATTTTGATTTTCTGTAGAGAAAAGAGTGCCGTTAATCGCAATAAAGTGTCTATTACAGTAGCGCAGGAATAAAATTGTGACCCAAAGGTGTCCGTACTGCGAACCCCAGAAAAATGTCTTGCCTGTAACTATTCTTAGTTACACACACGCAGTAGTCTAGGCAACACAATGGTTAGTTCACTCGCTTACCAAGTCATTGACTCAGGGTCAATCCTCGACAGTAAGTAAACGTAGAATATCCATTTACACGCCTTCATTCATGTTGGGCATATAGGGCTATATTTTATAGATCAATCGGTGGGTCAACATCTCGCCGGTCGCCTTAACTTCCCCAGGGCTCTATTTGGTACCCATTCAAGGCTGGGTCGTGGCACCCATTCAAGGCTGGGTCGTGGTAGCCATATAAGTCTGGGTCGTGGTACCCATAAAAGTCTGGGTCGTGGTAGCCATTTAAGGCTGGGTCGTGGTAGCCATATAAGTCTGGGTCGTGGTACCCATTCAAGGCTGGGTCGTGGTAGCCATATAAGTCTGGGTCGTGGTAGCCATATAAGTCTGGGTCGTGGTAGCCATATAAGTCTGGGTCGTGGTAGCCATATAAGTCTGGGTCGTGATAGCCATATAAGTCTGGGTCGTGGTACCCATTCAAGGCTGGGTCGTGATACCCATATAAGTCTGGGTCGTGGTACCCATTCAAGGCTGGGTCGTGATACCCATTCAAAGCTGGGTCGTGGTACCCATTCAAGGCTGGGTCGTGGTACCCATTCAAGGCTGGGTCGTGGTACCCATATAAGTCTGGGTCGTGGTACCCATTCAAGGCTGGGTCGTGGTACCCATTCAAGGCTGGGTCGTGGTACCCATTCAAGGCTGGGTCGTCTTACCCATTCAAGGCTGGGTCGTGGTACCCATTCAAGGCTGGGTCGTGGTAACCATTCAAGGCTGGGTCGTGGTACCCATTCAAGGCTGGGTCGTGGTACCTATTCAAGTCTGGGTCGTGGTACCCATATAAGGCTGGGTCGTGGTACCCATATAAGTCTGGGTCGTGGTAGCCATTTGAGGCTGGGAGTTACGGTCGGTAGTTGATGTGGTGTCAACGTTTACTTTCCAGGAATTTACCCAGGGCTCGTTTAAGAGTGGGTCCAGCTGAGAGCTAAGGCCATTTTAGACAAAGGTCTGGCTCCGTTAGGATCTGAACCCACGACCTTTGAATCGGCAGATTAGTGAGCATACGTTTATACTTTAGCAATAGAAGGCATACAAAAACTAAACCGGGCCTGGAGAGTGCTCCCCCCACCCCCCTATGGGATGATAGTAATGTTTCTCCCATGAACATTTTCATATATGAATAATAATTTATGTTTGAGTCATATTAAAGTAAATGTATCTGTACACACACACACAAATAACCAAACACAAACACAAACACACACACACACACACACACACACATATATATATATATATATTTATATATATATATATATATATATATATATATATATATATATATATATATATATATATATATATATATACATATTTTAATTACTATTACTATCAATAACTGTCATTTAAAATATATAAATATTTCAGGTGTACGTGTAAATAGGAAGGGATAGACGGGTACGAAAAATGCACTAATCCCTTCTGCCGCTGCTGCTTCCTCTTCTTCTTCTTTTTCTTTTTCTTTTTCTTCTTCATCTTTTTCTTCTTCTTCTTCTTCTCCTCATCCTTCACCGGCTATAAACTCCAGTGGAACACCTTGGTTGTTCGCGCACCTCTGAAAATTAGTCTTGTTCCAGACGTTGGGTGCACATCCGTTTTACAGATCTTGCTTGTTCGTATGCAGACTTTCAAGCAGATGCACTTCCATATAAAAGGAAACTGATTTCTTTAAAACAGAGCCTGTGGTCAGCGTGATCAAGATACTTGTGTTTGTTTGCTTATATCAGTTGTAGTTAACATTCAGATGTCTGAGAAAGGTGGCCCAAGTGAGAAGGAGGGGCAACGTTCGCAGTCAAACAATAGGTCCAGATCTTGATACACTCCTCACAAACTCGAATAGATCAGAAAAGGAAAAAATTGGCGACTATGGCAGGCATGGGAGGCTAAGAACCAGGGAACCAGACCTTCAGGGCGACCCAGGGTGCGCTGGGAAGACAACATCCGACAGTCCCTAACTGACAGACGACTGAGATGGAACAAAGCCAGATAGAAAACTGCAGATAGAGACGTCTGGCGATCTCTCTGGCGAACCTCTACACCCAAAGGTAGAAGAGTAAGTAAGTAAGTATAGTTAACATAAATGCATCTAAGCCGATATTACCTTGGTCATATCGTAGCTGAAGCATAACAAGATGGAGAGCTCCCTTAATGTGATTTCTATATTAGAATTCCCACACTCTATCGCTTGTATGATCGGCAACTATTTCGATTCGCTCTTGATCTATACATCATCTTTGCTGTGGTATGCTGTCTCATGGCAGCTTAGGTAGATGGCCAAACCATTTCACTTGTTGCTTTCTAATTAAATCAAGCTATCCTGCAACCCCATACTTTATTTCGTATTTCGCATTTATGATCTTTCCTTGTTTATAGTAATTGTTTTATCCTTGTCTGTTATTGTCCAGGCGTTTCAAAGATAGTAAAGGATTGGTGAAAAGTGAGCGTTAAAGCTTTTTTCTTAACACTGGTACTCTGAGATTTTTTTTGTGTGTGTGTGTGGTCAATAACGATGCCATTTATCCTATAGGTTGTTGTGATTTGTTACATCTGTTCCCAATTCTGTTTTCTAAAGCTACTAAACCAGATTCATACTTTCGTTTTACAGAATTGTGTCGCAGATGTTGTGATGCTCAGTTGAACTTTTACAAGCAGTTCGTGACCAACCCTCATTACCTGAGCGTGCTGTCTACAACCTGCCTGGACAAGTGCCCAACAGAGCAGACGACCACGTCAAGTACGTACATTCATCTCCCCCACACAATGCGTCTGAAAGGGGTTTTAACTTTTCTTTCTTTTTATTAATAATTGGAATTCTCCTGTATGAATCATCCGAGCCCACAAGTTCATTGAAACTGTTTGATAAGCAACGTGTACTGTACTGATTGGCATTCATAGATGGAGAATATTGAATAATTTACAGGGAGACAAACACAAGAAAGCACCTTGAGGACACACAAGTTCAAACCTCGGCTACGACTTTCAGAAAAGAAATGCATCCCCCACCCCCTGCCAACCCTCCCAACACCCCCACCCCCTCCCACCACCTCCCACCTCCCACCCCACACCCTCCCCATCATAAACGTGAATTATTACTTCTGCTGGAGAAACAACGTTCAGGTGTTATATACTGTCTTTCTTACTTTCACCCTGTCTCCCCACAGCTACCACCAGCACAACAACTGTAACAACAACCCAACAAAGTACAAAGGCATCGGTAGCTGCAACAACAGCAACAACATCCACGCGGACAGCAACACTCGGTAAGTGAGCATGTCCACTACAGCTCTATAGATACTCCAATGTCTGTGCTAATGTCGACTACAGCTCTGTATATACTCCAATGTCTGTGCTAATGTCGACTACAGCTCTATAGATAGTCCAATGTCTGTGTTAATGTCGACTAAATCTCTATAGATACTCCAATGTCTGTGCTAATGTCGACAACAGCTCTATAGATACACCAATATCTGTGCAAATGTAGACTACAGCTCTATAGATAGTACAATGTCTGTGCTAATGTCGACTAAATCTCTATAGATACTCCAATGTTTGTGCTAATGTCGACAACAGCTTTATAGATACCCCAATATCTGTGCTGATGTAGACTACAGCTCTATAGATAGTACAATGTCTGTGCTAATGTCGACTACAGCTCTGTATATACTCCAATGTCTGTGCTAATGTCGACTACAGTTCTATAGATACTCCAGTGTCTGTGCTAATGTCGACTTCAGCTCTATAGATACTCCAATGTATGTGCTAATGTCGACTACAGCTCTATAGATACTGCAATGTCTGTGCTAATGTCGACTACAGCTCTATAGATAGTCCAATGTCTGTGCTAATGTCGACTACAGCTCTATAGATAGTCCAATGTCTGTGCTAATGTCGACTACAGCTCTATAGATAGTCCAATGTCTGTGCTAATGTCGACTACAGCTCTATAGATAGTCCAATGTCTGTGCTAATGTCGACTACAGCTCTATAGATAGTCCAATGTCTGTGCTAATGTCGACTACAGCTCTATAGATAGTCCAATGTCTGTGCTAATGTCGACTACAGCTCTATAGATAGTCCAATGTCTGTGCTAATGTCGACTACAGCTCTATAGATAGTACAAAGTCTGTGCTAATGTCGACTACAGCTCTATAGATAGTACAATGTCTGTGCTAATGTTGACTACAGCTCTATAGATACTGCAATGTCTGTGCTAATGTCGGCTACAGCTCTATAGATAGGCCAATGTCTGTGCTAATGTCGACTACAGCTCTATAGATACTGCAATGTCTGTGCTAATGTCGACTACAGCTCTATAGATAGTCCAATGTCTGTGCTAATGTCGACTACAGCTCTATAGATAGTACAATGTCTGTGCTAATGTCGACTACAGCTCTATAGATACTCCAATGTCTGTGCTAATGTTGACTACAGCTCTATAGATACTGCAATGTCTGTGCTAATGTCGGCTACAGCTCTATAGATAGGCCAATGTCTGTGCTAATGTCGACTACAGCTCTATAGATACTGCAATGTCTGTGCTAATGTCGACTACACCTCTATAGATAGTCCAATGTCTGTGCTAATGTCGACTACAGCTCTATAGATACTGCAATGTCTGTGCTAATGTCGACTACAGCTCTATAGATACTGCAATGTCTGTGCTTATGTCGACTACAGCTCTATAGATAGTTCAATATCTGTGCTAATGTCGATTACAGCTCTATAGATACTGCAATGTCTGTGCTAATGTCGGCTACAGCTCTATAGATACTTCAATGTCTGTGTTAATGTCGACTACAGCTCTATAAATACTCCGATTGTGCTAATGTCGACTACAGCTCTATAGATAGTCCAATGTCTGTGCTAATATCGACTACAGCTCTATAGATAGTTTATTTCTGTGCTAATGTCGACTACAGCTCTATAGATACTGCAATGTCTGTGCTAATGTCGACTACAGCTCTATAGATAGTCCAATGTCTGTGCTAATGTAGACTACAGCTCTATAGATACTGCAATGTCTGTGCTAATGTCGACTACAGCTCTATAGATACTCCAATGTCTGTGCTAATGTAGACTACAACTCTGCAGATACTCCAATGCCTGTGCTAATGTCGACTACAGCTCTATAGATACTGCAATGTCTGTGCTAATGTAGACTACAACTCTGCTGATACTCCAGTGTCTGTGCTAATGTCGACTACAGCTCTATAGATACTGCAAAGTCTGTGCTAATGTCGACTACAGCTCTATAGATACTCCAATGTCTGTGCTAATGTCGACTACAGCCCTATAGATACTGCAATGTCTGTGCTAATGTCGACTACAGCTCTATAGATACTCCAATGTCTGTGCTAATGTCGACTACAGCTCTATAGATACTGCAATGTCTGTGCTAATGTCGACTACAGCTCTATAGATAGTCCAATGTCTGTGCTAATGTCGACTACAGCTCTATAGATACTGCAATGTCTGTGCTAATATAGACTACAACTCTGCAGATACTCCAATGTCTGTGCTAATGTCGACTACAGCTCTATAGATAATCCAATGTCTGTGCTAATGTCGACTACAGCTCTATAGATACTGCAAAGTCTGTGCTAATGTCGACTACAGCTCTATAGATACTCCAATGTCTGTGCTAATGTCGACTACAGCCCTATAGATACTGCAATGTCTGTGCTAATGTCGACTACAGCTCTATAGATACTCCAATGTCTGTGCTAATGTCGACTACAGCTCTATAGATACTGCAATGTCTGTGCTAATGTCGACTACAGCTCTATAGATAGTCCAATGTCTGTGCTAATGTCGACTACAGCTCTATAGATACTGCAATGTCTGTGCTAATATAGACTACAACTCTGCAGATACTCCAATGTATGTGCTAATGTCGACTACAGCTCTATAGATAATCCAATGTCTGTGCTAATGTCGACTACAGCTCTATAGATACCGCAATGTCTGTGCTAATGTAAACTACAACTCTATAGATACTTCAATTCTAATAAACAGAAAGATTCGCTGATGACGTCACTGTGTTACTAACAAGTTTCTTCTTGTCTGGACCTCATAACAAATAATGGCAGAAGTTCTTCTTCTTCCGTTCGCTTGAAATAAATTATCTATGTCTGCGATGCTGTCTCTAGTGTGAACTTCAATGTCTTTTGTTATTCACTAAGCGGCCTGTAAAGTTTGACTTCCACAAGTGTCTATCTGGGCCTGAAGTTTTGTCTGGAAGCGTTGAATCTGGGACAGTCTTGGAGGATGTGATCTGTTGTTTCAGGTACCAGTCCACAGGTACACATGGCTGATTGGCCAATCTTAAATTTGTAGTACATGTGGCAGCGAAGTCGATTGTGCCCTGTTCTAAGGCGAAGGATAATGACTTGCTCTGGTCCATCCATAATATGGTAATGGCAAAAATGAAACAGAAATCAAAAAGAAAATAGAGATGGCTAAAAGTGTCTTCATTGAGATATGACAATGGTCGAACCGAGAGAGATAAACAACACATTAACATTCAGAACTGTCACAAGCTATGTATATTCAGCGCTGCTGTATGGTACAGCATCTTGGACAAAGCTAGAAAAGGGAATTTAGTCTCTGGAAATGTGGATTTACAGAACAATAAGTTGTGTTTCAAGGCAACAAAAGGTTGTGTTTCATTACAACAAACGTTGTGTTTCATGGCAACAATAGGTTGTGTTTCATGGCAACAATAGGTTGTTTCATGGCAACAATAGGTTGTGTTTCATTGCAACATAAGCAATTAAATATGGAGGTTCTAGAGAGACTGTAAATGAATAGTTACTTAAGAAAAAAATATTATTAAAAACGAGACAATTTGATAATTTGGCTACAATAAAAGACAACACTCTTTTAAAAACCACACTGGAGAGAAAAGTTGAACGCACGAGAGCAAATGATAGACAACGATGTAATTAGGAGGATAACATCAAGAGATGAAAGATGAGAGAAAGTGTACAGCTAAGACAGGAGACAGCATGTTGGAGATCCATTGCAACCGACCTTTATTGTGAAGACGGCACCTGTGCGAGATATAAGCATGATGATTCAGTCCCGTAATATCCGCAACCGTCTGTTGGCCTGAGTCTATGTCACCGTGACATCTTGTCTATGTCACACACTGAGACTTTGTCTATGTCACCGTGACATCTTGTCTATGTCACACACTGAGACTTTGTCTATGTCACCGTGACATCTTGTCTATGTCACACACTGAGACTTTGTCTATGTCACCGTGACATCTTGTCTATGTCACACACTAAGACTTTGTCTATGTCACCGTGACATCTTGTCTACGCCACACACTGAGACTTTGTCTATGTCACCGTGACATCTTGTCTATGTCACACACTAAGACTTTAGTCTATGACTCCGTGACATCTTGTCTATGCCACACACTGAGACTTTATCTATGTCACCGTGACATATTGTCTATGTCACACACTAAGACTTTGTCTGTGTCACCGTGACATCTTGTCTATGTTACACACTAAGACTTTGTCTATGTCACCGTGACATCTTGTCTATGTCACCGTGACATCTTGTCTATGTCACACACGGAGACTTTGTCTATGTCACCGTGACATCTTGTCTATGTCACACACGGAGACTTTGTCTATGTCACCGTGACATCTTGTCTATGTCACACACGGAGACTTTGTCTATGTCACCGTGACATCTTGTCTATGTCACACACGGAGACTTTGTCTATGTCACCGTGACATCTTGTCTATGTCACACACGGAGACTTTGTCTATGTCACCGTGGCATCTTGTCTATGTCACACACGGAGACTTTGTCTATGTCACCGTGACATCTTGTCTATGTCACACACGGAGACTTTGTCTATGTCACCGTGGCATCTTGTCTATGTCACACACGGAGACTTTGTCTATGTCACCGTGACATCTTGTCTATGTCACACACGGAGACTTTGTCTATGTCACCGTGACATCTTGTCTATGTCACACACGGAGACTTTGTCTATGTCACCGTGACATCTTGTCTATGTCACACACGGAGACTTTGTCTATGTCACCGTGACATCTTGTCTATGTCACACACGGAGACTTTGTCTATGTCACCGTGACATCTTGTCTATGTCACACACTAAGACTTTGTCTATGTCACCGTGACATCTTGTCTATGCCACACACTAAGACTTTGTCTATGACACCGTGACATCTTGTCTATGTCACACACTGAGACTTTGTCTATGACACAGTGACATCTTGTCTATGTCACACACTGAGAAATTGCCGATGACACATTGACACCTTGTCTGTGACACAGTGTGTGGTTTTACCCCCAGAATGTGGACTGCAGAAGGCCGGAAGCCACGACCAGAGACAGAGGATTGTGGGAGGGGTGGAGGCCGAATCCTGCGAGTATCCCTGGATGGCGTTCATAACCATTCTCAACAACATCTGCGCCGGGGCCATCTTGGACACCTCTCACGTGCTGACGGCGGCACATTGTCTGTTGGATAAGTACGCTTGTCGGTGTGTTCGTCCTCTTGTTTGTTACTACTGTCGGTAATGTGTCTATAAGCCTGTGAACGAGAGACTTGCAGCAACTTTTGGCAACTAGTAAAAGAGGCGGTGTCCGTGGCTTAGACGTTGCAAGTCCGACTCGTAATTCCAACGTACCTCGATCGAAACCCACTGCTTGCTGTGTTTATTTTTTTTCATCGTATGGGGCCTCGCTGGTAGACCCAGCCTAAAAATGGGTAACGGGATGCCTGTCCTGGGAAAGTAAAGATGGTCGGCGTAATTATGACCACATTACCCACCTAGCGCAGATTGGTCTGTAAAAATATGGGACGCTCCCGATGCGCCTAAGGCGTGAAAAGGGATATTGACTTTACTTTTAATGGAGAGTATCAAGGAAGGAGTTCAAAGCTAACTTTTTTTTTCTGTTGTAGTTTTTCTAGGTAAATTTTACGTTTAGTAGTTTGCCATTGCCATTGATCAGCTCTCGATACAACTGTCAAAACCAGCGCAAGACACGTTGTCCGCAGCTGGGATCGAACCCCAGCATTACGAATCGCGTTCGCAACGCCCAAGCCACAGAGGCGGACACCAGCTAAAGAACTATCCTCAAACATCAAGAAGACAGAAACAAACAACATAATATGATACTACATAATAAGGTTAACGTGCTGAAGCAGGTCAGTCAGTCAGACCACAAGAGACGATGATTGACGGCCTGGAGCGATGGCATGTTGGAACATCATCACTGGAATTGATTCAAGAAACCAAGGACCAAGATCTGAGGGGAGACATAAGCGCCTACGTCGCCTAGCGACCATGATAATGTTTTGATACAGTCTGGCCAGTACACACACAAAAATATATTGTCTGTCATTTTTCTAGTCTGTCTTGTCTGTCTTATTCTAGTCTGTCTTGTCTGTCTTATTCTGGTCTCCTTTTTTAGACCTAACAGTATTGTCTGTCTTAATCTAGTCTGTCTTGTCTGTCTTATTCTAGTCTAGTTTTGAAGACCTAACTGTCTTGTCTGTGTTATTCCAGTCTGTCTTTATAGACCTAACAGTCTGTTCCAGTCTGTCTTGATTGAACCAGGCTGTGAAGAAATAATGATGCCTGCAAATGTTATACCCGTCGTCAGATACCATCATTCATGTGAGTAGATTTTCTTTTCCGACCGATCTTTTCTATTCCGCGGGCCTACTGGGCACATAGGGCTAGACCTATATTTCGTAGACCAATCAGTGTTGATTTGGCCAACATCACCCGGCCGCCTTTACTTCGCTGGCCTTATCTGGTACCCATTTAAGGATGGGTCGACCTGGGAGCCGTAGTCAGTTTTGAAAAATCTGGCTCTGTTCGGATTTGAACACACGACCTTTGGATCCACAGACGAGCGTCTAACTGTTACACTATGACAGCTCCCACATCTTCTTGTGTATGCATGAACTGTGAAGTTCTTTTTTTTTTTTAAACCTCCTGATGAGGTGATTCCCAAATTTGTCCACAGAGACACAAAAATGCAGGTTCGAACACAAGCCGTCCACGTGAGGGTTGGCTCCTCTTCGGTGTCGCTAGCCAAGGTCTATGCGGTTGTTAACATCAGCATTCATCCCCTGCACGATCTGGACAACCACAGTAAGTATCGGACCCGGCAACAGGTAGAGTCTTACGCAGGTAGATAGATCATCAGTAGTTATAGCAGTACTAGCAGCAGCGGCAGTAGTTGTAGTAGCAGCAGCTGCAGCTGCAGCCGCAGTAACGAATGCTGCACGGTAATAAATATAATTATCTCTCCCCCTCTCTCTATCTGTCTACCCCCTTCCTACCTGCTTGTCATATTATTTATTTTGTTATGTGACCATAAAATGATAAAAATTCAACTGCTGTGTGAAAGATGAATATCAAGAAGGACCGAATGTAAGTCGGGCCTGTGTGCCCAATTTGTGACCCTCACAAATAGTTTCGTTAGTTCGTTCTGCTGTATCTGTCGCCTCGGCTCATTCTTCATCTCCCTTGTCTATTCTCTCTACTTTTATCTCTTTCTTTCATCTGTGTGTGTTCAGTATTTTGCTTCAACTCCCTTGTCTATTCTCTCTACTTGTATCTCTTTTTTTTTCATCTGTGTGTGTTCAGTATTGTGTCTGTGTGTGTTCAGTATTGTGTCTGTGTGTTCAGTATTGTGTCTGTGTGTTCAGTATTGTGCCTGTGTGTTCAGTATTGTGGCTGTGTATGTTCAGTATTGTGTCTGTGTGTGTTCAGTATTGTGCCTGTGTGTGTTCAGTATTGTGTCTGTGTGTTCAGTATTGTGTCTGTGTGTTCAGTATTGTGTCTGTGTGTTCAGTATTGTGCCTGTGTGTTCAGTATTGTGTCTGTGTGTTCAGTATTGTGCCTGTGTGTTCAGTATTGTGCCTGTGTATGTTCAGTATTGTGTCTGTGTGTTCAGTATTGTGTCTGTGTGTTCAGTATTGTGTCTGTGTGTTCAGTATTGTGCCTGTGTGTTCAGTATTGTGCCTGTGTATGTTCAGTATTTTGCCTGTGTGTTCAGTATTGTGCCTGTGTGTTCAGTATTGTGTCTGTGTGTTCAGTATTGTGCCTGTGTGTGTTCAGTATTGTGCCTGTGTGTGTTCAGTATTGTGCCTGTGTGTTCAGTATTGTGCCTGTGTGTTCAGTATTGTGCCTGTGTGTGTTCAGTATTGTGCCTGTGTGTTCAGTATTGTGTCTGTGTGTTCAGTATTGTGTCTGTGTGTTCAGTATTGTGCCTGTGTGTTCAGTATTGTGCCTGTGTGTGTTCAGTATTGTGCCTGTGTGTTCAGTATTGTGCCTGTGTGTTCAGTATTGTGTCTGTGTGTTCAGTATTGTGTCTATGTGTGTTCAGTATTGTGCCTGTGTGTTCAGTATTGTGTCTGTGTGTTCAGTATTGTGTCTGTGTGTTCAGTATTGTGTCTATGTGTGTTCAGTATTGTGCCTGTGTGTGTTCAGTATTGTGTCTGTGTGTGTTCAGTATTGTGTCTATGTGTGTTCAGTATTGTGTCTGTGTGTGTTCAGTATTGTGCCTGTGTGTTCAGTATTGTGTCTGTGTGTTCAGTATTGTGTCTGTGTGTTCAGTATTGTGTCTATGTGTGTTCAGTATTGTGTCTGTGTGTTCAGTATTGTGTTTGTGTGTTCAGTATTGTGTCTGTGTGTTCAGTATTGTGTCTGTGTGTTCAGTATTGTGTCTGTGTGTTCAGTATTGTGTCTATGTGTGTTCAGTATTGTGTCTGTGTGTTCAGTATTGTGTCTGTGTGTTCAGTATTGTGTCTGTGTGTTCAGTATTGTGTCTGTGTGTTCAGTATTGTGTCTGTGTGTTCAGTATTGTGCCTGTGTGTTCAGTATTGTGTCTGTGTGTTCAGTATTGTGTCTGTGTTTAGTATTGTGCCTGTGTGTTCAGTATTGTGTCTGTGTGTGTTCAGTATTGTGTCTGTCTGTGTTCAGTATTGTGCCTGTGTGTGTTCAGTATTGTGACTGTGTGTTCAGTATTGTGTCTGTGTGTTCAGTATTGTGACTGTGTGTTCAGTATTGTGACTGTGTGTTCAGTATTGTGTCTGTGTGTTCAGTATTGTGTCTGTGTGTTCAGTATTGTGCCTGTGTGTTCAGTATTGTGTCTGTGTGTTCAGTATTGTGACTGTGTGTTCAGTATTGTGCCTGTGTGTTCAGTATTGTGACTGTGTGTTCAGTATTGTGACTGTGTGTTCAGTATTGTGTCTGTGTGTTCTGTATTGTGACTGTGTGTTCAGTATTGTGTCTGTGTGTTCAGTATTGTGACTGTGTGTTCAGTATTGTGCCTGTGTGTGTTCAGTATTGTGTCTGTGTGTTCAGTATTGTGACTGTGTGTTCAGTATTGTGCCTGTGTGTTCAGTATTGCGCCTGAGTGGTTTAAGTATTTTGCCCGTATCTATCAAATCCACAGTAAATGACGCCGCCATCTTGACAGTTGCCGGAAACATGACTTTCTCTGACTGTCTGGGCCCCATTTGTCTCCCAGAGAACGAGGCCGAGCCCCGAGACGCTGACATCTGTGTGGTAGCAGGATGGGGCACCACAATCTGTGAGTAGCCGTCTTCCATTTTTTTAAACGTTGTTAAAAAAAATTTCACCCGGTAAAAATGTGAATTGATATCAATTTCGCTAAAACCAAAACATCTTTATAATTCTCTGAAACCCTACGCCAAGAAATTAGGGCAAGAGAGAAAGCAGATGTGCTCTGACGTTTAAGGAAACGTCGATGGTATCTACCTTTGCCAGTCCACCTGTGGGGAGCCTGTTCATGTGATGACCGCGGAGAGATGTAGGCAAGTCTTTGCCAGTGTAATCTCTGGTCCTGAGGCTCACGAAGCATGCTGAGAAACGTGAGGACAGGCATGCTTCGTGCGGAGTGGCAAGCTTCGTGCAGAGGGGCATGCTTTGTGCAGAGTGGTATGCTTCGTGCAGAGTGGTATGCTTCGTGCAGAGTGGTATGCTTCGTGCAGAGTGGTATGCTTCGTGCAGAGTGGTATGCTTCGTGCAGAGTGACAAGTTACGTGCAGAGTGGCAAGCTTCGTGCAGAGTGGCATGCTTCCTGCAGAGTGGTATGCTTCGTGCAGAGTGGTATGCTTCGTGCAGAGTGGTATGCTTCGTGCAGAGTGGTATGCTTCGTGCAGAGTGGTATGCTTCGTGCAGAGTGACAAGCTTCGTGTAGAGTGGTATGCTTCGTGCAGAGTGGTATGCTTCGTGCAGAGTGGTATGCTTCGTGCAGAGTGGTATGCTTCCTGCAGAGTGGTATGCTTCGTGCAGAGTGGTATGCTTCGTGCAGAGTGGTATGCTTCGTGCAGAGTGGTATGCTTCGTGCAGAGTGGCATGCTTCCTGCAGAGTGGTATGCTTCCTGCAGAGTGGTATGCTTCGTGCAGAGTGGCAAGCTTCGTGTAGAGTGGCATGCTTCGTTGCCGGGGTCACAGGTGAGGAGAACCGTCTGGATCTGTTCTCCGGGTCATGCAGGTGTGTTGGGAAATGAACAGGCTGGCAGACTGGCTGGCTCTGCGCAGTTTGGTGGAATAATGATGCATGATAATGTAGACTTGGTTAGGGCGATGTGGGAGAACTAGAACAATTAACAGGAGCAAATGAATCCCGTCTGGTGAGAGTGATGCAGCGGAGAGTGACGAAGGAGTCTGGCCGATACTTGACGCTTAGAGGAGAGACAAGACGGACGTACAATCAGAATGCTACTCTGCTCTGGCTGCTGAAGATGGGAACAGAGCGCGCATGGGAATGCCCTAAGTGCTGTGATATCGGGTCTTGAATCAGTTCAACTCAATCTCTGCAGCTGCTACACTACCAGGTATGGTTCAGCATATTTTATCCCGAAGAAGTAGATGACGAAGAAGATAAAGAAAGATAACGACAGCGATGATGTTAATCTTCATTGTAAAGGTTCTACTAATGATGATGATGAAAACTGTGATTAGCCTGAAGATAATGGATATGGCGAAGATGAAGAAGATAATGGTGATGATAGGTATGGTGATGAAATGATAATTGTAACCATCATTGTCATAACAACAGTGATGATAATAGAGATGATGATGGCCATTATGACCTTGAAGTCATGGTGATAATTACTATGTTGAAAGTGATGATGATGTAGTAAAGGTGATGATGATGATACTATAGTGGTGGTGGTACTGATGCTGTAGTCGTGTGGTAATAGTGATGATGTAGTGGTGGTAGTGCTAATGCTGTAGTCGTGGTGGTAGCAGTGATGATGTGGTGGTGGTGGTGCTGATGCTGTAGTCGTGGTGGTAGCAGTGATGATGTAGTAGTGGTAGTGCTGATGCTGTAGTCGTGGTGGTGGCAGTGATGATGTAGTGGTGGTAGTGCTGATGCTGAAGTCGTTGTGGTAGCAGTGATGATGTAGTGGTGGTAGTGCTGATGCTGAAGTCGTTGTGGTAGCTGTGATGATGTAGTGGTGGTAGTGCTGATGCTGAAGTCGTTGTGGTAGCTGTGATGATGTAGTGGTGGTAGTGCTGATGCTGTATCGTGGTGGTGATGGTGATGATGTAATGGTGGTGGTGGTGATGATGGTGATAACTCGTTGTTCAAGTGATGAGAATGATGGTGATGACTACGACAACGATGATAATGATGATGACGATGTTCAATGACCGCGAACTGACATTGTTAATGTAACAAAAGCACCCACCAACTGGCTCATGTCCTGACCCTATATGTCCTGACCCCTGTGTCCTGACCCTATATGCCGTGACCCCTGTCTGTTGCCCACAGACGGCGAGAAGGGATTCAGACCCAACCTGCTGAAGGTGGAGCTGCCCATAGTTGACCAGGACAAGTGTCAGGACCGGTACGGGCAGGAACTGGTCAACGAGAGGACCTTCTGTGCTGGCGACTACTACAGCGGGGGCAAGGACTCCTGTCAGGTACTCTCGCGCTCTCTCTCTCTCTCTCTCTCGTTCTCTGTCTCTCTCGCATCATCATCATCATTATCATCGTTATCATCATCATTATCAGCACACTCAGTGCCTGCCTTCCCATACCCTTAGACTTGCTGTGTCCAGTTTTCTATTTCACATGTTTGTTTTTATAAATGTGTGTAGCACGCGCGCGCGCACACATACATAGACAAACACATACACACACACACTCACACAAACACACACACACAAACACACACACACACACACAAACACACACACACACAAACACCCAGTGGCCAGGCCTGCATGTAACAGATGTAATTATCGCCTACACCTACCAGTGCCACAGATGTAATTATCGCCTACACCTACCAGTGCCACAGATGTAATTATCGTCTACACCTACCAGTGCCACAGATGTAATTATCGCCTACACCTACCAGTGCCACAGATGTAATTATCGCCTACACCTACCACGGCCACAGATGTAATTACCGCCTACACCTACCAGTGCCACAGATGTAATTATCGCCTACACCTACCAGTGCCACAGATGTAATTATCGCCTACACCTACCAGTGCCATAGATATAATTCTCGCCTACACCTACCAGTGCCACATATGTAATTATCACCTACACCTACCAGTGCCACAGATATAATTATCGCCTACTCCTACCAGTGCCACAGATGTAATTATCGCCTACACCTACCAGTGCCACAGATGTAAGTATCGCCTACACCTACCAGTGCCACATATTTAATTATCGCCTACACCTACCAGTGCCACATATGTAATAATCGCCTACACCTACCAGTGCCACAGATGTAATTATCGCCTACACCTACCAGTGCCACAGATGTAATTATCGCCTACACCTACCAGTGCCACAGATGTAATTATCGCCTACACCTACCAGTGCCAAAGAAAACAATGCATGAGTTTATTAATTATTATTACTTTTTACTATTTACTACAAAAACACTACTAGATTGACATCTCGAATATGGAGAAAAGAGAGCCTGATACATGCTTACACCACACATAAAGAAACCTGAAATGCCTGAAAGTTACCACTTTCTAGTACTGCGATACTATCTGCGTGCGGATACTCTCAACAGGAAAACATACAACATGATACATGTTCCTGTCTAACCGTTATCAACTAACATTTACACATGCAAACGGATTCCGCCTCTCACTTCAAGAACTCGCGTACATATGTTGAAAGAGGTGAACTGATCCCGCCTCTCACTACAGGTACTCGCGTGCATATGTTAAAAGAGGTGAACTGATCCCGCCTCTCACTTCAAGAACTCGCGTGCATATGTTGAAAGAGGTGAACTGATCCCGCCTCTCGCTACAGGTACTCGCGTGCATACGTTGAAAGAGGTGAACTGATCCCGCCTCTCACTTCAAGAACTCGCGTGCATATGTTGAAAGAGGTGAACTGATCCCGCCTCTCACTACATGTACTCGCGTGCATATGTTGAAAGAGGTGAACTGATCCCGCCTCTCACTTCAAGTACGCGCGTGCATATGTTGAAAGAGGTGAACAGATCCCGCCTCTCACTACAGGTACTCGCGTGCATATGTTGAAAGAGGTGACCTGATCCCGCCTCTCACTTCAAGTACGCGCGTGCATGTGTTGAAAGAGGTGAACTGATCCCGCCTCTTACTACAGGTACTCGCGTGCATATGTTGAAAGAGGTGAACTGATCCCACCTCTCACTACAGGTACTCGCGTGCATATGTTGAAAGGTGAACTAATCCCGCCTCTCACTTCAAATACTCGCGTGCATATGTTGAAAGAGGTGAACTGATCCCGCCTCTCACTTCAATTACTCGCGTGCATATGTTGAAAGAGGTGAACTGATCCCGCCTCTCACTTCAAGTACGCGCGTGCATATGTTGAAAGACGTGAACTGATCCCGCCTCTCACTACAGGTACTCGCGTGCATATGTTGAAAGAGGTGAACTGATCCCGCCTCTCACTACAGGTACTCGCGTGCATATGTTGAAAGGTGAACTGATCCCGCCTCTCACTTCAAATACTCGCGTGCATATGTTGAAAGAGGTGAACTGATCCCGCCTCTCACTTCAAATACTCGCGTACATATTGTGAAAGAGGTGAACTGATCCCGCCTCTCACTTCAATTACTCGCGTACATATGTTGAAAGAGGTGAACTGATCCCGCCTCTCACTTCAATTGCTCGCGTAAATCTGTTGAAAGAGGTGAACTGATCCCGCCTCTCACTTCAATTACTCGCGTACATATGTTGAAAGAGGTAAACTGATCCCGCCTCTCACTTTAAATACTCGCGTACATCTGTTGAAAGAGGTGAACTGATCCCGCCTCTCACTTCAATTACTCGCGTGCATATGTTGAAAGAGGTGAACTGATCCCGCCTCTCACTTCAAGTACGCGCGTGCATATGTTGAAAGACGTGAACTGATCCCGCCTCTCACTACAGGTACTCGCGTGCATATGTTGAAAGAGGTGAACTGATCCCGCCTCTCACTACAGGTACTCGCGTGCATATGTTGAAAGGTGAACTGATCCCGCCTCTCACTTCAAATACTTGCGTGCATATGTTGAAAGAGGTGAACTGATCCCGCCTCTCACTTCAAATACTCGCGTACATATTGTGAAAGAGGTGAACTGATCCCGCCTCTCACTTCAATTACTCGCGTACATATGTTGAAAGAGGTGAACTGATCCCGCCTCTCACTTCAATTGCTCGCGTACATCTGTTGAAAGAGGTGAACTGATCCCGACTCTCACTTCAATTACTCGCGTACATATGTTGAAAGAGGTAAACTGATCCCGCCTCTCACTTTAAATACTCGCGTACATCTGTTGAAAGAGGTGAACTGATCCCGCCTCTCACTACAGGTACTCGCGTGCATATGTTGAAAGGGGTGAACTGATCCCGCCTCTCACAACAGGTACTCGCGTAGATATGTTGAAAGAGGTGAACTGATTCCGCCTCTCACTTCAAGTACTCGCGTACATATGTTGAAAGAGGTGAACTGATCTCGCCTCTCACTTCAAGTACTGGCGTGCATATGTTGAAAGGGGAACTAGGGTCAACTTTACAGGTATCAGTTATCACCATTAGAAATAATAGAAAAAAAAAAAAAAACTAGAACAAATATGCTGAGATTTGAGGACACGTGAAAAATTTTAAAGTGAAGAATTAAGTGACTATAAGTTGCAACCTTATAAGAAAGCGCGATGTCAGAACAAGCTTACAGCCGCACAAGACCAACCACATCCCTGATAGCGGTGTCCTAATTATTCACCAAAAAACGCCGGCATCAAGATTTGGTAGGCACATCCCCAGACCGCCCCATAGTATAGGGGAGTTAGGGTTAGGGCTAGTGTTAAATGAATAGCGACTACTGCATAGCCTAACGCTACCCCCCCCCCCCGCCCCCACCCCCTCTCCCTCCCCCACCCCCCACCCATTCTGTGCAATGGTCTGGGGATTTCCCTACCAAATCTCGAAGCCGGCGTGATGTTGTGAAATAACATAATAGAGAGGCATGCGACTTACTGCCTTGGCTGTGGTGAGTTCTTTAGGGCTGCCTATTTGGTCATGCGCCTAGTGCACTTGTTTCCACAGCAAGTCGTATTCGTCGTTTGGAGGTGACAGGTTCGATTACTGGCACGGTAACTATCTATAGCTTTCAATTTTTTTGTTGTTTTGTGTGTTCTTTTTTAGGTTAACTTCTTTCTGTGAGTGCCAATCAATTTACTGCTGTTTGTTTGGTATATATCTTTTTTATTGGGCCTCCACACACAGGGGGACTCCGGTGCTCCGCTGATGTGCAGACATCGAGGCCGTTATTCCGTGTATGGCATCGTCTCCACGGGCCGTAACTGTGCCAAGCCGCGCCTGCCTGGCATCTACACCAGAGTGACACACCCTGACATCTCAAGGTTTATCAACGACACGGTTGGTCGAGGCTGACCCCCTGCCGCCTCAATCCACAGCAGCAGCACCAGAAACAGCAACAGCAGCAGCAACAGCAGCAGCAGCAGCAACAGCAGCAGCACCAGCAACAGCAGCAGCAAATGCAGCAGCAACAGCAGCAGCAACCATCAGACACGGGTATTTTAACATCTGCGTATCTAACACTCCTTGTTTTGTTAGCACATATTTGTTACATACAACAGTTATTGCCTTGATATGTGGCCTTACCGCTCATTAAATGTGTACATTAATGACCATAATGTGTTACTGTGTTGAACAAGGGTATTACCGTTCATTATATGTGTACATTAATGACTATAATGTGTTACTGTGTTGAACAATGGCCTTACCGCTCATTATATGTGTGCATTAATGACGCATAATTTGTTATAAAACATATTCACCTGCATATTAAAATCAAGAAATCGCAAATGTCAGTTTTTCATTTTTATTGTACCTAGACTTACTAGTCAACAACAATGGTGACTGTACTCAAAAAGTTAGATAAAGACTCGACTATACAATGCAGAGATTAAACATCAAGAAGAACTGATAGCAAAGCCCCTGTGCACGTCTTCAAAGAAAGACTCTTACTCGGTCTGTCAGAAAGAAAAACATCGGTGCTTTCGAACTGAAATGTGACCGAAAATGTCTAACTGTTGAATAAGAAACAGGAGAAGATCAACATCCTACAGCATCTGAGCAATGGGGAGAGGTTTGCTCATAAAGAGCATCTTGTCCCCACAGTTGAGGTGTGTCCCCACAGTTGTGGTATGTCCCCACAGTTGAGGTGTGTCCCCACAGTTGTGGTATGTCCCCACAGTTGTGGTATGTCCCCACAGTTGAGGTGTGTCCCCACAGTTGAGGTGTGTCCCCACAGTTGTGGTATGTCCCCACAGTTGAGGTGTGTCCCCACAGTTGTGGTATGTCCCCACAGTTGAGGTGTGTCCCCACAGTTGTGGTATGTCCCCACAGTTGTGGTATGTCCCCACAGTTGAGGTGTGTCCCCACAGTTGAGGTGTGTCCCCACAGTTGTGGTATGTCCCCACAGTTGAGGTGTGTCCCCACAGTTGAGGTGTGTCCCCACAGTTGAGGTGTGTCCCCACAGTTGTGGTGTGTCCCCACAGTTGAGGTGTGTCCCCACAGTTGTGGTATGTCCCCACAGTTGAGGTGTGTCCCCACAGTTGTGATGTGTCCCCACAGTTGAGGTGTGTCCCCACAGTTGAGGTGTGTCCCCACAGTTGAGGTATGTCCCCACAGTTGAGGTGTGTCCCCACAGTTGTGGTATGTCCCCACAGTTGAGGTGTGTCCCCACAGTTGAGGTGTGTCCCCACAGTTGAGGTGTGTCCCCACAGTTGTGGTGTGTCCCCACAGTTGAGGTGTGACCCCACAGTTGTGGTGTGTCCCCACAGTTGAGGTGTGACCCCACAGTTGTGGTGTGTCCCCACAGTTGAGGTGTGTCCCCACAGTTGAGGTGTGTCCCCACAGTTGAGGTGTGTCCCCACAGTTGAGGTATTTTAGCCAGATCAAAAGTCTGTATTGGCTATGAAAGCACATAGGGTTGTAGAACAGGCTATAGAAGGCAAGACACTCTGGCGTGGGGTAACGAAAGCGACGATTTGCAAACTATGCATTCTATTACTTTAAAATGAATATGTAAATATCGCCATTTTTCAGATTCAAACAGCGGAGACGGGACAGTGAGAAAATAAACCGACCGGGCAGGCCTACAAACATTTGAGTCACCAGATGGAAAGAGAAGGCAAACCATAGAGATGAATGAAGGTCTGGTAATATCTGCAGCAACCAACCTCAAGAGCTCGTAATGCTGACGACAATGACGACGACGACGAAGAAGAAGAAGAAGAAGAAGAAGAAGAAGAAGAAGAAGAAGAAGAAGAAGAAGAAGAAGAAGAAGAAGAAGAAGAAGAAGAAGAAGAAGAAGAAGAAGAAGAAGAAGAAGAAGAAGAAGAAGAGGTCAGTTTCAGCCATTAAATCTGAAACAAATAAACCAGGGTCACAATTATAACCATGGCAGGCAGCAGGTTAAAAGTGGTCAGGAGTTTAAACCCAAACAGCCTGTCTGTTAAACAAATCTCTAACAACTAGGCCACCGAGGCAAGTCGATTAATCAAACACAGATCAAATGAGAAAAACACAAACACGTCGGGTTGCAAGTTTTTGAACACAAAACGAGCGACTTGATCTTGCTGTTGAGAAGTCTATAGATCTCATTACTGGCCAACAAAATCACTGCTGTCGGTTCCCATCGCAGTCCGGTCGCCAGATCTGACAAACTGATAGTGTTTATAATCTAGTCGCAGTTCCCGCAATATTTATATTCATGGTCGAAGAATTACAGGATAAATGTTGAATTAAGAATCGACATCATAGCACTCGGGACGCTCCCATAAACTTTCCGTCCCCATCTACAGCAGCAAGCGAAGAGTTCCAATTCTAGTGGTACTAGTAACTGGGATAACAGGAAAAGAATACCAGGTAAATAAAGCTGAGGGCGGATATGACTACCAATAAGGTTGCACCTGGAGTCGCGCCACCTGAAATCGAATCCGACTTGAGTCCCATAATTAGTTTGACTACTTGCGACTCGACGTAGGGTTTTGTCTAGCGACTCGCGGACTTGACTTGCGACTTGAAGCCTCCATGACTTGATAGGAATCATTCGTCGCGGCCGGACACTGTGAGGTTTGGCGATCAACGTCAGATTTTAAAGCGTTTTCATAAAAAAACAGAACAGAATAATGTTTTCACTGATCAAGCTGTCACATTCGACTTCTTCCGCTTGTATATATAATATACATGTGTGTGTGTGTGTGTGTGTGTGTGTGTATGTGTGTGTGTGTGTGTGCGTGTGTGTGTACATGTATATAGTTAGTGAGTTTTGGGCACTGCCAGTTTTTGATTTGGTGTGTTCACCATCTTTGATAGATCCTTATGCATTGCCCTGAACCCGACTTGCAAATGGCTTAAAACAAAAAGTGACTTGATTCAGGACTTGACTTGGAAGTATTCTTGCTGATTTGAGACTTTAATTGGGACCTGGTGGCAATGACTTGGGACTTGGTGGCAATGACTTGGGACTTGATGGCAATGACTTGGTACTTGGTGGCAATGACTTGAGACTTGATTGCAATTATTTGAGACTTGGCGCCAATGACTTGAGACTTGATTGCAATTATTTGAGACTTTGCGTCAATGACTTGGAACTTGGTGGCAATAACTTGAGACTTGGTGGCAATGAATTGGTACTTGGTGGCAATGACTTGTTACTTGGTGGGAATGACTTGAGACTTGGTGGGAATGACTTGAGACTTGATGGCAGTGACTTGAGATTTGATGTGGACTTCAAGAGTGGCGACTAAGACCAACATGTGCTACTAACATGAGAGGGCTGCCAAGATTTGAAGGACACGTTTTCTCGACACAGTATCACAATGCCTGGCAAGCGAAGATACCCGAGCGCCAGATTTGAGACTCGTTGTTGTGTGGTCTGTCGGTTGCTATCTGGACAGAGCAAACTTTGTAATGAGTAGTCTAAACAAACTGTCTCGTGTGTCTGCCCTGTTTACAGACATCGTCTATGGGGTAAGTTTAACAGGATTTTTCGCGACTGTCTTCAGCTTGCAAATAATATTCATTAATATAATATTTATTACCTTTTTTTTAAAAATAAAAAGCATATATTAGTCAAATGATTATTCAGCTGATTGCCTTATTATTATTATTATTATTATTATTATTATTATTATTATTATTATTATTATCATTATTATTATTATCATTATTATTATTATCATTATTATTATTATTATTATTATTCTCCTTCTTCTTCTTCTTCTTCTTCTTCTTCTTCTTCTTCTTCTTCTTCTTCTTCTTCTTCTTCTTCTTCTTCTTCTTCTTCTTCTTCTTCTTCTTCTTCTTCTTCTTCTTCTTCTTCTTCTTCTTCTTCTTCTTCTTCTTCTTCTTCTTCTTCTTCTTCTTCTTCTTCTTCTTCTTCTTCTTCTTCTTCTTCTTCTTCTTCTTCTTCTTCTTCTTCTTCTTCTTCTTCTTCTTCTTCTTCTTCTTCTTCTTCTTTCTTCTTCTTCTTCTTCTTCTTCTTCTTCTTCTTCTTCTTCTTCTTCTTCTTCTTCTTCTTCTTCTTCTTCTTCTCTTCTTCTTCTTCTTTCTTCTTCTTCTTCTTCTTCTTCTTCTTCTTCTTCTTCTTCTTCTTCTTCTTCTTCTTCTTCTTCTTCTTCTTCTTCTTCTTCTTCTTCTTCTTCTTCTTCTTCTTCTTCTTCTTCTTCTTCTTCTTCTTCTTCTTCTTCTTCTTCTTCTTCTTCTTCTTCTTCTTCTTCTTCTTCTTCTTCTTTCTTCTTCTTCTTCTCTTCTTCTTCTTCTTCTTCTTCTTCTTCTCTTCTTCTTCTTCTTCTTCTTCTTCTTCTTCTTCTTCTTCTTCTTCTTCTTCTTCTTCTTCTTCTTCTTCTTCTTCTTCTTCTTTCTTCTTCTTCTTCTTCTTCTTCTTCTTCTTCTTCTTCTTCTTCTTCTTCTTCTTCTTCTTCTTCTTCTTCTTCTTCTTCTTCTTCTTCTTCTTCTTCTTCTTCTTCTTCTTCTTCTTCTTCTTCTTCTTCTTCTTCTTCTTCTTTCTTCTTCTTCTTCTTCTTCTTCTTCTTCTTCTTCTTCTTCTTCTTCTTCTTCTTCTTCTTCTTCTTCTTTCTTCTTCTTCTTCTTCTTCTTCTTCTTCTTCTTCTCTTCTTCTTCTTCTTCTTCTTCTTCTTCTTCTTCTTCTTCTTCTTCTTCTTCTTCTTCTTCTTCTTCTTCTTCTTCTTCTTCTTCTTCTTCTTCTTCTTCTTCTTCTTCTTCTTCTTTCTTCTTCTTCTTCTTCTTCTTCTTCTTCTTCTTCTTCTTCTTCTTCTTCTTCTTCTTCTTCTTCTTCTTCTTCTTCTTCTTCTTCTTCTTCTTCTTCTTCTTCTTCTTCTTCTTCTTCTTCTTCGTCTGTT